CTAGGTTTGGTAATTGTGGTGGTTATAGTAACTATAGAGGTTATAGTAATTATAGAGGTATGTTTTTATAGAATGATTTTTATTAGAAGAGATATTTTATGTGCGGTAAGGAAGGATATTAGTCTATATAATATTCTTTTAATGAATAATAATACTTCTAATTAATATACTTTATAGTATAGGAGAATGAGGATAAAGAACTTATAAATGTAGATTATATAATGTTCCTTACTAACTTTAAAGGACTAGATATAGAAGATACTTAACTTAATATTAAATTTAATAATAATTTTAATTAAGTCTATATTTTATATTTAATAGATTAAGTATTTTTATTTAGTTAACCCTTTTATTATAATAATAACTTATAATAAAGGTACTTTAGCTTTAATATTTATATTAGAAGGATGATATTTATATAAAGTATTTTAAGGTATTCTTTTAATATTAATATTATAGTTTACTTTACTACTAGATATAATTAGTACTTTGCTTTATATTGTAATAATACTTTACTTATATTAGATATATTATATGTTAGTGAAGTAAGTATTTATTTTAGATTAAGTGGTGTGATATATTCCTTTAAATTACTATTTATATTAACTTTTATTAGAATTATAATATTTTATATAGTTGATGTATTAATACCCTTCCTACTTTATATTTAGGATATAACTAAACTAATGATTTTCCTTTAAAATATAATAGATGAGGTGGTATAATAGAATGATGATAGTATAAAGAAGACTTTCTTTATTATATAGAAATAAGGATACTTATAGTTTTTCTTTTATTAGATTAATAATTAATATATTAACTAACTTGTTTTTATTAAGATTAAACTTTAATGTCTATATTAATACTTTAGATATTCTTTTATTAAATATTTTTAATATTTTTTTATGAATATAAGATATATAGTGGATATAACTATATTAGAAGTGATTTCTTATTTCTACTATTAGTGCTAGATGCATATATTTATGTTAAAATGTTTTAAATTCAACCTAATAAATAATTATAATTTTAACTATAAGTTTATAGTGAATGTCCTTTATCTAGTTAGATTATTTATATTATATATTATAGATGTTATTATATTATTTAAAGTAGGATACTTTCTACTATTATTATTAATAAAAGATATAGGAGGCTTTTATATAGTTTAAATTAATATATATTTAGGGTTATTAAATTATATTTAGTATAATATAAGTATAAATTTTATATTTTTAAATTTTATATTATAGTTTAAATATTAAGTATTATTTATAAGTAAATTTTAATTAAGGTATATTAGTTAATTAGTAAAGTTAAATATTATTATATAATATTATATTATACTTTTAATATTCTTTTATAAAATTATTTAAAATTTATTTTTAAAAGCTATTTTTAAATAAGCTTTAAGGTTATAAATAATATTATTAGCTTTAATAGTTTAATTTTAACTTTATTTATTTTTAAAGTATATTTTTAAATTAATATTAACTCTTTTCCTATATTATTTATATTTAAATAAGTAGAGGCTATTTAGAAGGTTATAAATGCTATTTATATTATTAATACTAAATAAAAGTTAATAATGCTTTAAATATATATAATAAACTTAATATAACTAATATTCTTTTCCTATTATTATAAAGTAATGTTTAGGTATAGTATAAAAGGAAGGTTAATAAGAATTTTATAAACTACTTATTATTAATAGCTATAATATAACTTTTAATCTTTTAATAAACCTATTATATTTTATTTTATTTAAGTTTAAGAGTATTATTATAATTTTAATTTTAACTTTAATAATACTTTTAATAATAACTTAATTATATTTAAATCTTTTATTTAAATTACTACTTAACCTTAACTTTATAAATATAAATATCCCTTTAGTTTTAAAAATAAGCTAAAAATTTAACTTATTAATATATTTCTTATATAAAAAAGAAAAATAATTATAAATTAGCTTTAAAATTATAAGCTAATAGAGTTATTTTTACTTTTAATAAACTATTTAAAGTATTTAATAAAAGGAAATTATAAATTTAATTAGCTATAATATATTTATATTTAATATATAATTCTAAGAAGTATAATAGTATTTATATTTTTAAGGTATAACTTATATATAAAATTAAGGGTAAGGGTAAGAAGTTATATAAAAATCTTATATAGTTTTTAAGGATATAAGGATGTTAATAAGAAGTTTATTTTAATATAGTTTTTAGCTATTTAAAAGTTAGTTAATACTTGTTATTTATAATTATATTTATATTAATGTTACTTTATATTATATAGATTAAGTTTTAAAATATTATTTAAGTATATTTATAGTTTAAATTAGCCTTTAAATATATTATTTTAGTTAAATTATTAAAAGAAATTTATTATAAGTATTTTAAAAGTATAATTATAAGGGTTATACTATTTTAATATAGTATATTTAAGTTTAGATTTTATTAGTATATAATATATTATAGATATTATATTAATATATTTAGTATAGAAGTCTTTATATTTAATCCTTATCTCCTAATTATTAGACTTTAATATAATAAGGACTGCTTTAAAATTACTACTTTCTAGACTAATAATACCTTAACTTTAATTATTAAGGCTTTCTTTTAGATGTCTATTAAGAAGATTAAGGAGTAGAGATTTTATTATAAGCTTAAAGAATATTTAACTTTAAATAATTCCTTTTCCTTTAATAATACTCTACTTTTAATTAATAGGAATAATATTTATATAAAGTAAAAGAAATAAAATAATAAGCTTAAAACTATAAATATTAAGGTAAAGGATAAGGTATAAAAGTATACTAAGTAATATATATAAACTATTTATTTAACTTTTATTTATTAACTTAAAGCTATATTTAATTTTAATTATTACTTAAATTTATAATTTAAATAAGGTAGACTATTAGAAGCTTAATAAATATTTTAACTAATAAATTAATAACCTTAAATATAGACTATACTTTATTTCTATTAACTTAAAAATTATTAAGTTAATAATTTATTAATAGATTATTTATTAATAATAATAATTTTAACTTATAAATTAACTTTATAATTATATTTATTAATAAAATTAAAATTAAGAATATAAAGTAGTAGTTTAAAGGTAATATTATTTACTAGTCTTTTATTAAATATAAGTATATTATTAGAAGTATTTTTATTTTAGAGATTTATAAAATAGTAAATAGATTTAATATAGGTAGTATAATATTAACTACTTTAAATAAAATTATTAATTATTTAAAACTACTAACTATTTTATTAATTATTTATACTAACTTTTCTTTTATATAAATATCTTATTGCTTAATATAATTAAAGAGAAATGTTTAATAATTAATATAATAGTACTTTATTAATTGTATAAATAATGAAAAATCTATAAAATTTAATGGATTTATAGTAATAATAATTTATTAATATATTTATTAAAGTAAACTTTAATAAATTATTTAAAAGCTTATATTTTATAATAAACTAACTTTTAAGTTAAGGAATATATAAATTATAAGGAATTTACTTTAATTTAAATTTAATAAATTAAAGTAGTTAATTTATATTAAAAATAAAAGTTTATTAAAAGTTAATATAATTATAAAATTATAAATTTTAATTAGTTTTTATAATATAGTATATAATATTATTAAAAGTAAAAGTTAAATTAATAAGGATAATTTTTAAGTATTAAGTTAAAATAGAACCTTTTAAACTACTTTATTTAACTTTAAACCTTTTAAATTTAGGTTTATATTGTTAGTTTTATAGTAAATATTAGTATTAAAGGTTATATTATAAAAGTTATTTTACTTTTAAGTAGTTTAAGGAATTATACTTTTTTTAGTATTTTAAGTTTTTTTTAAACTAATTTTTTAAGTTATTTTTTTAATTGTAGTATTTATATCTTTTTTTTAATAATAAGAGAGTATAATCTATTTTAGGATAAAGCTTATTCTTTATAGTTCTTTTTAATATATATTAATTCTATTAATCCTTAAGTTAAGTTAAGTCTATTAGTATACTATAAAATATTTAGTTTGGTTTAGTTTTAGGTTTGTTAGGGTAATAATGGTAAGAGTATAAGCCTATATATATATTTTAAATGGGTTGTTTAAGTATTTAAATTAATAATTTTAAAGTATTTATTTTATAGTAATTAGGGACTTTCTATAAGTAAATTAGTGTATTTATTCTAACTTTATAAAGATATAGAGTTATAATAGGTATATGGATTAAGTACTTTTAATAATGCTAATAAATTTTTTTATACCTTTATTTAATAGTAGTATAGTAGAATAGTTTCTTTCTTTATATTTATTTTAATAACTTAAAGGTTTTAAGTTTAATTTATATTTAGGATATTTTATTTTTATAATAAGAAAAAGTTGTTAATATAGTAGTTATAATAGTTCTTTATTAAGCTTAATTAGTAAGGAAGGTATTTACCTATATAGGCCCTTTAGGTAACCCTTTAATAATTAATTATTAATAATTAACTATATTTAACACTACTTTTTCTACCCTTATATATATAAGCCTAGCTAACAATAAAAACTATTTTAATAAGTTTTATATATAAAAGTTAATATTAAATAGGTTTATAAAATTATTAAATAGGTAGTTATAAAAGTTAGGTAAGTAAATATTAGTTTATAATATATTTTTAAAATTAAAAATTATAAATTTAATTTATAATAAATTAAAAATATAAAACTTTTAAATTTAAATTTAAAAATTTTACTTTAAATTTAATTTCTTTAAGGTAAATAATATTAAATAAATATAAAAAAGTTTAAATTAAATTAAATTAAATTATAATAAAATAAATTAATTAAAAAAATATAATTATAAATTTTTAACTTTATATTTAAAAAAATATAATTAATATATTAAGAATAATTACTTTATATATATTTTCCTTTTTAAAATACTTTACTTTAAATTATTTATTTATTTATATAAATTAAGAAGTTATATCTTTAAATATATATAGAATAAAAGTGAAACTAACTAGAGTAGTTATATATTAAAATAAGCTACTCTAAGCTAAAGCTAATTATAGTCCCTCTTATTCCTAAAGTATCTTACAACCTGGAAGCTAGAATAAAACCAATAAGCTAGGTAAAGTTGGCTACCTCCACAGGATGTAGAGGGCTGCGAGTAGTTGATTCTAGTCAAATGCACCTGGTTTCTTATGAACTGACTTGTCTGCTATGATGTGATCGGTGTGATGCATCTCAGAAGAGACCGTAATTTGTCAGTAACTAGAAGCGGTATTTGGCATCCTTCTTCTTGTCTCCACCACCGCGCTTCTCTTCATCCCGTTTTACTCTCTTTCGACTCTCCTGCGCAATCATTTCGCTGAGGTCGTCATCATACTGCCATTGCTTTCCAATCGCATCCTCTCTACGACCCTCCTCAAACCTCTTGCGCAGCTCATCCTTACTTATACCGTCATGGCTTGCAAGAGCCTCTGGGTCAAGAGCAACGTCCACATCACCTGGCTTCTTTCGTTTGCGAGTCTCATCATCCTGGCCCAGAATGGGTACGCCTGTCTTGTTCTTGGAAAGGTCATACACCCTATCGCTCCCAAAGAAGCCCTCGGCGCGCGCTTGTCTCTCCGGGACGACCTGGTAGGCGGAGCGTGGTCCGGCATTTTCTTCCGTCTCATAACCACGGCGCTGCTTCCTGAGATCGAATTCGCCCGCCATGCTGCTCTCAACCCCACCCGGTGCACCATACTCGGTTGGTATGGAACTGTTGAGACCGCCAGGAGTCTGGAGTCCACCGGGAGTCTGGAGGCCACCTGGAACATCGGGATCCTCCTCCTCGTCATCGTCCTCTTCTTCTTCGTCAGACTCTTCTTCTTCTTCTGATTCCTCTGGTGGTTTGAGTTCGCCCCAGAGTGTGCGATCCACGGGCTCTGCTTGTGGCTGCGCGACTTGCATTTGTGCTTGAGCCCCGGGATTTCCGGCCGTGACGCCGAATATGTCTCCTCCGTATATCGGCCGGTTGTACTCGTCGACAGGCGGCTTGCCCCACTGTCCGGGACCGAAACCCCAGGACGCCCCAGCTGGCAGAGGAGCGTTGAGGCCAGGTATCTTGAGGAGAGGATATGATGGGGGAGGTCCAACTCGCTGTTGCTGCAAGAGCCATGGCGGCGGGAATCCTGGCTGCATACCCAGAGCATCCCGGAGAGAGTCGCTGATCTCGCCGGGTTTGAAGTACCTATAATCGGCCTCCCATTCCTTGCCCTCGTGGTACAGATCCCCGAAGCGTGTCAAGTCTGGCTTTGTCTGGAATCGAAAGAAGGCGTCGTATAGTTTCTGGTAGTCGATGTCGAGTTTCCCCATCTTACCCTGTACCCTTTCTCGTTGTTTCTGCTTCATTGTCTGGTCGGCCTGTTTCTCCAGGACCGCATCGCGCATCTCGGTAATGCCGGTGTCCGAGATGAACTTGGGCAGCTTGAAGGGAGGCTTCTCGATTCCCCTTTTGCTGGAGAGGTACTCTCGTTTCAGTGACCAGTGGCCAGGAACCGGCACGACATTCCGTTGCGCCTTTATCTGGACCAGGAGTCGCGGATCCGAGGACGATGGGTCTTGCCACTCGACAACCTCGGGGTTTCGAACAAGGGCTTTCAACTCGGCGATAGAGAGCTTGTGAAGCTTCTTCCTCTTCTTCTTGGACATTTTCTGTTGCCCGCTCTGCTCCTCCTCGCTGGGTATGTCGTCGTCCTGGTCAAAGAAGACATCACCCTTATTGCCAGCGTTTGCCTCTCGCTGAACTTCGGTCTCATCCAGCGCCGGGCCGAACTTTTGAAAAATGTCCTTGTACTCGGCAAATGCTGGGTCTTCGTCGTCAAGGGCAACATCGACGGGCCCATCGGTCGGAGCGGCATTTTGCACGGTAGGGTCTTGCTTCACCTCTAGGTCGTCTGTCTTGGGAATGGCATCCTCGCTACTGGGCCCTTCCTGTCCATTCGCGGGGCCGTCGTTGCTCTCGGCGGGCTTTGTGGCAGTCTGTGATCTAAAATCAGCGTCTGAGGATATGGTAAAGGCGGGCTCGTGCTGAATGCTGACCACGGGTTGGGCCTTCTTTTGCTCCTTCTTTTTGGCACGGCGCATTTGATTCTTGCTCATCTTTGGGGCAGCCATCTTGAACGGGACAGTGGCCGTCTATGGCAACGAGCCTGACCGATCAAGCGCGTGGGTAGATTTGGACTGCTCTGCGAGGTCTGAGCCTGGTCGGGCGTGTTGTGGGCAGTTTGGGCGGGACGACGTCGACAGCTTGCGTGCTGGAAAGTTCGCGCCAAGGCTGCGGGTGGATTTGCAGCTGCCACAGTAAGCAAGTACCTGTTGTGGTAGGCAGCCAGCCTCCTTGCGATCTGGGCATGGAGCGGCTCCCAGTCAGCGGACCTAGGTACCTCCCTAGCCTGCCTAGGTACCTGGCCTGCGGCAAAAGAGGTGGACCAGACGACCCGACCCACGAAAATGTACCTAGGTATCTTCTCGGCAAGCAGACTCGCAGTGGTACATAGAGCGAGATGCCAAGCCTGCAAGCTGCGGGAACCACCCTGGGTGCACCAGCCCCTGCTGGGATTTTTTTTTCTGGAGACTGGTACTTAGAATGCCTGCTTATTAGTATCTTATCTCTGGGTATCGAGAGACTGACTGCATGGCACTTCCACCCTGTCCAACATTGGCATCCCCTGTAAACCAACGCACTCCACGACAGCATCATCGCTGCTTGCCAAGCCGAAGCCTGCGCCTCCGTGCCTCTACCTCTCGATAGGAAGCGACACAAGCCCACACTGCCATCGACCCGAGACCAGCACAAGGGCCCATGGCACCAGCTGCCATCGCAATGATCCGGTAGAGACACCGACGCCTCGATTCGCCTCTCCAGTCGCTCGTTTACCGCAGTCGTCCACCACCACCTTTCCTACCTGCACCGTCTCGCGCCGCCACAACTCTTGGACCAGCCTCACCTGATGCCGCATTCGACGTCCTCCGCGTCGGAGCGGCGCGACCCCTCGCAGAACCGTTCCAAGGGCAAACGCGATGCAAGCGTTGACTCTCGCGAAGCCGCCACAGAGAAGTTTCCCGACTTTGACTCGTCCTCCAGCTTCTACACCTCCGGCTCGGGCCCCACCCTCGCACAAGGCCGCCCCGGCAGCAGACAGAATGGCTACTCAAACGGTAGCTCGGCACCTTCCAGCAGCGAGCGATGGGCCCCTCGGAGAGAGAGTTCAGCGCGGGGTGTCAAGTGGGGGCCCACGGGCACACCGTCGCGCGGCCACGGCCGGCAGAAGAGCATCACCGAAGCCGTCAGGAATATCCGGGCTCGCGGCGGCAGTGTCAGCCAGAATGCCCATGAGATTGCCGGCGCCCTCAGGGCCCCTGTCTCTCCGAGACTCATTGTATGCCCGTCCTGTCCCGTGCCCGCGCCCATGTCCCTGGGGGAGGCGTCTGCATGTGCCTTTGTGCTGATTTATGCCTGTAGATCCTGTGCATCATGTGGTACGCGTCATCTGCACTCACCAATACATCGGCCAAATCCATCCTCAACGCCTTTGCCAAGCCTGCCACCCTGACCATGATTCAATTCCTTTTCGTATCGGCCTACTGCCTACTGTTCTCGTGGCTCGCCGCTTCATCCTCAGCCGTCCGGTCCGCCGTGCCGGCATTGAAACACGGGATCCGCCCGCCGAGTGTGGAGGTCCTCCGGTCGACGATGCCCTTGGCCCTCTTCCAGATAGGGGGCCATCTTTTGAGCTCCAACGCGACCACCCTGATACCCGTGTCCCTTGTCCATACAATCAAGGGGCTTTCGCCCCTGTTCACTGTTCTGGCTTACCGCTTCATCTACGACATCAGGTACCCATCCGCCACCTACCTGTCATTGATCCCCCTGACCGCCGGCGTCATGCTTGCATGTTCTGGGAAACACTCCAATTTTGGCGGGCAGCTCCTCGGGATCATCTATGCCCTCCTTGCCACTCTCATCTTCGTGACTCAAAATATATTCTCCAAGCGTCTCTTCAACGAGGCCGCGCGCGCCGAGGCCGAAGGGTTGACTGCAAAGACGCGAAAGCTTGACAAGCTGAACCTCTTGTGCTATTCCTCCGGTCTTGCCTTTGTATTGACAGCGCCGATCTGGTTTTGGAGTGAAGGAATCGGCATCATCGGTGACTTCCTCCACGACGGCGCCGTTGATCTCGAAGAGGGCCCCGACACCTTCGACCACGGCCGCTTGTTCGTTGAGTTCGTCTTCAATGGCACCTTCCATTTCGGCCAGAACATATTGGCCTTCGTCCTCCTCTCGATGGTGTCTCCCGTGACATACTCGGTAGCAAGTCTTCTCAAGCGAGTATTTGTTATTGTCATCGCCATCCTCTGGTTCCGAAGCCCGACAACTAGGCTGCAGGCTGTAGGCATCGGGCTCACCTTCTTTGGTCTCTACCTCTACGACAGGAGCAGCGAGAAGAACAAGGCGGACCGCAGGGCACGGAACATGACCGAAAGCAATGTGACCCCATTGTTACCCCTCAACACAGCTGATGGACTACGAGTGAACCAGCCTGCTACCGTCTTCGAGAGCCCTGTGTCTATCGCGCCAAACCCTGCCGCCCACCCCTACACCAACGGATATTCCAACAGCAACGGGCACAACGACGACAGTAAGAAGTCGGACGACACCGGTACTGTACGGACAAGAGCTCAGAGCAACGCGCAGTGGCTCCCGCCAGGAACGAGGCAGGAAGAAACCTGGCGGCTAGGTGATCAGGACGCTCGTCGCCCGGCGTGATCGTTGATGGCTGCTCTCTGTGTCTCGGGAAACTGTCAAGGCGGGGTTAGGTACGCGAGGCAGTGCGGCGGATTGGGTGAAACAGATACAGGATATTGTGACAACTGCTACGGTTCCGGCGTTCATCGGGTAAAGGTCTTATAAATGTCAAGCTCATACACATACATGTCGTCAAGCTATCTCTTGTGCTAAGCGTTTTATGAAGGTTGTCCCACACCTCTACCACCAAGGCAATCTCCCCACAAGGCCTGCGTCCTCGGCTTCGAGTAAATCCATATCTGATATTCCTCAAGACCATGATTGGTTTTTATGATTCTCGACCAGCTACTCGACCAGCCACTCCTCGACCTCGACGTGCATGCTCCGTCCCAAGCTCCTGATGACCTCCCAGCCGACATTGACCCTCCACTTGCCGCCACGATCCAGGGGATCACCGCCGGCGCCGACACGAACCAGTAGGCGCAGGGAAGAAAGAGTGGCGAGTGCCATGCCGATGTCAGCATCCGCCCCCAAGCCCGGGTCTAGGGGCTCACCACCGTCTACACCGATGCCCCACTCATGGCGCACGGTGGTGAAGATGGCCATCATGCGCTCGAGGACGAAGGCATGGGCGCCGAGCAGCTTCCGTGCGATCTTGCGGTGCTTGGTCCTCTGGCCGGCGATGACGGAAGATGCGCCACCGCGGCGCCGTCGCTTCCCGTGGTGGTGGGTCGAGAACAAGGTCAGATCGTGCCGCACGGTGTTGTGCGAGGCAAGGTACGCGGCGATTAGGAGGATGCGGGCTGTCGTGGGGAGAAGCACAGCGAGGCTGGTGGTGGCGGTGGCGGTTGCGGGCGCGGTGGTGCCCTGGCCGATTGTCTTGGGGTTCCTCTCAACAGACTGGACAGAGGCTTTGGGAGTGGCTTGTTGGTGGGGGGAGAGCCCCAAGATGCCCGGGTCAAGGAGGCTCTCGTCCTGGAAGTGCACACGTGCGGCAATGAGCATCTTCGTAAAGTCCTTTGGTCCGAGGTTGCCCTCGCGGAGGGGAGCCGTGAAGCGCGGCCAGAGGGAGTTGCAGGCACTTTGGAATGCCGGCAGCGTGCGCGCGGCGGACTTGGTCAAGGCGTCATGGACGGCGCCACAGAAGCGGGCCCACAGGTCGGCTGTCTCTGCTGAGGTGGAGTTGGGAAGGGGTTTTGGCGGAGCTGCAGAGAGGATATGAACCAGGTCTGTCTTGGTGTAATTTGGAAACTGGACATGGGCAACATTGGAAGTGCGGAGACAACCTGGTGGCGGGCCGGTCATGATGAAGACCGTGGTCAGGCTGGGGATCTGGGGATTCGGGGGTCAGCACACGGGCCTGGCACGGGGATGCCGCAGGGCGAGACTCACCACCTCCGACAGCCTTGCCAAGGCAGGGAGAAGGGTCGGTGGTGCTTCCTTCTGGCGATCGATGGCGTCGAAGACGAGAACGAAATGGCGGCTCTCGGGGCGGACGGCCTCCGTGAGCATCCTGGATAACTCGAAGCTCAACTGTGCCAAACTCTCGCATCGTGTGGCAAAGCCACCAAAGCCGAGGGCGTTGGCAACATTTCGGACGCTTGTCTCGAACAGATGTCGCCCGGTGACACACTCGACAGAGTTGACGATGGCGTACTGCAATATGGGCGAGTCTGGATGGTGGGGGGATCCGGAGCCGCCAAGCCGCTGGAGCAGAGCCTCAGTGATGGCACTTTTCCCGGTTGCTTCGACACCATAAACAATACAGTTCAGACATGGTGCCGCGCCTGGCTGGTTGGAAGTCAGTACGGAAGTCAGGGACGGGCCGAAACATGTGCCGAGACTCACAGATATCAAGGTCGCCAGAGCACGGGTTTGCTGCTGCCGGCAGGGGAACTTCTGGTCAAGGATTGACAGGACAAGTTCGTCTGGGAGCTGAGCCATGATTGCAGATACGTATGAGCAGTGCGTGTGACCCTTGTTGTCATGCCATTTTATTCATCGTCGTTAGTGGGAGCCCAGGTGGTGTGGTTGCTCAGTCTCACACAAAGGCAGGCCGGGGTCTGACGCGTCCGACCGGAGCGAGACGCGCATGAGGTCGGGGGGGGGGCGGTGGCTGGTTCGGGCTGGGCTGGGCTGCAACTCAGGGTTGGGGTCGGGAGGCAGGATAAGAGGCGTGATGAGATACGCGTAGGTGAATTGTGGTTTTACTGTGTAACAATGAGCCGAGGCTGCCCTTTGGTTTAAGTTAATGAGAGGCAAAAAAAGACCATAACGGTCAGGCAGCATGTACGATTGTGCGGGAGCCCGGAACTCAGATGGTTGCACTCTAATATCGAAGGGATGCATAAAGGGGGGGGGCCCAGGGGGGGCCCAGGGGGGGGCTGCTCTGCACACATTCTCGGTACACGCAAAACAGGCTTGTCCAGATGTGGCTGGCTCGGGATCTTGCCCGATCCATGATGCCGCGATCCCCAGTTTGCCAGTTTGCCAGTGTACATGATTGACGGCCATGGGCCAGAGTGCAGGCAGGGATGCCTTGAGCAGGGAGGGCCGCTCCGTCCGGGCCAGCTCGGACAATAATAAGGTACGGATGTACTCGGTACAGTCCAACGTCTTTTCTCCCACCCATCCTCAATGCCAGTGTCAGTGAGGTTCTCGTGATAACACACACAGCACCTGCCCTCTCTTCCTGGCCAGGCCCGTTTTCTGCTCTGGGCCGTCTGTCCTCGAGCACGCCGTCAACCTGCCAGATAGGCCACCTGCGACCACTTACAGCAGCCCCTCGCCCCCCGTCTCCATCCTCTCTCTTCCTCCTCTCCCTGTTGCCTGCCACCAAAACGTCATCGATACTCTGACCCTCCTCGCCCTCACCTCTTGTCTTGATGGCCTTCCTGCCACGCCTTGGCCCCCTGTGATGAGCCTGTCACCTGCGTGGCTCCAGCCTCCTCGCCTGTCCCGGAGCTCGACTTGCCAACGCCGCCAACCCAACCAGGCTGCGCACGACGGCTTGCATGCATTCAAATCCCCACAATGATTCTGGACCGCCACAGCGACCACCACAGGGACCCATCACCACCAGCGCCAGCGCCAGCGCCAGCGCCAGCCCCGGCACCGGCCCCGGCCCCGGCACAACCAGGCCGGCAACTTCCTACACCACTTGCTCCTCCTCCTCCTCCTCCTCCTCCTCCTCCTGCGCCTTCTTCTGAGGAGCGGCCATATCATGCCAAGAGGCCGCACCGCAAGTCTCGCCTGGGATGCCGGAACTGTAAGGCCCGCAAGGTGAAATGTGACGAGGCCAAACCAAGCTGCCGGAACTGCAGCCTGAGGAAGGACACATGCAACTATCCACCGCCTCAGAATCCGGCCAACCCGGCCAACCCGGCCCCGGCCGCCGCCTCCGCGGCTTCCACCGTTCGGCTTGCTTACGGCTCACCGCTGTCAGTACGCACGGCTGCCTCCCCGGCTGCCTCCTCCGCGTCGACCCTCCCGTGCCTTTACTCCCCTGGCCCGTCCAGCGACTCCCGTCGCGGCTCCCAAGACGAAGCCCCCAGCAGCAGCGGCAGCACCGAGCTCATCATCGTCGACGAGCCCCCGGCCAAGCTTGCCGACACTGATGAGTACGACATGAAGTTGTTGTGGTTCTACTCCACCGAGACTTATGCCTCATTTTCCATCGAGGCCGGCCGCATACCCTTCATCGACAAGATCCTCAAGTCCCACATCATCACGTTTGCCTTCCAGAGCCCCTTCCTCATGGACTGCATCCTGGGCCTTTCCGCACTCCACATGCAGTCGCTCAGCCTTCATGTCCCCATCTCCAAGGCTATCACTCACCGGGCACGAGCCTTCTCTGGCTACCGCAGGGCCATCGAGAGGGCCGACCCAAAAGACTTCCCCGCCCTCCTTGCCTGCTCCCTCCTCCTGTGCATGCTGTCCTCAGAGGCCTTCCGTGAGCCAGATACAAAGCCATTATACATCATAGACTGGATGGTGCTCTGGCGCGGCATCGGCCTAATCATGGATATCATTCCCATCGAGACACTTGTCTCATCTGGGCTGGAGAAACTCTTCTCACGCCCGGCCTTCAATCTGAACCAGACCGCCTTGCACATCCCGAACAATCTTTTCTTCATGGTCACATCCATCAAGGAGGACGACGAGGACTATCCCTACGTCGAGGCCTACTACACCACTCTCAAGTTCCTCGGCGGCCTGTACCTCGAGCTAGAGACCGGCTTCAGTCCCGTGTTGAGCATGCGGATCATCACATGGTTCACCTTCCTACCAAAACCTTTCATAGAGCTCGGCAGGAAACGACGCCCGCGGGCCCTGGTCATCCTGGCCCACTACCTCTCCTTCCTCAAGATGGTCGAGGGTGTCTGGTGGAGTAAGTATTTCTCTTGTCGCTTTGGCTTCCGCAGTCTTCTGTGTCTTGGAAAGCCTCAGGGTCGCATGGCTTTAGATCCCGTAGCACATGGTTAACACGTTGCAGTGGTTGGCATTGGAGACAGAAGCATTCAGGATATCGTCAATCATCTGGGTCCAGAGTGGCAACCGCTCCTCAGTGTCCCGCGGGCTACCATGTCCGTCCACGACAAGGTCGAGCTCGCAAAGCTGATTAGGGGTAATCATGCTTGGGAGCCCGCCGAGGTTGAGCAGATAATGCAGCACCCAAACCCAGAACTGCGAAAACTTACCATGGTCAACAACCAAGGCCAGGAGGTCGCATATAACAAAGAAGAGGGAGGCTGGGTGCCGTTGGCCACCGAACACCAGGATTCCGCCTCGCCTGAGTATCTTACGCCTCCCTACGTTTGACGTCAACTGCACGAGATGGGATGACTACTTTCGAGGCACACTGACATGTCGTCATTGGCTATGGTCAATAGGATAGAATCGAGTTCCTAACATCGTGTCGTGTCTCCCCCCGGCCTGACACTTACACCGGCTTGTTCCGATGTGAACTACTAGTACACTGAGCCGAAAACTTGGGCAGACCACCCTTGACTTTGGTCTCACATACCCGGCTGAAAACGGGGCCTCAGAGACCGAACCACTCCTCACTTGCTGTCAAATTCGAAGGTACACTATGCCCAACACCGGTGGCATAGATGCCTTGAACATTTGGGCCGTAATTATCGGTCTGGTAATTCGACTGCGGGTAGTTCTTGATCGACGAAGTGGGTGTTTGGCTGACGCCAAAGACATTCGTCCATTGCTGCAACACGTCGAATCAGCTCTCATATAGCGGCTTTCGCACGCAATCCTCGGGCGGGGGGGGGGGGGGGTATGGAGAGACTGCATGGGGAGTCTTTCCCTCTTTCGCTTTCGCGGAGGCTATCTTGCCCTCGCTGGGAAGACTGAAAGCGCAGCTCCTCATTCTGGTTCTTCCGTACCTTGATTTCCTCCTTGTAATTCTGTGGGTTCAGCGTTGAGTCTGCAGAACCATGCCATATCTGCATTCTTGGGCGTGTCCCATCATAACCGGGGTACATGTTGCGTGCAACATTGCCCCAAGCATCTGCCGAGGCGCTCACCTGGCCGGATGCACAAGAGGAATTCCACTGGTCCACACCCCCAGAGGACGACAAGAAGCAGCCAGCTGGCACACCAGAATACAGCGAGAGGGCTCGTATCTGCTCGGGATATGTGGCCGCTAGGACGTTTGACATCATTGCTGTATGTCGTGACGGTCATCAGCTGAAATGGGCTACTGATATTCGTACCGACAGCCAAGGCTCAAGGGTTTCCGGAGACGGGGGCCAAATAGGGCTTAAATGCCTACCTCCAGAACTTCCTCCCGTCACGAACACCCTGCCGGCATCCACCTTATACTCCGAGATGGCATACTTGATCATGTTAGATATAGCCTGGGTATCACCTCCACCTCCATGCGTCAAGCTGGCTTTGCTAGAGACATCCCAGCAAGCTAAGTACGATGTTAGTATGCCAAGGACCCTAGCCTGGTTTATTCTAGAATACTTTGATGCATAGAGGATGGGGACTGTTAAAGGAGAAAATCAGTACTCACTTCCGCTATGAGGGCTCTATGTCTCGGGTTAGAATATTACGTGCTAAAAAAATAGAATGTCCAGAGGAGAGAAATTAGAGGCAGGGTGACGAGCTATAGGAGGCGGAGATGTAGGAGGCCCAAGGGCCACATAAGGTATGTACCACACGGAATTTCTTCCACATGGTCATCTACTATGGAGCTTAAAGTGTTGTATTCTGTAGCATTCCAAAACAAGAAACGAAAATGGGTATCAGTGTAGGGACGACAGTTGTGCTTAAACTCGGCCACACGGTGACATATCCCTTGTTATCAGAGCCGCGGTGCCAGGGAATGAGGCTGTTTTGGAAGTAGGCTTGAGCCGAGGACTGGCACGAATGAATGACGACGACGAGTGGTGGGTTGGCAACGACCTTGTCGGGAACGTATATATACCTGCCACGAGTCAACTAAAGCACGCTGAGGAACTCGGGCTTGGGAGTTGGCTGTCGGTGCAGCCCGCTCCTAATGGTACGCTTACATATCTGCCTTTGAGCTGGCATCGTTGGGATAGTTGACCTTGGTGAGCTGGGCTGCCAAAGCCGTCGGGGCGGCAAGCAACCCGGCAATGATGGCCTTCAGAAACATCACGATGTTTTCTTAGGGACAGGTGCACGATTGCAAGCGAGTGAGTGTCAAGACAGACATCTGGAGGCATGGAGCGTGTCAGAGCCTGAGCGCCCAACCGCATTTAAGTGCGCTTCATCATGGATACATAGATCTTGATGACCAGAATATTAAGACAGTCTGCTAATAGAGAGGTGGCCCTTTGTGGAATCCCGCATAGCCCCCGCGGCTAAATGGAGGCCGGCCTGCGCTGGAGTAGTCATATTGTCTTTAAGCGGATACCGCCTCCGGCCGCTGATCAGGTCTCTTTTGTGCTGCCTCGGAGTCTCTTCCATATTGAACTCGACTCTCACCTCGAGACGAGCTAGCAAGGGCGCGGCGCCCGTGTCTAAATGTCAATTTGGGCCGTGGAAATGGACCAAGTTTGATGAAGCTCTTCCAACCAGCAGGGATGTTTTGGATATCCATATGACGCCGCCCGGATCTCCACACAAAGCATCTAACGCAAATTCCCCCTTCTTGTCATCGTGACAATCTTTTACGACCGGAACGCCTTCATCCAGTTCCATTATGGAACCCCTCAGCTCGTATCCATGCTCTCCCCGTTGCCATTTGCGATGGAGAAGTCCACCGCGCCATCGTTGCCGATGAGTCGCTTCTCCGAGGCCGCCACAAAGCTCACACTTCTCGAAGAATCGTAAAAGAGCTTGAAGCTTCGCTGCACGTCATCCACGCTGACCTGCTTTTGCCGTCGCTTCGCAGCAACCAGCTGTGACGTTGTGATGAGGTTGCTGGCATACCGCAGACCAGCCTCCTGGCCGATCTTAGCCAACAGTGCCAGGGCATCGGGAGACAATTCGACCTCCTCCTCAGTGGCACGGATGGAGATGATCTGCTTGATCTCGTCCCCGCTATATGGCTGCGTCTGGATGATTGACACCCGGTCGAGAAAGTCCAGCGGGAGACCATGAGGGCTCTTGTAATCAGTGCCCCGGATCCGCGACTGGCCGCGATTGCTAGCCATGATAACAATGGGAGCCAGGTCGTCCTCCAAGGCGCGATTGATGTACGAGAAGCACTCGATATCGAGCATGTGGACCTCGTCTATGAACAAAACGCCAGGTACGATCTCGGCTTTACCCTCCTCTTTCCACTCGCCAACCTTGGTATTGATCTGGTCCCTGATCTCGCTGCGGATCTCACCCGTGTCTCCGGAGAAAAGGGCCAGGAAGCCTTGCGTTCTCGAGTTGATGACATCGATCTCGTGCAGGGTGACAGTATGGACGACCTCCTTACGCTTCTGGAGTTCACCGTCAGGGCACTGCAGGAATTTTGTGTCGACGCCCATGGCATCGTAGTCGCGTGACCGCGCATAGGAACGGCCGAGCTTGGTGATCTTTCCGGATGACTTGTCTATCGAGATAATATCGCCGGCCATGACCCGCTCCTTTGTCATGGCGTCGATCATCTTGGCACCCATGTCGTAGATGGCCTCCATGTCGGTGGTCTTGATGGTCAGCTTGCCCTGCTTGGCACCGCCGGTGACACTCCTGTCGATCTGGATCTCGACAACTTCGCCTTCCATTATCTCGCTCTCCTCCTTGATGCGCACGCCGATGGATTTCCGGAAGGCCTGAGTGAGGGCCTCGGTCTTGGACATCTCGAGGGAGAAGATCTCGGAAGACGAGAGCGATGTGAAGGGCACGTCGGAGCCGAGGGACTGGGCCATGGCCATGGCGATGGCCGTCTTTCCTGTGCTGGTTATGAAGCAGTGCGCGTCAGCGGAGCACAAGAAAGATGGCGCGAATCCATGTCCAGGCCGGCTTACCTTGGTGGGCCCGCGATCAGACAGGCGCGACCGGCAATCTTGCCCTGCTTGATCATCTCGAGTATGACGGCGGCGGCCTTGCGGGCCTTCTGTTGGCCAACGAGGCCCTGGGAGGCGACACGAGGCTCCAAGGTGTCTGCATCGACGCCGAGGCCACGGACATGTGAGTGTGCGGCAATCAGATTGATGCCGCGGAGCTCCTTGCTCTCGGAGACTGTCACGACGGGCTGCGTGCGACCGACCGCGTTAGAAGGCTGGACGGCCAGGAGGGGACTGGGGCCAAGCATGCTGGATACATACCGCAGCCATGGTCTCGGCTTGGCTTCAAGGCAGTTCAATGAGGTGGGTCGAGACAGCGACACGGAACGAGCAGCTACCGTTGTTTGCGCGGCGTGCAGAGGTGTGCCTCTTTCCCAGGTGGTAGCTTTTCTACCAAGGTCAGACGGAGAAGGATGGACGGTCTGAAAGTGCTGCTCCCGATTTGCTCCACACTAGCAAGCTAACAGCCCTGCAGCTGTGTGGAGGCCAGATACGGTTTGGGGCAGGGGTCCCGGGCGGTTCTGGCAGGGGTCACTTTCCGGCTGGGCTTAACAACGCTACCTACCTACCTACCTACCTACCTACCTACTGTAGCGCCTCAGGTAGGGTTTATACAGACCGTTTCTAGCCTAATACTCTCTAGTAATAGTTTCAAACCTATTCTAATCATTTTTAATATAATTTAAAGTTAATATAAGTTATTTATAAAATTAAATTTTATATAAAAAAATAAAAAGTTATAAGATTATAATAATATTTATTTATACTTTTATTATTAAATTAAGTATAATAATTAAAATATTTAAAACTTATTCTAATATATTTTTAGAAATTATAATTAAAGTTATTTAAAATATAATATAAAAGTAATATAATTATAATTTTTATTATAAAAATAAAAGAATTATATAAATTAATAAAATATATAAAATATATAAAATATATAAAATATATAAAATATATAAAATATATAAAATATATAAAATATATAAAATATATAAATATATAAAATATATAAAATATATAAAATATATAAAATATATAAAATATATAAAATATATAAAATATATAAAATATATAAATATATAAAATATATAAAATATATAAAATATATAAAATATATAAAATATATAAAATATATAAAATATATAAAATATATAAAATATATAAAATATATAAAATATATAAAATATATAAATATATAAAATATATAAAATATATAAAATATATAAAATATATAAAATATATAAAATATATAAAATATATAAATATATAAAATATATAAAATATATAAAATATATAAAATATATAAAATATATAAAATATATAAAATATATAAAATATATAAAATATATAAATATATAAATATATAAAATATATAAAATATATAATTTTAATATTATTTAATTATAAAATAACTTTATATAATAAAATTAACTTTTATATTTCTTTAATTAATATTTTTAAAATTATATTAATATATTACTTTTAAATATAATACTAAAAAATAAAAGTCTTTTAAATATTTAAAAATATTTTTAAACTTTTAAAATTTATAAAAAATTATATATATAAATAGTTTTATATATTTAAAAATAATATAATAAAATATTACTTTTATTATTATATTTATATTATAATTATAATATAATAATATATCTAATATATAACAATATATTATTATATTTAAATTATAATATTATAATAATTTTATATATAATAATTTTATATATAATAATTTTATATATAATAATTTTATATATAATAATTTTATATATAATAATTTTATATATAATAATTTTATATATAATAATTTTATATATATTTTTATATAAAATAAAAAGTAACTTTTATTATTAATAAATAATTTATTTATATATAATTATAAATATAATAAAAAGTTATTTAAAAGTTTTAAAGTCTTAATATAAACTCTATCTAAAAGGTGGGGGTGCCTAGGGACCCTATGATATACTCTAGTATGTCCGATCCACACAACGGGTGGAAAACATCACGTCACAGTGGGCATACTAACTAGGCACTGGTGCCTAGCAACCAAAAGAAAACTGAAAAAAAAAGGAGGCAATCCAAAAGTACTTTACGCGCCCAGCGCGAGACCCCTGCCCCCTGCCGGTCCTTCGCCTGCACATTCGCCAGCTCGACTGCTGGTGTTACATTAGGTAGGTAGGTAGGTAGTTTGGCGGGGAACTCAGACACCCCCCCAGACAGCAGCAGTGCACAGCCATTCATACGTTTATCACTTATGTATGTATGTGCAAGACTGGCGCCCTCTAGGAGAACGGTGGGAGGCGCATACTCAATTCTACCACACCACGTACCTGCCCCATCAATCTGGCGTTGGCCCAGCCCCTCCCCAATTGAGGCAGAGCACCCGCTCTTTCCCAACCTGGTCCGCCTTGACGACATATGTCTCTGAACCGTCTGGCTGTTTGAGCAGGTGCCAACACCGCACCGCACACCCGCGCCGGCATGTCTTCTTCACGGGATTTCAACGCCCCGTTTGCCCCCTACCGACGAAATCGTTCCCGCTCCCGCGATCGTTTTACTAGACCAGGCCCTATCCGCACTGCATCAGGGGATCATGTAAAGGACCGTGATCGCGATCGAGACCGGGATCGAGACCGTTACCACGACCCCCGTGATCGCGACTGGAGGAACGACCGCGACCGCGACCGCGACCGCGACAGAGATCGGGACCGCGACTTCGACATGGCCCACACACCATACCCTTCGCACAGCCAGGCACCCAAGATGGACCCGGACAAGGCCTCAGCCGACCTGTCAAAGGTGCTCCATCAAGTGGCCGACCTCATGACCCAGAAGACCCAACTCTCCCTCAAGAGGGACGCCGAGCTCAAGGCATATCACAAGAGGAAACAAGACTACGAGTGTCAGATCTCAAAGCCCGTGCAGTTCCCGGCTGTACATGATCTGTTCCAGAGCAGTCAGAATCACCACAAACAGACTCTAGCCGCCATTGACAAGGATCTCGCCAGCATATCCCAAAAGGTGGCTGTCGCTTTCGACAAGTACGCCCAGACGCTCGTGAGGGCTTTCCCTATCGACGAGGTCAAGGTCCGCCAGATTCTGGAGAGTTGCAAAGGGGAGCTGGGCTCGACGACCACGCCTCCGCAATCCGCGCAAGACGAGCGCCTCATGAAGCTAGAGCAGCGACAGGCTGCCATCGAGGAGACATGGAAGAAGGAGGTTGCTTCCCTCAAAGCAACACAAGAGAAACAGGCCTCAGAATTGGCCACTTACAGGGAAAGGGAGAAAATGCTTGCCGATTCGGCGCAAGAGTACCAACAGCTGAGAGCGCAAGTGACCTCTTTGACGTCCGAAGTTGCAAACTTGACCCAGCGCATGAGCACGTTCGAGCCGGCCGAGGCACTACGGGAAAATGCCAACGAACAAATAGGCTCGCTCAGGGCCGACCTGAGCAGACTCGAGGAAGCATTTAAACTCGAGTCAACCAAGGCGGAGGATAAGAAACCAAACGTGGCCCAGGACGAGACTTTGCTGCAGGAAATTGCGGGCCTAGGACAGAGGTGCCAGGAGCTGAGTCGAGAATTCGGCGCCTTGAGGGACACATCAACGAGCCACGCCGAACGGATTGCCGCCTTGAACACGGATGTGAAGCAACACGAGAATTTGCTGGCAAACATCGACGTCGAGAATCTCGATGACGCAATGACGGACTTCACTGCGCTGAAGGGTCAGGTTGTGGCTCAAGATCTGCTCATTGAAGATTTCAAGCAATCTATGGCTGAATCCTTGGCTAGGGTAACTGAGAAAATGCCCGCGGATCTTCCCGCGAGTTTCAGTGCATGGTCCGACAGGGTCCTGAAGGTTTGCGGTACAAAGATGGACGAACAAACGAAACAAATCAAAATCTTGCAGGATTCTATCAAGAGCCTGCAGGATGCCGCGTCAGCCGCGAATGTCGTCGCCGTAGCGCCGGCCAGCGGTCCTGCGTCGACGCCGACGCCCCAAACGAACACAAGCCTCGCCTCCAATCTAGAAGCTGTCGCGTCTAGCGTAGCATCTGCGGAATCTCGCTTGATAGAAGCCGAGTCCAAGGCCGTCGCCATCGTCTCCAGGCTAGGTGCTTTGCAGGACGCGGTGGCCGAGGTGCAAGGAAGTATGACCACTTGGCAAGATAGCCTGACCAATCTCCGGATCCAAGCAGACCGGCGTTATGGGGCGCTAGAAACGATGGTTGAAAGCCTGAGTAGCCAGTGGAACAACATGAACACAACCCAGATGGCCCACGCCATCCTGGAGCAGCTCAGTAGACTCCAGCCTGCCCAGCTCGTGCCTGAAATACGGCACTTCCAGGAGAGGCTATCAGACGTCGAGAGAGTCATTCAAGAGGATGGGGAGCAGCGCAAAAACCTGTCACTGAAGATGCAATCCGTCTGCGACGACATCGCAAAGGCACCTAAACGAGGACTGGGTGCGGAGGACAAGTTTCCTGGGCCTCAAGATAAGCGGTTAAGAATCGAGGATCAGAACGGCGTGAACGGCTACGGTAATGGCTACATTCACTCATAATGCCCCGTACGAGAGTTCTGGTTTTTCTGTTTCTTGCACCCTGGCGTCTTCGGATATGTACAAATGGAGAATGAAGTGCCCACGGTATGAGCTACGGTGGATTCTGGCCACAGATTTGGGCTTGCAAAAGAGGCTTTCTGTGGAGCACTACTAGAGATACCCTGAACTTTTGTCTGTTTGATTTTTTGGTTGTGCAAAGCGGGCGTGGGAGGCTGCGAATGGCTTCTTACAGAATCAATGGAAATCCTACACACAAGCCTGTAATTTCAAAGAATGGTTGTTGTTTTTTTGATCCTTTCTTTTTCCTCAAACGAGTTTCGTCTTTCACCGTGCCATTCTGGCTTGGGACAGATGCTAAAAACGCTACCATATGCTAGGCATCTTGACTTCCCAGTGCTTTACAACCACACCCGTACATTCCTACCTACCCTTGGGTAGGTACTTCAAGTTACTTGCATTAGACTATTTGGCTCCGCTGGTGGGCGGTGTGCTGGGTGGTATCTTCCAGGCTTATCTAATCTTGAGATGTGGGGATTCTGGGGGGGCGTCAGCGACATCTGGACTGTCGTCATTCAGGCTGCCTGCCGCTGCCCGTAATACTTAACAACTTCAACCTCCGATAGCTTTGAACCAAAAGCTTCCCCCACGTCTTTGAGCAAGCACCAACTCCTTCGCCTCTGAGCCTTCCCACTCCGTCTCCTACCAGTCAGATACCGCCCTCCACATCTGCCATTCCCTTTTTCTCAGGTCCAGCGCCAATAACAAAGGCTCTCTCTTCCGACACGAAGCACCCGGACATGGTAAGTAGCTGTCCCTTGTACGGATCGACACCGAGCATGTCCTCAGTTTGCCTCTCTGCCAGGCCCCTCATGGGCACCAGCTCGTGGCTCTGCGGACACAGGTCTTCGATGCTGACACTTTGCCCTTTAAACTTACAGTTTGCACCTGGATACGGCGGTATGGATCCGGCCAACCCGCAAGACTTCCTCAACATGGCGCGGTCGATGCGCCGGCCTGTCACTCAACGATTCGACGAGTACTATCGCTGCTACCCCATGGTGATGCATCCCGGCCCCGAGCGTACCGAGCTGAACTATGGCTCCAAAATCCTGCTGCCGCCGTCAGCACTCGACAAGGTGTCCAAGCTCCACGTGCAGTGGCCGTTGCTCATGGAACTCACCAACGGGGAGAAGGAGAGGCACTCTCATGCCGGTGTGCTGGAGTTCGTCGCCGAGGAGGGTAGGGCGTACCTCCCGCAGTGGATGATGCAAACGCTGCTACTGGACGTCGGCGACATGATTCAGATCAAAACAACGTCCCTAGAGCTCGCCAGGCTGGTCAAGCTCCAGCCGCAGTCCGTCAACTTCCTCGACATCAGCGATCCCAAGGCTGTGCTCGAGCGTGCCTTCCGGAACTTCGCTGCCGTCACCAAGGGCGATGTCTTCAACTTCGAGTACAACGATACGGTCTACGACGTGGCAGTCCTGGATGTGAAACCCGAGACGGAGAAGATGGGAGTCTGTATGATCGAAACGGACGTCTCGGTCGAGTTTGCCCCTCCAGTGGGATATGTGGAGCCAACAAAGCCCTCAGGGAGCGGCACCAGCACGCCGAGGAGCACCCGTGGCCTGCCGGCTGGAGGATTGCTGCATAATCAGGGCACCATGGCTCAGGCCATCAATTACGACGCTATCGCACCCTCTTCCGTCGCGGCGCAGGTGACCAATTTCCACGGCGAGGGCAACCGTATTGGTGCTAAGAAGGGTGGAAAGGCCCCCACACCAAAGCCAGCCACACCTGTCCAGGGCATTCCAACAGACAAGGAGTCTGGCACACCCCGAAGACGCACAAATGGGCCACTGCCGCTTCGCTTGCCCCCGAATAAGTTGTTTCTTGGATATGAGGTCACGCCGTACAAGTCCAAGGAGCAGAAGGAGAGAGAGAACGAGGGTGCACAGAAGCCTCACTTCGCAGGCCAGGGGCAGACGCTGAGAGGAGGCGTCAAGAAGAAGGTTGAGGCGGAGGACAAGCCACCTGTCGTGAAAAAACCCGAGGTCGGTCGTCGACTAGATGGCAAGGGTGTCTCTTAGATGTGTTCTTTGCTCTTGTGTTTCTGGGGCTTGTGGACAGCCAGGCGTTCCGGTTGCAGGGTACGGGACGGGAATTACGGGTCCCAACATTATGGCAGACAGGACAGGACAAGTTCGTGAATGCTGTGGCTTTTTTGTACTCTCTCGCAGCTGCACTATTGAGACGATGGCCTCATGTGAAATGACGACAAAAGCAATCGCCCAAGGGGATACCTCCTAGTGAACAATTTCCTGGAGGGAAATTTCTTGTAAATCAAACTTAACTAAGTTGACCTCTAGAAAACACCAAAAAGGCAACCACGAGGACCATCTTTTCAAATCGCTCTCCCACCTTACATTGAAAATTCTTATGCTATAACCTCATGCATTTATTCCCCGGCAGGACATCTCCCCTAGAGTAGCATAGGGTATCTTCCTTTATCAGTTCTATGATCGTTATAGCTGGGTTTTGTGGGCTGCATAGACTCTGTAGCTCTTCAGTCTGTGCATATAGAAAGAAGCGTGGGCCGGCCTGAAACACAACGTCATGCCTCTCTGTTGCCTGATATTCACAGACAGGCACATCAGGAGGTGGAGGATGGAGACAAGGGCATTTATCTGGTGAAGCGGAGCAATATCCAGCCCGGTGGGCAGTGAGAAAGGAAGACGGAGCAAAGAGCTGTCACCGAAAGAACGTTTGAAACCAATGTTTGAGATCTACACCAAGCAAATGGCCTTTGCTTGGTGCTAGAAATCGCCGTCCCATTTTCCCAGCAATTTACTCTGGCTGCATGGTCTAGGAATCGTGTTCTGACAAGCAAGGAAGAAGAAATCTGTACGCACAGGCCTGTCATAAAAGCATTCCCACACAACAGCAGTAGAAGTAATACATTCTATCAAATTCCGAAACCTCAAAACAAAACCTGGACGTGGGACTATCCAGAGCACAAGTTCACCGTACAAAATGGACAACTCGACTCAACCTCTAACCAAACAACAGACTGGAAATGAAGGGCCAATGATGAATTTGGTGAAGCATCCTCACGGTATTTATCGATTCATTCCTTATGGGAATGCAGGCTGGACGAGAAAACAGGCCGTTTACTCAGTGGAAGCGGTTGTCCCACTCCTCATGCTTCACAAGAGCTTGAGGTTGATCCGGTGCCATCATGGCACTGGGGGCAATACCAAAACCCTCCGGATGAGTAATGTGCTGGTGATCACAGAAGGCAGAAGCAGGGGCATTGTAGGTGTCCATCTCGTACGTCGGCATTGCGAAGGGCGAGTATGACGGGCTTGGCTGCCAGGACGCCGATTCGTGGCCACAGTGAGCAGCTGCCCCAGTGTAATCGTACTGGGCTTGTTCGTGGCGGAGCACGTCGCTCGCAGGGCTGGTGGCGTATCCATGGGATATGGCGAAGAGGTCGCTATCGCTACAAGGCGTCAGGAGCCGATTATGGAACTGGATCTGGGTGTCGGGAAGGGGGTTGTGCGGCACGTCGGGTTCAGCGACGCAAGCCTCGGAGGGTGTCTGTTGGAGTTCTCTTTTGACCCGGTTTTCGTCCTTGATCTTGGGTGGCGGCGCCTTGGGCGCCTGGGGCTCGTCCTCTTGGCTGCGTGGTCGTGCGTTCGGGTCATCCTTGATGGGCTGTTCGTTCTCCTTCTTCGCCTTGGTTTCCTTCTTGGACTTGGTGATCTTGGACTTGCCCGCGCCGGCCCGGTTCCTCCGTTGGGGTTCGATATTCAACAACGAATTGCGAAATCGAGAGTACCTCATGCGAGCAGCATGACCGTTTGTGATCTCCTGGGCCAGTATCGGGTTATGGGCAACGGCATTCCAGTCAATCTAACAGGTCAGCGGCGTGCGCCTTGGAGGTCCAGCCCAAGTCTCCGAGGTGCCCTTACATCTTTGAGGTTCTTCTGCTGCAGTATGGCGAAGAGGAATCGAGCCATGACATTATCATTGTTGGAGGACATGATGACAATGCCAACGGCAAGTTCTGGAACAGGTCCGTTGGAGGGCCAAGTAAAGGAGGACGAGAGGGCTTGCCCACAGGAGAGGAGAGGGGGCGGCTGTTCCAATTTGAGCTTCACAGCGTACTGTTAGCCCTGCTGGGATGGCTACCTGCCCGGAATCTCGCACAGTTTGAATAGTGCAAAAGGTTCAAGCTGGATGTAGGGCGTGGGGTGAGTCACTTGGTGGGTGTGTGAAGATCAGTGAGGCAAGGCTTAGTTAGAGTGTGATTTTATAAGTCTGGGCTACCAGACGAGGCCAACATGTACCATTTAGGAATGGGTTGATGGTGTGCCTGGGCGGTATGAGTTGAGGTCAAATGGCTGCTCAGGGCTATCGACCCCTGATAGCCGGGACACCTAGGCTAGATGCAACGGGCAGTGAGCCGGGCTGAGCACATGGGCTCGCGGCAACAATGTGCTGATGATCAGCCAAGGAGATGCTCTAAAAGGACTTGGCCATGGCCAAAGGGAACAAGTCTGCATGAAGAATTGTTTGCTCTTGTTCGGGCAGAAGGTCTGATAAAGCCAGGAGGCAAAGGAGCCACGAGGGGCTCTGAGCCCATCTTGCTTGGGAGGGGCGTCTTGCTTTTTGTCTGGGCCTTGTCTCCATCCGCAAATCCATTCCGTGAGAATGATGCCTGTGGTTGCCTGGTCAGCTAAGGCAAAGCCAACAAATCAAGGCTCCAGTACGAGGGTGGTGTGGGTAAAACGTGATCTCGCGGAACACTCGCGTAAAGTGGTATCTTGAACAGGTTGCATCGTGCGTCTGACATTCCGGCCTGACCCCTGACCCTACTCCGTACCCTTGCACAAGACACTGGCCGCCGATAAAGTGTCCCTGGGCGCCAAATGGTACGTACTCAAAACACACATCGGGGATTTAGAAGGGACCCCTTCGAGGGCTCCGACGGCTACCTGCGTGCGTTCAAGGCAGCCCCCGGCGTCGTCGAGGCTGGACCGACGAGAACGCGTGCCAGAGAGAGCACGGGCTGAGGGAGGCGACGCAGGCTGGCAGGCAGGGCTGGTGCGATAGGATCGGCGCAACAGTGAGTCATAGCCATTGCAAACACGCCGAGACAGGGTCGTTTGTCGGTTCAGGGATCTTAATTGGAACTCGATGCAATGCGCGTCGAGAGCCGTCACTTCCCCGGTGCACCACACACCATGCCAGACCCGGTCAGGAACGGCCGGGTCAAACCGCGTCGGAGGACTGCAGGATTTACTTTTCTGTGCCTCGATCGGGCGAGAGGGCCGACTCTTTATGAAAAAAAAAAAAACCAAAATCAAAAAAATCCTGTTATCTTTCACTTCTTGCTGCAATGGCGAATGGTTGGCTGCCGGGCTGCGGAAGGGCTGGGGTGGCAAGGACTCTAATGCTTGCCAATTGCCGGCCTTTTGGTGACCAAATTCAAGGTAGGTGGCGTTGGGACGGCGGCGGCGGATGCGGATGAGGGCGGGGAGGTTGCAGAGTTGTGCAAGTGGGAGATGAGCACGGCAGGGCTGCTGCTTGTCATAGGACAGGCGATTCGTGGATGACTCTGCTCTGACAGGGAGACGCAAGACACTGGAGCCTGTGTCTGGGAACTTTGTCTGGGGCTTGCGCCGGGGCTGACGCCTCCATTGGCCCGAGACGTGTGCCGAATACGCGTCCGACCTGCAAGGTTGGAAAGCGGGGCTTGGCTGCCAGGACAGTGCGGGTCGCCCAACGCGACATGGCTCGCGAGTCCACGTGATGCCAGCCTGGACGGAGAGCCCGTGCTGCCAGGCCTGCCAGGCCTGCCAGGCTGCCTAGACAGACGGCTGGGGGTGCATGTGGCTGGGGGCCGTGCTCTCTTGCCCCCCCCCACCTTCCCCAGCTCCCCTCCCTTGTGACTGGCTGGCGGCTCCCCTCGCATTTCTGACCAAGCTCCTCCCTCCCGCTCGCAAAGCGCCCCAGATAGCCAGCTATCAACAAGTCGTTTCTTCCCTCCCTCTGCCAAAGCCCTCCAGGTACCGGTCTAACAATTATTACCCATCTCGATCCGGTCAATCAGATCCATCAGATCCGTTCGTAAACCATCCATCGCGTCAAACCCGTACACGCCTTTTGAGGCTATTCGCACTTGGGCCCACGCCTGTTTCCTAAACTCCGCGAGGATGAACAGCAAAAACTGGGGCGACAGTCAGTACCTTTTTCTGCCTGCTCAGTCCCGTCATTCCCTGTGTTTCTTCCCTCTGTTCCTCTTCCAGCCGTTGTCACCAGCCGGCAACTGGACGCCCCTGTAGCTTAGTCCATGTTGCTATCGTCGGCATGATGAACATGAATCCCGCCACTCCTGCCGTCGCTGTCGCCGTCGCCGTCGCTGTCGCCGTCGCCGTCGCTGTCGCCGTCGCCGTCGCTGTCGCTGCCGCTGCCACCAGCACTGTCTGGCGTTGCGCTGATATTGTGTCCCTCCAGAAGCCGACAAGGATCTGTTCTTCACCATACTGTCTGTTAAGAACATCGGTGTTATAAGCGGCTCAGAATGGACCACCATCGGGAACCACATGCGGTCTCTCGGGTATGGTTTCACCAATGAGGGATGCCGGTAAGCTCGATTCCACAGCCATCCAGCCCCGCCATGCTATGCCTTCTCTTGTCCCATCCACACTTACCCTAAACCTCCCCGTCCTCACTCGCTCAGACGTCTCCAACTCCAGACAGCGTTCATGCAACAGCCCTTGTCACCTCAGCCCCAGAGCCGACATTTCGTCCCTGCGGTCCTCCATTTGCTCTCGAGAATAGGGCTGACACCCGTACTAGCCAACACTTCCAAGGTCTCCGCCGAGCACAGCAAAAGGCTGAGGCGAACGGCGCGTTGGGTGACAACCCCCGGAAGATTGACCCTACTCTGAATCCCATCACTCGGCGCCCGGGTCCGGGACGGGGTAGGCCCAGGAAGTCTGTTGGCGCTGCCACTGCAGATGGTCAAGGGGCTGATAGTGCCAGCCCCTCGCCATCGCAGACCCAGATCCAGCACCAGCAGCAACAACAACAACAACCGCCACAGGCACAAGCACTGGATCTAGAACAGTCTATGCAACCACAGCCGCCTATGGATCCCGGCGTTGGCCCTGCACCAACCCCCATGATGGATGCCGCCCCGACACAAGCCCAGGCCCCGATGCCCCCTCCGCAGCAGCCGGCCCAGCCGCCACAGCCCATGGTCTTGCAGCCAGAGGGCGTCGTCTCCTTCGAGGGTGCAGGTGAGGAGCCTGATGAGCATGCTGCAAAGCGTCCCAAGCTCGAAGAGAACCACGACCCTGCGCTCAATGATGAAGCCATCCTGAGCGCCTTGGCGGCTCACACCAGCCCAGGCGTTGATCACTATAACCCAGAGTAAGCGCACCCCTGGCCCCTTGCACCCCCAGTCCCAGTCCCACGCCCAGCCCCCCTCCCGAAATCGTTGCTGACAGTATGGAAGTTTCTACGGAGAGGCTTGATGGCGATAACAAGGACGCAAGCAGAGGCCTATCCAGTCTTAGCCACACCCGATCTGGGCTACCCAGCGTTGAGCTTACTGGCGTTGCTTCGGTGTTACGGTGGTGTGTTAGTTTCTGCTTATTTTGGTGTTTGATATTTCTTTGTTGCTTGAAATGTGCTACGATTCGGCTGTAGCCAGTGCCACCAAGGTTTATGGGTCCGGGCTGGCTTGGGGATCCATTACCATGGGGGGAAGAGACTGTCCCGGGTCCTAGGGGAAGACTCGAATGAAGCAGGCGCAATCCACTTCTAAGGCACATAATCTTATTTGTCCTCTCCTCGCCTCCGAGCGACTCTTGAAATCTGCTAAGGCCATTTCGGAATGCCATCACTTTGTGCTGCTATGAGCTGGTGCTTTTGTACTGCGTACTTGGTCGCTCCTCGTTGTGACCGGGCTACCAATGACCAACGGCCAGCTTCTAGTCATCTGGAGCCAATGAGTTCTGGCCGGGCAACAGTGATTCATCTTCTAGGGTCCGCCCGCTGGCCATTTCAAGGCAGCTCGAGATCCCAGTTACGCTCTGACTGCCCCAGGCTTTCCATACCTGGTACCAATCGCCAGGCTCACGACATCTTGCTGCCGTGCGCACTCAACCGCAAAAGAAGGATCATTTCTGTTTTCTCGAGCTTACCCCTGCCTGGGACAATACAGCCCTCACCATGGCTGGAGCCTCCTCTCAGGCGGCTGCTGTCGCCGCTGTCAGTGGCAGTCCTAGCAGCCCAAAGAGCACGAACACGAAATGGAACGAGGAGGCTCACCGTGCCCTCATTGGTACCCTCTTAGATGTGATGGATTCCTCTGACAAAAAGTGGCGGGCTCACCTAGATCTCATGGTTGAGAATATGGAAGGACGGGGCCAGCAGTTCTCTAGGGAGGGCATCCGGTAATTTGCACCTATTTCATTTATCTCATCGCTCCCAAGCAAAGCACCAACCCTGTCACCCCTCCCTGCCACCTCGTGCCACCTTCAAAGCAAACCGGCCACCCCCCTCCACCTTGCAGTGTCCATTTCCTTTTCAGCATCTCGAAGGGAGAAAAGGCTCCTCCGAACGACAAGCAACGGCACGCCCCCACAAGCACAACCAGCCTCAGCCTCCTCAAAATGCCTACCGCGTGGGATGCCACCCGTGAGCGAGACCTGCTCGAGGAGATTTACTTCGTGCTGTCGTCCCGCCAGTCGCTGTCCCAAGAGGACAAGGACGCTGTTGTTGAGGGAATGCAGCAGAGAGGCTATGCCAATCTCAAGTGGAACGCGATTCGGTAAGGCATTGTCACTTTTAGAGCAGAAGACCTGTCCAGTGGGCATCGTGTTTACCTACCACTTTCTACATCTCTGCCACACTGCCCTTCCCCCTCCTCACCCCCTCCGTTTTCACCGCCTCAACCTCCTAGCAACGCACCACGACCCAGACCAACAACGCAGACCAACGACGCATACCAACAACGCAAACAACCCAGACCACGTACCACAAAACAAAAATGGGTGTGACTTGGAACGCGGATGCCGATGCCGACCTTTTCAAGGCCGTGCTCGCTTTCTCGCCGCCTTTGACCCAGATGCCAGCCGCAGACCGCGATGGTATCGTCGCGTTCATGCACAGTCGCGGCCACACTGACGCGACTTGGGATGGTATCCGGTAAGCCGCCCTGCCAGTTTTGCCAAGTGGCGATCCTCACAATGCTACTTCCTGCCGCGTCTTTCTCAAGTTCTCTCAACCTCCCCTCATCTGTATCTACACCACAATCACTCATACACTTGGCGGATGTCTCAGTCAGAGACCTGGGATAGTGCCACAATGATTGGTCTCTTGTCCCACTGGTCACCACCGCGTCTATCTCTCAGATGGGAGCCTCAGAAAAGGAGGAAGCTGTTGCCTTAATGTGGGCCTGGGGCCATGTTCTGGGACAATTTTCAGTATGTCTGGTGCAACAACTGAGGCACAGAAAACGACACCCTTGCATGATTGTTTCCTCAGCCGTTTGTCATTCTTAACCTTGATCACTTGACACAAAAACATCAACTTATCTTGATTTCTACTTTTCACCCTCTGCCTCCCCATTTCTCAGTGCTGCCTCACGACATCAAACCTTTGAGAATGGGTCCCAAGAACAACCGTTCTCCCCAGAACTGGGATGAGCCTGCTCTGGTCAAGGACCTGCTCGCTGCGGCCGTCAATCACCTCAACCCGTCGAAGCAGGACATACTGCAGATTGCCACCAAAGCGAAAGTCATGGGGGACTGGCAGTTCACTGAAGGTGCATGCTAGTACGTGGTTCTGAGCCCTCTTCTGCCTGCTGTCTTCTCAGCACCCTCCCACCATCCTACTTCCCAGTCGTCTACCCTCCTACTTCCTGCCCTACCTCCCTTGGACGTCCATCACAGCTCTTCTGGCTTCTTAGCTTTCGCCCCACGACTTGACCCCTGGGCATTTTCCCACTCTCTTATTGTGTTTACCACATTTCCTGGCAACGGTTCTGTTCCAATTTCGACGGCTTCCACAAACATTTTCACCAACATCATGGCCAGCCCTTCCAAGGGACCTCCCTTCAAGTGGGACTCCGCTGCAGAGCGTGATCTCTTCGCCGCTTGCCTGATTGCAGCAGATGAGCCGAAAGGCGCCACCTTAGCCAAGGCTATGGAAATTCTCAAGGAGAACTTTGGAGAGCGGTTCACTCAGAAGGCTGCTTCTCACAGAATGTAACAAACACCACCCTCAGAAGAGCCTGACAACAATGGCGTCTCTAAGCAGGGACCTAACATCACCGTCATTGGAATAGTCGCGTTCATAAACTTGACGCTCCTTCCCTCTGATACGTCTATTAACTTCTTTTATAGTCAGCATCTACAGAAGCTCAAGCGGAAGGAGGGGGCCACAACCCCCAAGAAGACCGCTACGCCAGGCAAGAAGCGCGGAAAGGCCACAGCCGAGGATGAAGACGAGACTCCAAAGAAGAAGCAGCGCAAGACAGCCACCAGCGAGCCTTCCGAGCAGGATGACGAGGAGGATTTTGATATGCAGGTCAAATCCGAGCATGAGTAGGTCTTCCTCCCCTGACATTTGCGGCTGCCTCAGCTCACAGGTATCCAACAGCAAGGAGCAGGGCGACATCTAAGACCAGCAATTCCGTGTTCTACAGAACTCAACACCGACAACATCTCGACAACATCATCATAGCCACGTCTGACAAACGTAGCTGAGCCAGGGATGGAGCAGCCTAGCGGTCAGAGTCCTGGAAAGTACGGTTGGAGGAAGAGCCGAGGGGGTCGTCTTCTGCATGAGTGAAAGAAAGCAAGAACGGAATGGTCACAAACAGAGAAGCACAATAGGCTTCAGTCGCCCCTGTCATCGAAACTCGTTGCAGGGCTTTGTAACATTAGACCTGGACATTCCAAATACATCAAAACTCGGCCAATGATGCTTTCGCCCCTGAATCTGTGCTGAACGATACTCCTGCTTGTGATTCCACGACAAATTTCATGAGTAACGAGTTGATATCACGAGAAAAAGGGTGGATTTGTTCTACATACATGATTTAGCTGCATGAAGTCCCTGGGTATAGTAGTGAACGAAGGTGCTGTCCTAAGAGGTTGTCTCATGAGAAGTCGCTTCGTAGCAAGCTTCCCGGCAGGAGATTTTCCTGTGGGAGATAACCATATGAGAAGCTTTTCTAAGGGAGTTAGGAAATAGACACTGTGTGTCTGTGAAGCAGAGCTCGTCCTTTCGAATCGTGCACTCCACATCGCCGCTTGAAAATTGATTATCGGACGAAGGTCCTAGACAAGGATTATTCAAAGTACACCTTGCTTGGAAATCCCACTACCTAGGTACATACATCTTCAGAGCCGTCTACAGCAGCTGGCCCATCCAACTGCCCAGGTGTTGCCGTATTTCACTCCTGCCACTCTTCATTCTACACCAGAAGCATTTCAAAACATCAACTGGACTGAACTGGTAACTTCCGAACAAACTTGTTCCATCTTCAGAGCGCTTTCTCGACCAGCAGGCCCGCCGTCAAGTACATCTGTGTAAGTTTACATGTCGCGAGCAGGATTAGTACTGTTTAGTCATTTACGTTCATGAACAAATTAAGCGTCAAGACTATTCCAGTACTTGAAGAGATCACGGAGTCTGACCAGCAGTAGTGAGCTCGCTCACCATCATCACCATGTCTGGCACGACCGATCCCACCGAGACCTCCAAGAAGGGCCAGTTGAACGACAAGCAGACCAAGCTCCTTGCCGCCATGGCCCAAAATACCATCGGAAAGGTGGAGTACAATGTCAGTCTAACAGAACCGCTCTACATTCCTTTACTTCTTGTCCTAATGTTTGATTGGGCACCTTCACAGTGGGAGAAAATTGCCATGGACTCCGGCTACAAAAACGTCGCCAGCGCGAAGAGCACCTACTCTCGACTCTGCTCTCAGCTCAACGGCGGCGGCGGCAGCAAGACCTCCGGTGAAAAGGGCGACGGCCCTGTCGGTGGCGGCCCCAAGACGCCAACCAAGATCAACAAGCGGTCTGGAAAGGTGGGCAGCTCCTCGACCAAGAAGCCCCGTGCCAAGAAGGCTGCGGCTGCTACCTCTCTTGCGATCAATTCTGGAAACGATGATGAGGAGAATGGAGACCAAATCAAGCTCAAGATGGAGCCCGAGGACCAGGATGAGGATGAGGTCGATACCCTGATGAGCGGTGCGCTCTAGCTCAGCCAAATCCATGGCCTATTACCTGGGCGGATGGTAGTGCAGAAGACTTTGGGCATTTGAGTGCTTTACTTGGCGGAAACATTTGAATTGAACGAGGGAAATGGCCCGCACTTCGTACGTTGATCCAGCTAGCTTCCAGAACCAACAGAACACTTGGCCCGATTTCGGAGACGCCACCATGGGTTGAGATTGGTTCTTTCCATCATGCAAAAAGTGCTCTGACAGCCTGAAGACCTCAATCTTTCCATAAAGTTCCTCAGCACTCTGGGCTAGCTTCAGCTCGTCAGTGGAAGCATAGGCATCGGGCACTTCAGAGTTGAAATTGGACAAGTGCCTTGGATAAGCCAAATTGCAACTGACCCGGTTGGCACGCGACACCTGGCCCTTTTCGCCTAACCGGGGAGACCACTGTGATGAGAAAACCAAAAAAAAAAAAAAAAAAAAACCCAAGAGGTAAAGGTTCAAGGAACAACAAGTTCTGCTCGTATACCTGCTGCGTAGAATGACGTGTAGCTCCCACATTGTAGCCTCTGAAGGATAAAATACGGTATTGTAGTACCTGAATAGACGGTAGATAAGTCGTCAAGGGCTCTGCTGTGATGTGTTGTAATCTCGAAAGTGTGGTTGTATTACGGCAGTGGGGGCCCATGGATGTGGTTGAAGGGGAGAGTCAGGGCATTGGGGGTCATTATGTTGGCTTATTTCATCAGCATTCAATGTTCCTTTGGGATGGACCTTTCTGAGTTGCCTTTGTCCCCGAGACAATATTGCAAGGCAACAGGACTTCCACTTTCTGGCTGACTTTTCTCAGACTAATTAATTGTCTGGCTTGAATGAAGAAGAGGACTGTAGCCAGCGTCAGGCTGTCTGCTGTGGGCAGTCGCTAACTGGGTAGTCCCTAACCTGATCAGCCACCAAGAGCCTCAATGAGGGGGAGACAAACGAGACTTATCTACTGTCAATGACAGTAAGAACTTTAGGCAACATCAGACAGCTTCTACTCATATTAAATAAGGATGTTTCTAGGTTGGAGACTTACCAAATTGTGGTCAATAATCTGTCTCAACTGGATCCCCTTGGACAAGTCCCCAGTCCCGGCAAATCTTCAAGTGAGAACAATTGTGCAGTCCTAGCTGCTTGAATCTCTGCCCCCAGGCCCAGACAACCTGAGCAAATTCCACAAAACCGTCCCCCCTTGACCACGCAACTACAGCCCAGTCTCCCTCCTCGATCAGTTTCTTTAGCAACATCTTTAGCAAGCCAAGTTGGGACGTTGACTCGACCGCTCACGAGCCACCGAATCCGCCCTTCAAGCTCAGACACCTGTTGATCAAAAAGTAAGAGGCCTCACCTTCATCATTGTGCCTCAGCTGGCCGTGGCGTTTCGAGCCCCGCCTGTCTCTTTCCTCCTTCCTCCTTTCCCCCAGCACAGTCTTCAGACTACTTGCTGCCCAACGCACAATTTACATGACGCTGCCAGCTTCCGTCCATCTGACGACCAAACAGACCTGTCTCATCCCTTCCGTCCACCCTGAAGTCCTCCGCCATGGCACCGATCGATACCGAGTCGCAGTTCAAGTTTCTCATCGCTTGCATCAAGCACACAAATGCTGGCAAGGTAAGCCATTCACAGCAGGAGAGCCCGTTCCAGACTCCGTTCATCGCCATCGCTAAGCAGCATGTCTGACAGGTTGATTTTGGCAAAGTCGCCGAGGAGCTTGCCATAGTCTCCAAGGCCGCCGCGTAAGTGCTGGACTCCACCTTATTGCTACACGCGGCCTTGCTCACTAACGGACAAACAGTGCCAAGCGGTACGAGCGTCTGATGAAGGCCCATGGCATCGAAAAGTCCAGTGGAGGCGGTGCCAACTCTGCCGGTGCTTCTGGTGGCAGTGGCCCGACTACCCCCAAGACACCCGCGCCTGCTGGCAAGACCGCTAGCAACCGCACCACTCCAGCGAGCAGGAAGCGCAAGATGGCTGCCCGATCTGACGATGTCGACGATGACGACATCAAGCTTGACGTCAAGGAGGAGATCAAGCTGGAGCTGCCCAACGATACTCACGGTTCGTACACCATTGACCCGAATGAACCCCGTCCCCAGGCCCCCTACGGTGCCGGCGACGACTGCAAGAACAGTGATGAATTGTTCATGGTCCCGGCGTCTCGAAGAGAGGACAGCACGGCCCCCGTGGCATCAACGTGCCAGATGATGCTGCCGGCTCCGACCAACGGCTTCTACACTTTCACCGATCCTGCGACCAGCCAGACACCCCTGCCACACAATCAATGTGCCGCATTTGATGTCCCGACCCGATACGAGTGCGGCCATGCTGACTATGCATCACAGACAACGGCGATGCCTCCGCCTGATGGGCGCCAGTGGCTTCACCATCACGACCATGTTTTCTTCTGGAGTGATGCCCACCTGGAACCGCACTTCAACATCAAGCACGATTGAAGTATGGGTCTGAGGCATGGAGGAAGGCTTGGGAGGGGGGTGGAGGACAGACTGCCACTCAGGCGGAGCTTTGGGGAAAGGATTGCGTTGACGATGCCGTTGGGCAGATAGGCAGCTAGGATGTTGAATTCCTTGCGGTGGACACTGGCCCTGAGATCTCGATACGAGTCAACTTGGGGAACGAAACCGCGCGTTGATCTATTTTCGCATCCCCGTGATGTCCGGCACTCGAGCTATGGTGTGAGTTGTGTGATGTGGGCACGAGAGGACCCGAGTCCAGTGTGTGTCGTTGGAGGCCGGGAAAACCTCGGTCCCTCCGCAGAATGCACAACTAGCGGTAGCTTTTTGATGCCATGCTCAGCGCTCTGGTCCTGAGCGTCATGCCTGTCACGGCGTCTACGACAGTCTCACGGCGAGTCAACACGCTTCGATGTGTTAGACTGGGCGTACTCCGTACACAGTAGCTTCCCCATCCCCCGTGCTGTGTTGCTAAGCGATGGGGCAGTCAGAGCCGAGGGAGGTTCTATTGTGGGGCAGAAGGGCGTGGAACCGTTGACTTATACCAGCCATGGCCTAGTGCATAAAGCTCGCCCTGTGCCGACTCTTCTGGTCGCCGGGGCGGCAACTCCAATTTTTTTGAGCTCGAGGTCCGCATCACTATTTGACTTCATCCGCACCTTGGCAACCACCTTCCCCCCTCGTCTCCCAGCTCTTCCGACGATCTGGTAAAGTCTCTTTTGTCCTCTTGTGTTTAGTTCCTTATAGCCCATTCAGATCTTCAGCATGCAGCGCGCATTGACAAGTCGGACGGCCGCCTCGGTCCTGTCCCCCTCGGCAGCCTCCAGATTCCGTTCGAGCGGTGCTCTTACGCAACAGCTGCGCTTTGCCCACAAGGTTTGTTACATTTTCGCCCTTGTGTCGAGACAACACTGGTGGACACGCCAGCATCACGTCGTCCGCGGAGCTGACAAGAGGCAAAATAGGAGCTGAAGTTCGGCGTCGAGGGCCGCGCCGCTCTCCTGGCCGGCGTTGACACCCTCGCCAAAGCAGTTGCTACCACCCTGGGCCCCAAGGGTCGCAACGTCCTGATCGAGTCCAGCTATGGCTCGCCCAAGATCACCAAGGGTTTGTGGATGCCTCTTTGTGCGTAAAGACTGCTGGCATGTGCTGACCGTGTCTTGTCCAGACGGCGTGACTGTTGCCCGAGCCATTTCCCTGCAGGACAAGTTCGAAAACCTCGGTGCGAAGCTGCTGCAGGACGTCGCTTCCAAGACCAACGAGGTCGCCGGCGACGGTACGACGACCGCCACCGTGCTTGCTCGAGCCATCTTCTCCGAGACCGTCAAGAACGTTGCTGCTGGCTGCAACCCCATGGACCTGCGCCGCGGTACCCAGGCCGCTGTCGAGGCTGTTGTTGAGTACCTGCAGAAGAACAAGAGGGACATCACCACCAGCGAGGAGATCGCCCAGGTTGCCACAATCAGCGCCAACGGTGACACACACATCGGCAAGCTGATTGCCAACGCCATGGAGAAGGTTGGCAAGGAGGGTGTCATCACTGTCAAGGAGGGCAAGACCATGAGCGACGAGCTCGAGGTTACCGAGGGAATGCGATTCGACCGCGGCTTCATCTCTCCCTACTTCATCACCGACACCAAAGCCCAGAAGGTTGAGTTTGAGAACCCCCTCATCCTCCTGTCCGAGAAGAAGATCTCTGCCGTCCAAGACATTATCCCTGCCCTCGAGATCTCCACCCAGAGCCGCCGACCTCTCGTCATCATCGCCGAGGACATTGAGGGTGAGGCCCTGGCTGTCTGCATCCTCAACAAGCTTCGGGGCCAGCTCCAGGTGGCTGCCGTCAAGGCCCCCGGCTTCGGCGACAACCGGAAGTCCATCCTCGGCGACATTGCCGTGCTCACCAACGGCACCGTCTTCACGGACGAGCTCGACGTGAAGCTCGAGAAGGCCACTGCTGACATGCTCGGATCTACCGGCTCCATCACCATCACCAAGGAGGACACCATCATGCTGAACGGCGAGGGTACCAAGGACGCTATCTCGCAGCGATGTGAGCAGATCCGCGGCGTCGTTTCTGACCCCACCACCTCAGACTACGAGAAGGAGAAGCTCCAGGAGCGTCTTGCCAAGCTTTCTGGCGGTGTTGCCGTCATCAAGGTCGGTGGCTCGTCCGAGGTCGAGGTCGGCGAGAAGAAGGACCGTTTCGTCGACGCCCTGAACGCCACCCGCGCCGCCGTCGAGGAGGGCATTCTGCCCGGTGGTGGCACCGCCCTGCTCAAGGCCTCCAGTCAGGCCCTGGGCAACGTCAAGTCGCAGAACTTTGACCAACAGCTCGGCATCAGCATTGTTAAAAACGCCATCACTCGTCCCGCCCGCACGATTGTCGAGAATGCTGGCCTCGAGGGCTCCGTTGTGGTCGGCAAGCTGACGGACGAGTACGGCAGCGACTTCCACAAGGGCTTCGACAGTTCCAAGGGCGAATACGTCGACATGATCAAGGCCGGTATCCTGGACCCCTTCAAGGTCGTCCGGACCGGTCTTATCGACGCCAGCGGCGTGGCCTCCCTGCTTGGCACAACTGAGGTTGCCATCGTCGAGGCACCCGAGGAGAAGCCCGCCTCTCCAATGGGGGGCATGGGTGGAATGGGCGGCATGGGTGGAATGGGCATGTAGGATGTTGAGAAAGGACAAAGTGAAAAGCTTTTTTGGTTTCAAGCGGTCCGGGCTTGTTTGGGCATTTTTGGGTTCCGGTGTTGCAAGGCGGTCATTGTGTACCATCTCCCCTCTATCTCCTCTCTGTCCATGCTGATACCTTGATACCCTGGGACACAGCTCCTGGGCCTGTACATTATACTGCCTCTTGGGCTGCATCGAGATAGAGCGACAAGGAGAAATTCTTACGTTGCACTAAGTTGCTGTTTCCTGCTGCCTTGACCTGCGTAGAATGCTAGGGCGGTCATGGCAATGGCGATTTAACATCTAACCTACTAAGGAGCATCTCCTAGGGCGCCAATACGGGTAGGTTACCTAGGCAGGTATGTCAGTCCAGGCAGATAGATGCCTGAGCTTTAGGCATCACCATAAGACGGGGCGGACGCGTGTACCGACATGCTATGCGCAAGACTCTTATCTTTTTACACCTCGCAGCGACACAGAATGCCGGTGTGTCGTCTCCCCGGGATGACATCAATTTACTACACCGATAATCAGGCATGCGCTAGACTCACGGAACGACATTGTCTTGTGGAGTCACGGCTGGTAGCATAACCTGTTGAGTGTCATTATCTTGCAGGGTAACTGCGAGTAGGACCGTCAAGCCAGGTGAGTCTGTCTGGATTCTCTCACTTTTGTCAAGAGCAAGACTGTGTAGATGCACAGAGGGAGGAAGTTGACAAACAAGGATTGGGCACGGCGGGCTCTAGCGCAATATGGCTGGCTCCACCGAACAAAACACCCCCACCCGCCCTCCCCACCCCGACCGACCAAATGCTGTCAACTTCCAGGTAACCTTGGAAACTTCTGCCCGCCGATTCCTCGTCCACTTGCTCAGTGCACTCTCCCGCACTTGTTCACCCTTCCATTCTAATACCTCCCTCCATCCTAGCGTTCGTTGAACCTTTGTCCAAGCAAACCCCCTTTTGCCGGTACGCCTCCTCTCCATTCCAACCTCTCTACTTTGCTGCCACTCCCGGAGCTTCATGTCCATCGAGTCACGTCATCCTCTTGACCGTGCCCCTTTGCTGACGACCCCTCACCGTTGACAGCCTACCTATCTGTCAAGCTGTTGACACCCAACACAACCGACCCCAAGCCGATAAACAACACCACCGTCACAAGCCACAATGGTGAGTCCCCATGTCGGTAATATATATGCAAAGCTTGTATTAATCCAATTCTTTGTAGTCGCAATCCGGGTTGGTAACCCTTCCCACCCCCCTGATCCCACTGTTGTCGCTACAGCTGCCCCCTTTCGACCCGCCCGCTGTGCGATGTGCCATGGCACATGGCGAGGCTCGGCCGCCAACCAGAAGGCCAGAGACTAACACATGACATTGGGCAGAGCCACCGTCAACGAGGAGTGCGTCTCCACCTGGAACGACCTCAAGCTCAGCAAGAAGCACAAGTACATCATCTTCAAGCTGTCGGACGACCTTAAGGAGATTGTCGTCGAGCACACTAGCGACAACAAGGACTGGGAGGAGTTCCGCAACAGGCTCGTCAACGCCAAGACCGTCTCCAAGACTGTACGGTTTTAGACATCCCTCTGGAATTCATCTGCTCGCGTGACTAACCACCACCTCCCACAACAGGGTCAAGAGGGCATCGGCCCCCGGTACGCCGTCTACGACTTCGAGTACAGCCTCTCGTCTGGTGAGGGTGACCGGTGCGTGCTATGCACATCCCTCGACTGCAAGCGACCAAGGGACCCACGCTGACGATCTAGCAGAAACAAGCTGACCTTCATCGCCTGGTCTCCCGATGATGCCGGAATCAAGGTAAGCCCAGGAACCAGTCTCTCGCCTTTGAGTATCCTACAGCTAACTTCGCCCGCAGTCCAAGATGGTGTACGCCTCGTCCAAGGACGCTCTGAAGCGCGCTCTGAGCGGCATCGCCGTCGAAATCCAAGCCAACGACGCCGACGACATCGAGCACGACTCTATCCTGGCCAAGGTCAGCAAGGGCATGGCCGGTTAAGGGGGCCTCGGAACTAGCATCACAAGCTTGCGTTGCTTCCATAGAGTCAAGGCTTCTTCGTCTACAATGAAGGACTGCGGAGAGAGATATTACGCATGGGTGGGACAGTTATTCGCGTCTTTGTCCATAATGGAAATCGTGGGGCGATCCTAGGTAGTCGATGTCGGCGCTGCTTTACCATAGCAAATCAACCGGTTGTCCGGGCATCTCCAAATGTCTCGCAACATATCATCAACGATTGTCACCAAGAAAAAGTCTTGGGCGCATTCCTTGACTGTGTGAATAAAAAGTTGCCCAAGGCAGGCCTTTGCTAACGTCTTTACCCTAGTTTAGATGTCGTGGATGTAATCTCGCGTGTTGTGTAAGATTGGTTTAGTTGGCTACCTTTGGTATTCCGTATGGTGGGCTTAAGACCGGGCCCGCTACCGGCCCGACTCCCAACTCGAGAGGAACTTGCCAAACAGCTCCTCGGTGATCTTCTCATCACGTATCCTCTGGGATAAGAACCCCCGCAAATCCGTCCAGAACGCGTCCGTCTGCAGCACGGCCTCTCCACTGGTCCCCTGCGCGGTCGAGGCAGCATGGGCCGTGACGTCGTCCGTCTTGGGAGCTGGTGACACTGCGGCAGCACCGCCGAGCACCATGACGGAGAACTCGACGCTGGTCTCATCCTCTCCCAGCAGGTCCTTGAGCACCTTGCTATCGGCGACGGGCTTCTTCTTGTGCAAGACCTTGATCTTGTCTACAGGTATGGAGGTCTCGGATGACACGGACGCCTTAATGTCGAGGATGGAGGTGTTGAGGGGCTGGGAGCTGAGTCTGATGTCGAGGGGCGGATTGCGCAGCGACTTGATGCGCACGGTTATGCTGCGCTCCTGGCCCGGCGCAAGTGAGACGGCCTTGGACATTGGCTTGGGCATCCGAGGCAGGATGTACTGGAATTCCCATGTCAGCTTCTGCAACGGTCGTGTTGGTATCGCACGGCGTCTTGAACTCGGGGAGACCTACAGGTGGCCTTGCCGGGTAGCTCTTGGGGTCCTCGACATGGTCGGCTGACAGCTTCGGCGGGCGCGAGTCCAGCGCCGCCAGGAAGGATCTTGCGAATGTTACCTCTGTCATCTTTTCCAAGAATAGAAGGGCCGAGTAGAACAAGAAGCAAGGGAAGGCTGTTCGAGGGGAGGTGGAGGGCGCAGCTTGGTTTGTGGTGGCTGATACTGCTTGAGCTGGACCTTTGATCTGAGCCGCCGTCACGTACCTACCCAGGTACCTAGGTACCCAGGCAGGTAGGTACCTAGGTACAGTATGTGGTGTCTTGCCCCACTGCTTGTTTTCGAGGGGCCTTGGCGCCCGGAGCGCTACCTCCATCATCCTGGCCTGTCTTCCTTGCAAGAGCGATAAGATAAGCCCAATTTTTTTGGTCCCTTCCCTTTTCCCAAACCCTTGCTCGCGGTCTAGTAAATATCTGCGGCCCATCCAGCGAGAATTGTGTGGCGTTTCTGTTCTCCCGTCTCATAACTCCCCTCTTTCTTTAAACAAACTTCTCATCCAAAATGGGAACCAGTCGTCGCATGAAGAAGCAGGGCCCTCCCGAGCGCCTGTCCGAAGAGCATTTCGCGAAGTTGAAGCGGAAGAAGGGTCTCCCAGTCGAAACCCCAGAGGAAGCGCCAGCCAAGAAGAGGAGGACGAGCAAGGCAGACTCTGGTCCCAAATCCAACGGGACGAAAAAGGCTGCCCCGTCCGCCAAGGGTCCCTCCAGGCAACAGAACGGCTCCAAGCCCAAGGGCAAGGAGAGCAACAGGCAATCTTCCCGACCAAAGAAGTTGGCCGTTCCCGAACCCGAAGGATACTCGGATATCGAAATCGACGATGAGTTTGGCGACTCGGATCTCGAAGGAAAGGATCTCTCAGACTCGGACGATGATGAGCCTGCGAAGCTGGGAGCCGATTTCTTAGGATCCGATTCCGGTGACTCCGTGTACGACTCCGACAATGACAGGAAGAAGGAGGAGTTTGTCTTCTCTGAAGACGAGGGCGATTCGGATGCCGAGGAGCAGCTGACAGCTGCCAACATCGAGGGTCTGTCGAGGAAGCTCGACAAACAGATGGAAGAGGAAGCTGCCGATGCACAAGCAGAGCTCGAGGAGGCTGCACTGCAGACAAACATCAGCGGTGGCCCGCTCGAGGTGCTCGAGGAAGAGGGCGGAGACGCATCCGCCGCGAAGAACAAGGCTCTACTAGCCCCGGACTTGCAGCTCCTGAGGAACAGGATAACGGAAAACATCCGCGTGCTTGAGGACTTCTCAAAACTAGCCGAGGAGGGACGGTCAAGGGCTGAGTACACGGCGCAGCTCATCAAGGACATCTGCGCCTACTATGGCTACTCAGAATATATGGCCGAAAAGCTCTTCCACCTCTTCAGCCCATCAGAGGCATTCGACTTCTTCGAGGCCAACGAGAGCGCCCGGCCGATGGTCATCAGGACCAATACTCTGCGGACAAACCGCAGGGACCTGGCGAGCGCTCTCATCAACCGTGGTGTCACTCTCGAGCCCGTCGGGAAATGGTCAAAGGTAGGCCTGCAAATTTTCGAGAGCAACGTGCCCCTCGGAGCAACCCCGGAGTATCTCGCGGGCCACTACATCATCCAAGCAGCGTCCTCTTTCCTCCCCGTCATGGCCCTGGCCCCCCAAGAGAACGAACGCGTGCTCGACATGTCCGCCGCGCCTGGTGGTAAAACGACACATATGGCGGCTCTCATGCGCAACACAGGATGCATCTTCGCCAACGATATGAGCAAGTCTCGTGCCAAGGGCCTGATAGGAAACATACACCGTCTGGGCTGCAGAAATGTGGTGGTCTGCAACTATGACGCCAGGGAGTTCCCCAAGCCCATCGGCGGCTTTGACCGCGTGCTGCTTGACGCGCCATGCACCGGCACGGGTGTCATTGCCAAGGATGCCAGCGTCAAGACCAACAAGACGGAGAAGGATTTCATGGCCATCCCGCACACGCAGAAGCAGCTGCTGCTTGCTGCCATCGACTCGGTGAATCACCACAGCAAGACAGGTGGCTACATTGTCTATTCTACATGGTCAGTCGCCAATGGCACTTCAATATGTACGGCTGCTTCCAGGATCCCTCAGGCTAACTTGAACACCACCGCAGTTCCGTTTCAGTAGAAGAGAACGAGCAGGTGGTCGCCTACGCCCTGGCCAAGCGGTCCAACGTCAAGCTCGTCGACACCAACCTGCCATTCGGGAACGAAGGGTTTGTTTCCTACCGCGGCAAGACGTTCCACCCCTCACTAAAGCTTACTCGACGTTACTATCCCCACACGTACAACGTGGATGGTTTCTTTGTCGCAAAGTTCAAGAAGATCGGACCAACCCCTGCCAATGCCGTGCTCGCAGACCGCAGCGGCACCGCCAAGGAGAGGGCCAACGGCGGCAAGCAGCAGCAACAGGAGGACGAGGAGGACGAGGAGGTCGTTGACAAGACGCCCATAGGTCACGAAGAGGGCGCAGTGGACGATGATTTCGGTGGCTTCGACGAAGACGAGGATGACAAAATCATGCAGCGCGGAAAGAGGAATGCCATGAGAAGGCGCGGTCTTGACCCGAAGGCGCTCAACAAGAGCAAGAACAAGGAGAAAAAAGAAACAGGTGTGACTACACATGGCGACGCCGACACTGCTTCTGCTGCTCCCTCCCCAGACAAGACCAGGGCCAAGTCAAAATCCAAAAAGACGTCTAAATAGGGGCAGGATAGCCTAGATTTCTTCGGTTTTGACCGGTAGCCGTAATATTAGGATTAAGCCAAGAATTCGACGATGAATGGCTTAGCTCGTCATCATCTAGTACAGGAGAAATGTGGAGAAGGGAGAAGCCGAGCAAGACTATTTCGGTCATGGTTATCATGGATGTCGTGGTTTTGTGTGTAGGAGTATCAAAAGTCATGAGATGTCTGCTTCCCCAAGTCTTTCCTTGTGGCTACACCGCACGCACATCGGTGGGCGTTGTTGCGATGTCTTTTCCCCCTCATAGCCTAGTTGTAGAGAGAATTCTCTCTCCGTGTCTCTCTCATCTAACATTATGCAGTTAGCCCCCCCTCCCCCCGAGAAGAACTAGTTGACCTCGAGGTCATACATTCTTTCCTCCCGCACTCTGAGCGTCTTGCTCCTCGCGCCCACCCTCACTACATTGCCAGTCCTCATTTTGGTTTTCGATTTTCTTTTATTTCGTAGCTTCAATAGCTCATTCTCACAATAAGTAGGTGTGTCCCACCATAGTATGCACAAGTGAGAAGAAATTAACAGTGAAACAAATAAAAAACGCCCATCGTTAATTGTCATCAATGATATCTCTGGTCATAGTCGTCCCATCGTTAATTCCAGTTGTTGAGCCAAACCCATTCCATCCAGCCTTTATTATGACAGCCCCTGAAGCTCATGACCATCCATACCAAGGTCAGCTCCTGAATCAGCAGGCGAAGCCCTGATGGCGATATCCAGATCTTCTGCCCTCCTCCAGGCAAGGGCCCCCAATCTGGTTGACCGTCTGTATGTCGTTTCGTGGAATGTCCTGTCATCCACCTTTGGTAATTCGGCCACGCCCCGGCCTCCGTCCCTTTTTGTTCATAAGCCAGCCGCCTCCGGCTCGTGTCGTTTCCGTAAACTTTTGTCTTTGCGTCGTTATACAATTCGTCATGAAAACAATAAGAACGTTCTAAACATGGTAAAACAAAACAAGTGGTAGAACCAGAAGCGAAGATCATAAAAGTGATAAACCCCTTCTAACGCCACCTGCCAAACCAGCCAGGTGAAGTAAAATGGCGGTGAGCCATCACCGCTCGGTGGCCTCGGTGATCACACCACGAATGGTCCACCGCCAGGCCTCGCGGTCCCGGTTGCCTAGACCAAGCCACCTCTCGCACTTCTTCCGCCACCTGTCCTCTTCTTCACGTTGTCTTCTGATGAACTCGGGACCAACGTCAAACTCCTCACCAACGAGCCAGTCATCCCTGACTTCGCTCACGCGTCCGGTTTCAGCATTGTCAGCAGTGTTGTCGTCAAGGTCGGGGATGTCTTTGAAGACATCGTCCTCGTCATCAATGGCATTAAAACCCTCAAGAGGGTCAGTAATCTCCGACTGTGCTGACTGCGGCCCGAGTTTGAGCCAGCACATGTTCTGGGGGTCAAACACCATGCCGCCGACGACCTGCACCCCCTTCGTAGTACTAATATTAGTTATAAGGGCAGGTCTGGGCGTGGCGTTCTCCTTCTCTCGGGCGGAGAAGGGCGGCACCGAGGCCGTCGATGGCGACGATGCAGGGACGTCAAAAGAATTCAGCACGTTGTCATTGCCCTCCCATTGAAAAGTCTCGGGGTTGTAAAACATGCCATTGACCACTGTGCAGGGTTAGCATGCGTGCAGGGTTTGCATGCAGGGGTGTGACCTACTTTTTGACTCGTTAGAGGAATTGAGATTAGCGATCAGGTGCGGCTTGAGCTGGGGCTGCTTTTTGGCGGCCCTCTTTGGCTTGACGCTGGGTTGTGGCTGATGCAGGTTGCTCCTCGTGGAAAGCTGTGCAACGCGTTGGGACGTCAGAGGAGCGAGCGGACCTGAGGAGGGAACCCGATGCGCAAGATTTGTCTCTCTGGCGATCCTGCTCGAGGCCGTGTCACGTGCGAACCGGGGCTGGTAGTCGGGCCTTGCAGGTGAGTGGGGCGAGGACGGTGCAGGCGAGTTCGTCCTTCCCGGCAACAAATGCTGCATCACCTTGTTCCGGAACTGCGTTGGGTACTGTGGGCTGGGGTACTTTGGCTGCTTGACAAATTCAGATTCTGTCTTTGCAGACGTGGGCAAGTCGTCAAACGCATCCAATTCGTGACCATCCCCGAAGTGTCTGGGACGTTTCGGGAGACTCAGTGGCAAGCGCACTCCTGCGCGGGCGAGTTTTTCGAGTTTCCGATCCCGCTTAACTGGACTGGGCGACCTCACAGTCGACCGCGACACGGCGCGCGAAGTAGGTCTTGTATCATTCGAAAGGTCCGAGTCGTGACGGCGGAGTTGCCTCTTGGCGTTGACGTTGTATGACTGCAAACCTGAGCCACCTGCGGGGAGGAAGGGCTTCCTCGCCTGTGTCGCTGAGTGCTCTCCGAACGAGTGGCGCGTTCGGTCGACAGGAGTCTTGGGGCGGATGCCAGATGTGGGCCGAGAAGATGGTTCTGTTCTTGAAGGCGGGCGCTCTGCGGCCCGACCAGTCATCGGCCTTGCCGGAGACCCAGGCGGCCTCATGGCCGGCAGCGACCGCTTAAGCCGTAGCAATTGCGCATTGGTTGTGGTGGGCTCGTTGCGAAGAGAGACGGTTGAACTCTTCTGACCGATTTGTCTCTTTTGGGGTGTGGTTGGGCCCGAGAAACTTGGAGCGGAAGGTGTGATGGGGGTGTTACAGCTTGCTGTGGACGACTGTGATGACTGGGACATGTGACCAAGCCGCGATTGGGACCTCCTCATCGGCCGAGCCACAATGGGGCCTCCGCTCTCCGAGACAGGCTCCAGGGACGACTGGGTATGCGTTCTCTCGTGGTGACTGCTAGTCGGCCGCGGGAGTCGAGACGACGTCTGCACTGGTTTGCTTGTGAACGTCAAAGACACAGCTGTCTTGGGACGCACAGGGCTCGTAGGCCGTGTAGACTTGAGCTTCACGTTGGTGTGAAGCTTCAGCTTTCCCGAGTCAAATACAGAACCGTCGCCCACGTTCAAGTCGAGGAAAAAGTCCTTGGTATCAGCCTCGGGCTGTGGTACGGATCTCGGCGGCGGTGCGGGCTCCTCCTCAATGGTGCGTTCCGGCGAGCGGTTCTGGCGCTTTCTCCTAAGCCTCTCTCTCAAGTCAAGCGGCCCGTGGGGAAGCTCAATGCCATCAAGCTGGGCCTCGTCCTCGCTCTCTGCCGTGATGGAGCTCGAGATGCTCGGGCTGAAGGCCGAGGCAGAAGAGCTCCGGTTCGAGCGACCGTCCCTCCTCGTGCCTCCGAAACGCGTGCCAAGACTCCCCTCTCCCCAATCGAAGTCATCGTGAGCGCTGACTGGGGTTTTCGGTATATCGCGGCGGGATGACAGCTTTAATGTCCCGTCCGAGGGCAGCTCCAGGTCCTGTTCGTAGTCGTTGTCTGCCTGGCGGCGCGGTTCGGGCATCCTCGCTGTTACACGCGGCAGTGCCGGCTTGATGAGTTGGCGTGTCTTAGATACCTTGATCGTCTCACTGCCATCTCCAAACAAATCGTCGTCGTCGTCTTTGTCTCGGAATCTTTCCAGGTTGATCGGCGCGCCGAGTGTCGGCATTGGGGTCTGACTAGACTGCCCGGGCTGCAGCACTGGTGGATTGAGTGATTTCGATGGGCTATGGTTGGACGAGCTGACTTGTCTCAAGGCCAGAGGGAACCTGTTGGGATCTTGGGTCTTGATACGCAGACCCTCGCCCCCCTCAGGCAGCTCGAGGTCGTCTCCCCAGTCCTCCTGCAATATCTTCCTGACCTTCCTTCCGCCGAGTCTCTTAATGGTACCTACCAGGGCGGTTGGGGGTACACTGCTTGGTATTGGGATGCCAGCGGTGGCGGCAACTGCGATGGCATGCGAGGTGGACGTCTCATCCTCGCCGGGAAGATGAACCACCCTTTCATCTTCCCCCTGGAGCGACTCGAGCTCCGACCGCACGGAGACATGTGACGATAGGCTGTCTCGTCGATGCGGAGGCACACTGACCGTGGCGGAAGGATTTCGAAGGGCCAGATCGTCACCATCAATTAAAAAGTCGTCATCGTCCCAGTTTTCAACATCGTCCTCGACTGGTTTCCGCGGTTTCAGCCTTAACGTCTCCATGGTGTGAGTGCGCCTGGGTAGCCTTCATAGATGGTGAATGAGAAGGACACTAGGGGCAATCTATGGGGAATGTCACTGGCAGGAGCACAGTGAAGTTTTGCGAGATTTGATACAAGGCGATTGATCACGGAGCATGATCATGGATAGCGACCATTCGCGTGACCTCAGAACATGTTTTCGGGGGGGGGGGGCGGATTATCGGATGATGCAATGTCCAGATGGAATCAGGCTGATTTGTTTCGTAGAGGGTGGATATGATTGACGGTGAAGGGTGTCAATCGTGTAGGAAATGATGATGAGGGAGGCGGGATTGAATGTTGTGTCTGTGACTGATCCCACAAGATATGACAGTCGGGTCCCCTGGGTCTCCAGTTGGGGGATGGGTGAGTGGGGAGCGGGAATTCGTAAGGAAAAGTTGCGTAATGCACGTCAATTCGGTGGAGGGCGGCTGGCTGGGAGACAAGGTGGATAGATGCGATGGATAGAGTGAGATATCGAGAGAGGCCAACAGGCAAGTGGAGCAGTCCGAATCTGTTTCTGGCAGTCGAGTCCAGGGTTTATTCCCAGCTTCGGGTTGCCCAGTGCACTCGTTGCCCGACAGTCCAGTCCAGTCCAGTCCAGCCGATCCGCAGATTAACAAATGGAAGTTTGTCTGAGAATGTGCGATGCCTATGTTCAGAAGTAGTGCAAGAAAGAGAATGTGTCTGGGACTGGTGGGTAGCGGATCTATGGGATGACGATGAACGGGGAGGTTGAAAAATTGGAAGTGAGAGAAGACGAGGGGTGGTGATGGGAGGTGATGGTGACACTAAAGCAGGTCGTCGGGTGGTGAGTGGAGGAAACCTGAACCTGCAGATGGGCAGAGTGGGAATGGGGCACAGAGGTTGTTCAGCGAGAGGAGCAATGAGAAGGCTGGGACAGGGTAGCGCGAGGAAGCACAGAGGCCCAGGTGGCCCGAGCTGGCCCCGAGGGTGGGCGGGCAGGTGCGGGTGGGCGTGCCTGTACGGAGTACGTACTTCGTACCTAGGTACTCACGTTCTAGGGAGCGCGTTACACGGTACACAGTATTTGAGTACTCCCCAGCCGCCCAGCCGCCCTGCCGCCCTGCCGCCCTGCCGCCCTGCAGCTCTGGAGGGAAAACCCAGAGCCCACAGGGAGGGAGCTCCGCGTGGCCCACCACCTGATGGCTCCTCCCTCGCTCCGTCAGTTCCGTTGACCTGGCTCCCACCCCCTTCCTGCCTTCCTGCCTCCTTGGGAGTCAGTGGAGCCGGGACCCTGTGGTTTGTGCATTGTGGCCCGAGCGTGACCGAAAGTCGGTCGAGTGGAATCCCGGGGTACGCTCACCTCACCCAATCACAGCTGGCGCCCGAGGGAGCTAGGATGCCAGAGACGCGTGGGGCGTGCAATGGACGCGTTTGCCTGGGGTGGTCAGTGTGTTCTGTTTCATCGTGTTTACCACCCAGTCAGACAGCCAGACAGCCAGACAGCCAGACAGCCAGGGTAGACAGTCCAAGGTACTCTCGGTAGCCTGGTTAGGTCATAAAATAACACCTTGGTTATTGATACAGGGCAGGTATGGCAGTAGGTACCTAGGTAGTTGGTGACCTGGCAAAAGTCGAGAGCCAAAAAGATTAGTTGACCACGACACTGTTAGGCTCAGCACAGGGTTAGGGGGGTGTAGGCTATCAACTATTTTGCTCCCGACTCTGGCAAAAACCTGGCTTCGGTGTGACAATATCCAGCGGATTGGGATGAAACAGGTCCTGGCAGGCAGGGTTGCTGTGGCAAATGTCTCCTGGAGGCTGTCAAAATATCGCCCACAGCCCGGCCTTGCTGCCTGGAGGCGAGTCGCCGTTGGAGCCTGGCGGGAAGGCTGCACTCGGCAGTACTGTACTACCACAGTAATATAATACAGCAGCTGGACTGCCCAAGGTTTGGCTGGGCATGAAATCCAGACTTTTGTCCGGGCAACCCTGGGGTGGTCCAATACGTAATTCCGCTTGGACCCAACCACCCACCTGCCCACCCCCCCCCAAAGTTCCTCCCCTCTGGACCCTGCGCCCGTTGACGCCCATTGATGTCACCTCGCAACCCGACTCCTGCCTCCCGTCCTGCCGTCTTCGAGATTCAGCACCCACGACAACTATGTCCCCACTGCCAACCTTTTTCAGACTGGCCCACCCGGACGGCCCTGTCCTTGTTCGCGTCGCGCCCAGATCGTCCACAAAGTCTCGGCCGCTTGACCTCGAGTTGAGGGCAACAGATGATGTGCGCGCCTTTGTCCTCCCGTGTAAGTCCCGTCCACCACCTGCCCAACTGCCCAACTGCCCAGGCCGCCCCGCCAATCTGGCCCGGTGGGCCGCGTCCGGACCCTGCATCTCGGTCTTCACGCGGGCCGTCATCATCCTGCAGATGCGGCCACCATCCCGCCAGAATGGTGGAGAGTGTCTAAAATTGGTCTCTTAGTTCTAATCCCTCTGCAGTGCAACACAGCAAGATCTCGCGCTACAGGAGAGATGCAAGTTCTCTGTCAGATGAGGAGTGGGAGTCCTGCCTGACCTCCTTGCTCCTGGGAACCGGTCCGATCGGTGAGCTTGATGTTTCCGCCAAATTTACCGGCGAGAACCTCGACATCGAAATTGGCAAGAGAGTTTCCGGAGCCACGGTACGTTGCCATCGCCCGCTTGGGCCCACGGCCTCGCGCGTGGCCCTGGTTCCCACCAAACCTTCAGGCCGCTAACCAAGACTCACGCCTGTGCCTTCCCAGGATGTCGCCGGCACCCTTGTCCTCAGACCCAGCAAATCTGCTACCAAGAATGCAGACATGTTTGCCTGGGCCAGTGAGGCCGTGCTGCGCCAGGCCCAGCTGGCTGAGGAACTCGCCGAGCTGAAGCTCAAACATGACCACCTCGAGAAACGTGTTGACGACGAGACGGCCAAGCTCAAAGCGTTGGCGCACAGCAAGAATGACTTCGAGTCAGAGCATAACTCGTTCTTCAGGGATCTCATCAACGAGAAGAAACTGAAAATCCGCACCCAGGAGCAGATCCTGGCTACCGCACGCGTAGATGAGGCGAAGCTCGCAGCTCTCAAAGCCAGGGCGGAACCAGCCAAATCGGAAGCCATCTCGAGGCATCCAGGTGCTGCTGGGTCTTCTAGAAAGGGCAAGCGGAAGGCTGAGTCTCACGCCGACGACGCCGATGGCGCGGATCTTGACGGGATGGACATCGACAAGAAATCGGTCATTTCGGGCCAGGAGCTCTATGAAATTGACCAGGCCACAGAGGAAGACACCGCGAGTGAGCATGAGCCCGACTCGGAGCCCAAGCCGGCCTCGAAGTCTAACAAGCCATCAAACCTGCACGGCAACGCCACTGTAGTTACGGCCAATGAAGATGAAGAGATGCCCGCGCCGAGGGCACTGCCCTTTGGCAGAAAGGCAGAGCCTACTTCGTACCCAGCGGATGATGAGTCGACGGCATCCGAGAGCTGATCTCTGGAGGCGCGTGTTGTGTCGGACAACCAGGCATGTATTTTCGACTGCCACTACCACGACGACGTTAGAGCCAGGGCAGATGGTGAGTAGGATGATCGGGACGCCTTGCTCTGCATCAGAGCATCGGGGAATGTGTGGCCCTGCAGAATGATGATTTCTGTGCACTCGAAGTCATACGTGATCGCAACTGCAGATGTGCCAATCCATAATGTTCCCGCTGCAATGACTTTCTTCTTCTCACAAGTATCCTTTAGACCAGGGCGTGCTCAGATTGAAGACAAGGCAAGGTCTTGAAAGCCTGTGATCTGTGCCCCGTTGGCCGGGGTCGCAAGCATTACAGACATGTGGCCCGTCCAACATGCATGCGCGAGCTGGTTGAGAATAGTCGGGAATCTATAATGTCGAATAATCGGGTATCTCTGCTCGACGTTCAGGGAGTAACAGAGCAGGTATAGCTTAGGGCAAACACTTCGTAAGTATGTGTTTCAATAAGCTCTACAGGTCTCTAGTAATCAGAGGACATAAAATTTATTTTTCTTGTTATTTGTAGAGGGAGCTTGTACCTTGGAACCGGGAGGGCTGGTAGACTGGTAGTCCATCACCGTAAATGTGAAATTGAAGACAAAGCCACTCGAAATATGTGGTTTCGCTTCTATTCCGTATACGTCCGAGGACATACATGGCGCCTTCATACGGTGGTAAGCACTCAAGACCCAGCGCTTGGAAAGAATACGATGCCGATAACGATAGTTATAATACGATAGGTGACTCGAAATATATTCTAGCTGCAAGAAACGGCTTTCAAGGCAGCCCTGAGCAAGATTGACCAGTGATTGTCATATCAAGAGAATAATGGAGGTTCTTCCAATCATGCTTAGCCAGATAACCGACTCGGAACATAGGATGTGTGGCTTCCTCAACTTGAAGTTGAATCTGAACCATGATCTCGAACTAGACTTACCCCTCTGAGATGCACATTTCCCACTTGTGCCCAGCGTCGAGGATATCTGTGCAGAACCCGAGTAAGCGAGGTTTCTCTGTTTACCTTGTGCACTTTGTTGGTGGCTTTCAACAATCACTTTGACTTTCTATTTGCTGGCTCAAAGAGTGCATTGATATCACAACCTTCATATCCCATAATTGCTTGATCTTTTGAGGAAATAGACAAGACGGGCCGCGTGGGGCAATTTTTTTATTGTGACTAGGACCAAGGAAAACGACCAGCAGACGGCAACCGGTAGGCGAAAGTCGTCTCGCACAAGGCCCCGAGCGGCCCACGCGGACGAGAACAATAAAGCCGAGGAGGCATTATTGTGGCTGCTTTGCCACGTGCCGTCACCCTCACGGTACCAAGATGAAGGTTTGCTTGGGGTTTGTCAGCGAAAGAAACCCCCGTTATTCACCACTTGCGCGGTCGACAAAAGCCGTTTAAAGAGGCCGCTCTCCCCGTTGTGGAGTCCCGAGCAGGATCATTTCCAAGATTTCACAACCCATTCATTCTTCAACTACTGAAAAGTCAGAGTCATGAGACTGTAGACCGGTCCATGTGGCAGTGAAAAGAAAAGTGTAGACACAAGCAAAGAAGCGGCCCGATACTTCGCAGAGGGACCTGGAGAGAAACTATTCTGCCCCGAGTCTTTCAAGCACTAGTCGCCCGACGGCATCCCGACAGAGTCAGATTCTTACATGGCATTTGTAGGTCGAGACGGACGAGACCCTTTTAACCCCCTGAACAATCCAAGAAGGAACCCCGGTCCACCAGCACCTGCTGAGCCCGAGCGCCGCCCAACCTTCGGAGCGAACCTGTTCGGACGAGCAAACCGAGCAGCAGGCACCAACCCCCCTTTCATCTTGGCCCCAGAGCCCCGCCGGCCGAGCTGGGGTTTCAGAGGAGACGGTCGGTGGGAATTGAACATGGACAACCAACCGCGGCTAATCAGAGGTGTCGCCTACAACGCAGACCTGGAGTACGCGCGGTTCCAGGCGCGTACAATGGGACTACCGCCGCGGCCGGAGCGAAGGCCTGGTGTCGTGCCTTCACCAGCACCGCCGGTCGAGGATGAAGCTGCAGCCCCCCCGGTGATTTCGCTCGGGCGCAACGGCACCGCAGGCACCGGGCGCGAGATAAACGTGCCCCCGGCGATCAGGCTCTACCACCTCGGGCGGGACCTGCTCGGCCATGTGCTCACCGTGCTAGGCGCGGTCGCGGGCTTCATCAGCGCCATCTGGCAAGCAATGAGCGACGTGGCCGGGCCCCTTTTGCACTTCGCCACGCAGTGGGCCATCTTCCTCATATTTGTCGCGTTTGCCGCATGGGCCACCATCCCCGCCGTCTTGCGTACGCTCGTGGCCGCACACAGGTATGTCGCAGTGTTTTTCACCAGCATTCTAGAGGCGCTGGGTTGGGCGTTCGGCCTGGACATCCAGTGGCCGCTTGGCACCCTGATCAGCTACACGCTGCGTCCGGAATATACAAGTAGAGCGGTGACCGGGATGGCCTATGCCCTTGAACCTGGTGTGTGCCCTGTCGGTGATACGATCCGCGGTCCACCCTACGGCGCCGCAGCCCTATCCTCCACAGACTTCATGTTACCCTACCCCTTTAGCCTGCCGCCAATTCGTATAGTCTGGAACATATTATGGGCTCTACTCGTCGCGCCGATCTGTGCACTGGTATGGAGTTTAGCAGCAGCATTAGCGTTTGATTTACAAGTCTCGTCCAGTGAGGACGACGACCTTGACCCGTAGATGTGGTCTGGTTGAGACGGAGCAATGAATATGAATACTGTAGCCGTAAGTACATTGAATAATATAGGCGAAAAGATGTTCGCATGCGAACACGCGCTGTCAACAACGGCATTTGACGGACAAGTTTTGCACCAAACGTGATGCGATGCACACAAAAGACGATGCTGCGTTGTAAATTCTATCCATTCCGCGTCCATGAGCGAGCTGTGTAGGGAAATGACCGCCCGTGATGTGAGATAATACAGAGAAAGCACCTCGGCACGATGCCTTAGATACCCAACGTGAACTCGACACCAACATCAATGTCACGAGCTAGGAGACGTCAGCTTCTGATGCTGTGGACTGGCGAAAGCAGGGGATGGAGAGGGTCCTCGATCTTACCCATCTTCACGACCTTGGAGAGCTGCACGGCCCTCTCGGCGGCGCTCTGCAAGTCATCAATAGAGAAAATCTTCATTCCGGAGTCGTTGATCAGAGCGTGAGCCTGCTCCATGTTTGTGCCCTGCAGACGGGCAATGATGGGGATCTTGAGGTCGAGGGCCTTGACGGTGTTGATGAGACCGTGGGCGATGGCGTCGCATCGCACGATACCGCCAAAGATGTTGACGAAGATGGCAGATACCTTGGGGTCGCTGGTGATAAGCTCGAAGGCCTCCTTGATGGCGGCCGGGGTCGCACCACCACCAACGTCCAGGAAGTTTGCAGGCTGGCCGCCGTTCAGCTTGATGATATCCATGGTGGCCATGGCAAGGCCAGCACCGTTGACGAGGCAGCCAATGTCACCGTCCAGCTTGATGAAGTTGAGGCCGGACTCGGCGGCGCGGACCTCGTCGGCGTCCTCCTGGGTGGTGTCGCGCCACGAAAAGACGTCCTTCTGCCTGTAGTCGGCGTTGTCGTCGAAGCCGAACTTGGCGTCCATGCACATGACCTTGTGGTCGGAGGTCTCTGACAGGGGGTTGATCTCGATCTGGGTCGAGTCCTTCTCGAGGAAGATCTGGTACAGCTTCTTGATGGTGTCCTTGGCCTCGTCGACGCACTGCTCGCTGAAACCGAGCTTGGTGGCGATCTCGGTGGCAACCTCGTCGGTGACGCCCACGTTGATGTCAATGTAGTTGGTGTTGATAGCTTCGGGGTTCTCCTTGGCAACGCCCTCGATGTCCATGCCGCCCTGGGAGGACGAGACGATGACGGGGCCCTGGGAGGCACGGTCCATGAGGACGGCGAGGTAGAACTCGCGACGGGCAAACTTGCGCTCGCAGATGTAGACGGAGCTGCAGAGCCGGCCGGCGGCACCGGTCTGCTTGGTGATGAGGTTGTGGCCGATCATCTGCTCGGCGAACATCTTGGCCTCGGTGGGCGAGTAGATGACACGGACGCCACCCTTGAGGCCGTTGTCAAAGGTGCCCTTTCCACGGCCACCGGCGAGGACCTGGGCCTTGATGACCATGTCCTCGCCGCCGATCTGCTTGGCGACAGATTCGGCCTCGGCGGCGGTCTTCGCGACAGCGCCCTTGGGGACGCCGATGCCATACTGTCAAGGAAGGGTGGGTTATTATCAGCGCGGAGAGCGGCGGCAGCAGGCGCCCGCTGAGGGGGTCACGGGGTGCGGCATACCTGGCGCAGGAGGTCGGCAGACAGGTACTCGTGGATCGAGAGGTTCCGTTTTTGCTGGGCCAGGCCGGGGAATCTGACGGAGGGAGAGACCTGGGGGCCGGATGTCATCAGCACATGTGTCCTGAGGAGAAGAAAGACCCTGGGGCGGGCGAGGATGATGAGGACGGCGCAGACTTACCTTTGGCGGCGCGGCAAAAGCCGAGGCCACAGCTCGACTACGGGCGAGCCTGAACATGGTTGCGGCTGCGGCTGGTGAGGATGTGCGGATGGGCTGCCGAATGGGACAGGGCAAGGTCGGGGGGGCAATGCAAGGCTGAGGTGTGAAGAGGAGGGTCGAAAATCGCGAGGTCTGCCAAGTCCAGCACAGGTGAGGTCCAGAGGTGTGAGGTTGCCCGCCGGGCCCCCCCCCCTGGCGGCCCTGCCGCAGCGGGTGACGATTCAGAACAGCTGCCCAGCTGCCCAGCTGCCCAGCTGCCCAGCCGCCCAGCTGCCACAGCAGACCGTTTTGCAGCAGCGGGAATTCCCGGCCCAAAAGACACACCTCGGCTGGGGCCATTTCACAGCTGGTTCCTGTTGACGACGGTCGGTCTGGACTTGCAAATTGCAAATTGCACTGCATCGGATCAGATGGACCCTCAGACCCTCCAAGAGTATGCCATAAAATGCCATCCAAACCTTGGGCGTCGGCAATCACTCTGGCACTGCGACGTTGAGTGCGTGCAGGAACGGCTCGTGATAGACTCGAACTGCCTGCTCCCTCATGGCCGTTTCACCTTCATCCTGACGCCGCGATGCTGTCGCTGTTCCTACTCGGTACTAGCAGAATGGGCGGGAGGGCTGTTGCACACACGCCCACACACCATTGTCGCCGTCGCCGTCGCCCTCCAAGGTTCACATCGACGATCTCACCTCTGGGTCTGCGGGGTCGCCCTCCGATTCGGGGAACAGCCCAAGATGTCAGGCATGTCTGTACCGGCCTCCCTTGTGATGCCCGCCCTCAACTTCTCTTCGATTGCCGCTTTTGGCACATCCATGCGGCTGTCTCGTCCCGCCGTCCATCTGTCAGGTGAGCTGGCCTGCGCCATGAGCGGCGGCAGTCGTCCATGGGCCAGGCTTGCCCTGCTGCCATTGGCCCAGCTGGCTGTTTTGGTGGCCGTCACTTCATCTCATCCACGGCGACTAGTCAACCCCCAGTCCACTCGTGCGTGTTTCGAAGCCGCCCGCCCGCCCGCCAGCCTGCAGCTTTGTGCCTGCGCTGGCGTCGTGGCCTGCCCCTAGCATGGCCTGCAATCCAGCCGAGGTTTCAATGCCGTGCTTGTCAACATCTGAGCTTGTACGAGACCCGAGGACCGTGATAGATCGGACGGGCCCATGCTATAAGACTTGCATCCCCTCTTTCGCCCGGCCCTGATCCCGTAGCGACTCTGCGCGACTCTGCGGAATTCCTGCCGGTCCGAGTTCGTGAAGCTGTCCGAATACGCCCTTCCAACCCGAATCTCGCCCCCGCGCAATCCAATTGTCACAGGCTTACCAGCTCGTAATCATGTTCCGGGAGATCCTTGCCCTCGGGCCAGCCTACCTGAGCCTGCTTGTCTTCCTCCTTGTTGTCTCCTACTATGTCCTGAGGACGGCCTACGTCGACTACCAGATCAGGAAGCTCGGGGCTGTGAGGTCCCCCGTCTTGGCCACCAACCCGCTCATGGGACTTCCCTTCTTCATCGATGCTGCCATCAAGCAGGGCCAGAACAAATTGCTCGAATTCTACGATGGGCTGTACAAGTCTTCCCCCCCGGGCTGTCCCAATTGCGTCGAGATATCCATCTCGGCACAGCATAGGTTCATCATGACCAGAGACCCCGACCATGTCAAGACTATCTTGACGTCAAAGTTCTCCGACTTCGGGAAGGGGGAGCGTTTCCACGACACGTGGAGTCCCTTCCTGGGCGATAGCATCTTTACAACTGATGGCCAGTTGTGGTCAGACAGCCGCGGCCTCATCCGACCCATGTTTATCAAGGAGAAGGTCCGAGACATAGAAATCTTTGAGAGGTGGACTCAGACCTTGATGTCCAAGATACCCTCCTCCGGCGCGACTGTTGACGTTTGTGACCTGTTCTATCGAATGACCCTTGATGTGACCACAGACTTCCTGCTCGGCACAAGCGTCAACAGTCTGAACAAGTGAGTTGAGGCGCTGCCCACCGCGGCACATGAGCTGACTGTCTTAGCCCCAAGCATGAGTTTGTCGAAGCGTTCACCGAGGTCCAGCGGGTTCAGATGATGCTTACAATTCTGGCGTAAGTCGGAAAACCAAAACCTCTCCCCCCCCCCTTTTTTTCCCCCAAAAGCTTGGTCGGTTGACAAGATCCCAACTGTGGCAGCCCATTCCGTTGGTTGGTCCCGAAGCGGAGGTACCATAAGGGCATTCGGGTGCTTGAGAGGTTCATGGAGCCCTATATTGAGCAGGCACTGGCACTCCCGCCCTCCGAGCTCGACAAGCTCTCCAAGTCGGACAAGAGCGCCACCTTCCTCCACAGCATCGCTCGCTATTCGAGGAACCCCAAGGTCCTCCGCGACCAGATCATGGCCATACTGCTGGCCGGTCGTGACACGACCGCCGCGACACTGTCATGGACCATCTACGAGCTTGCGCACTACCCCGCCATATATACCAAGCTACGCAATGAAATCCTCTCTACTGTCGGGGAGACCAGAGCACCAACATACGAGGACCTGAAAAACATGACATACCTTACACACACTCTCAACGAGACGTTGCGACTCTACCCAGCTGTGCCGTATAATCTGCGTGCGGCCCTCGAGGATACAACTCTTCCGGGAATACCAGGTCAGCCCGATATTGCTGTGCTGAAGAAAGATATTGTGATTTACAGCACCCTGTCGATGCAACGACGTTCGGACCTCTACCCTCCACAGAGTGACAAGTTTGCCGACCCGGCCGTATTTAGTCCGGACAGGTGGGACCATTGGACGCCAAAGGCGTGGCATTATGTCCCGTTTAATGGAGGTATGCAAGCCAAGCCAGCCCAGACGAGCTCGACCGCTGTAGCTGACATATGTCTATAAAGGACCGCGGATTTGCGTAGGTCAAAATTTTGCTATGACCGAGATGGCTTTTGCTCGTAAGTCGAACACCCTTTTGTCCCTTCCAGGCCGCCTATGGAGGTGTCTCGAGTCCGCTGGCTGATCAATAATCTTCAGTGGTACGAATACTACAGAAATACGACCGTGTTGAATACCGGGGCGACTGGAGCTCACAATATCACAAGGCCGAGATAGTGGGCTGCCCAGGAGATGGGGTCCCGGTCGCATTTCACGAGGCTCAGAAAGGCGATATGGCCTAAGGCTTCTAGCTGTTGTGTCAACTTGTGTGAATATAAAACCCGTGATTTATTGTTCCCAGCGTTCTCGGCTCCTGATGACTGGTGAAAACACCATTACGGGCTAGAAGCAACGGGTCTAACTACTAGGTAGTAGACTGAGCCGGGTCAATTGGTGTCGAAGATTTGAAGACCGCTATGTGAGACCTTGATGCGACAAATGTCCACCGCCACGCCTGGAAAGCAAGCAGCCAGCAGAATCGGTAAAGCAAAGAGAAAATGGGGTCTGTAGAAGCATCCTTGTTCTCTTATTCCCCAGGGGCTACTTTTGTCGTTGCGAATCATACTAAACTTTCGTGGCTCGCTGTCGACGGGGATCACATTTCTATTACCTGGTTCTCGCTTCTAGTCCATATACGCCGGAAGCCATATTACACGGCGCCTTCACACAGTGACATCGTTATCAGTGTCACTTGGTAAGCCTCCCTGCCCAACCTCTTGTGGGTGCATATATTCAATGTCCTACCGGATGAACGAAGGGAATCAAAGCGAAATTGTATTCAAGTAAGAGCTACGCAATCACGAGTCTCATTTGCGAGATTGTACTAGTAGCTGGGGCTGTTAAAAGAGTAGATTGGATTGTGCGTGGTGCCTTTGACTTCGACAAGCTCTGCTTGGGTGTACACTGTGCGACCACGGTAGGTATCTTTCTCCAGCATCCTATAGAATACCCTCCAACTAGTACATCGTACAGGTAGGATATTCTCCTCTTCTCCTATAGGATTCCCTCCTACGGCCTGTGGGAAAACGTCCTGCAGAAGAACCTCCTATAGAAGGTAATTATCTGGCTTCACTTCTATTCAGTATACTTTTGAGGACATGCATGGCGCCTTAATACGGTGGTCAACGCTCAAGACCCAGAGTTTTAAAAACAAAATACTGTGTCTCTAAATATAGTTAAAACACGATAGGTGCATGTGGCCTCAGCCTTGCAACGCGTAGACAAGGCACCGTCTTGAGCACTTAAGTAGTTATATGAATAGCAAGTATCTCAGCCACAGAGACCCTGTGAGGAAATGTTGTTATCCTTGAAGGCGTGGCGGAGGTATGGTAACAAGTAAATGATGTTTTGTTCGAGTGCTCGGGTCCAAAGTTGTTTAAACGCTGCTGTCTGGCCTACAATGTTTCTAAGCTTTGCCCAGGGGTGGAGTAAATCAAAGGTGGCCCTAGCTCCCACGACGATAAGCCACTCCTTATCGCTGGCTCTCATCTCATGGGTTCCAGCTGCTCTTGTCTTTTCTCACTGTCCATTTGACATTCGTCGAGAACTTACCACCGTCGGCAGCCAAAATGGCACCAACCAAGAGCGAAGAGGTTCCGAAGGCCGTAGATTTCAACCAGTTCATGAACAAGGCCAGCTTGGCCTTATCCAACCACCGCGTCAGCTTAGGCCGCCACTTAAAATCCCGTCCTTCGTCCTCAGAGCATCACGCAACGGAGAAACCCAAGTCCTCCTTTTCGTCGCTCGCAAATAAAGCCTCGCCCTACCCTGACCTGAAGAAATCCCAGCTGCAGCGCAAGAAGTTCTCGCAACCACGTGCCATGGTCAAAGATGAAGACGATTATGAAGAGGCGCCTGACAACTCAGGCATAGGACACGTGCCCACGAGCAAGGAGGCGGCGGGCGACGCCAGGGCGGCTGAGACGAGGGACCTGAAGGGAAAGCTGCTGGGAAAGAGAGCGATGGAGCAGAGGGAGGAGGCGCGGAAGAAGAGGGCCAGAGCTAAGGAGAACAGCGGTGACGAGGAAGAGGGGAGGAGCACGGCCGTCGGCAGAGGAAAGAAGAAGAAGGGGAGAAGCGGGGGTTCTGAATGAAAGTGGCACACTCGTGGTATGGCCTGTCGAACTTCGAAAGTGTGCAGCTTCGTCAGTATGAGGGTCACCGAGCCTCACGACGTCGAGAGAGCCTTCGTTTGAGTCGGGTGGGAACGCTTAAGCCTGTCGATCAAAGCACCGGCCGACTGGTAAGACTCCAGACTCGGATCGGCCGAAAGCATGTTGGAGGAGCGGATGGCCAGCCTTTCGAGTGCGGTTGCAACCAGCAACTCTTCGCTTGCCACCCGGCGACTACCCTTTGTCTATCATCTATGGCAGCGATGGACACTTGTTCTATGAACCAAAGCCCCCGAGGCAGAGGGTTTTGGGTCCCGAAGGCATGGCATCAGTTGCCTTTCGAAACGGGCTGGGCACAATGGTTTAATTCCGAGAACAAGAACGGATACCGGGCTGTCCTGCATGCGGTAAACATCTCCAGGCCGCGTCAAGCGCGAGCTTCGTTGTCACGATGTCACCGGTAAAGCAGATGGACACTGCATGAGCAAAACACGTGCTCTCGAGTTTGGCCCAGTAAAACGGGGGTCCCTTTGAGACCGGAATCCGACGCGCCAAACCATCCGGAACCAACAGGACTAGATGAGGGTTCGTCTTCGATATGTCAGTCAACAAGGAAGGCATGGCATCACGGCTATGTCTTGGAGATCCCGGTCAGTGCATGCAACTGGTGAGCCTGTTGGGAACGGCTGAAAGAAGTGGTGGGGAAGTCTATTGTCTTACCGGGATTCTAAGGCTACCAACTCTCGAGATGGAGCACCCCATGGCACCCTACGCAGAAGCTCGGTCCACTGAAAGCGACCGTCATGCGCCCTCATGCCTTGTCACGCCGTAGCACCTGTCTTATTTGACGTTCGCGGAAATATTGGGTCTTTGACTTGATATGAGCTCTAAGGTGAGAACTTTCTCTTCCTAGGAACAAAAGATGCATCTCGTATTTTCTGGCCGGGGTGGGTTCTCTTGTCTTGTGGTTCAATTTCGAATCCCCCGAAACATAAAACATATGTGGCGCCTTCATATAGTGGTAAACGCTTAAGACCCACCGTTTAGAAACAACAACACGTTATTTAGTATTCGGTCTGAGTTAATGGGCAGGTAGCTTCCTAGAGGAGTTTCAATACGAAGGAGACCCCGTGAGCATACCTAGGTAGGTATGAATGAATGGTTTATATCTAAGATGTGTCTTCTAAAATATATATACCTATATTTTACTATAATATAATATAAAATTAAGCTTTAACTATATTATATTTTTCCTTTATATTATATAATTATAATTTTTAATTACTTTTATTTAATTTTTATTTAATTAATTTTTATTTAATTAATTTTTATTTAATTAATTTTTATTTCATTAATTTTTATTTCATTAATTTTTATTTCATTAATTTTTATTTCATTAATTTTTATTTCATTAATTTTTATTTCATTAATTTTTATTTCATTAATTTTTATTTCATTAATTTTTATTTAATTTAATTTAAACTTTTCTTAAATTTATTTAATATTTTACTTTTAAAAAAAATTTAATATTTAAGTTTTTTAAATTTAAATTTAAAAGTTTTATAATTTCTAATTTATTTTAAATAAAGTTTATATTTAAATATATAAATACTACTTTTACATAATATAATATTTTTATATAATAATTAGATACTAAATTTAGAAAAGGTTAATACTCTTAACATATATAAGTATATTACTAGATCAGCTTATGCTAAACCAAGCCATTTTAAAGCCTTCCGACTGTTGCCTTTTCTCATTTCGCTCTGCCGCAAGTATAGAGGCATCAGCCGCTTCTCTTCCTCATCGTAAAATTCGCCGTCTTCCACAACACTGACGGCGTACATGCTGGCCGCATCGTCAGGGCCGCCCTCATTACCCATCCTTCCTAGCCTCCGCCGGGTTTGCGACCGCGCTCGCGCGCCGTGCGGGCCACCTGGCCCACGTGATCTTGAGCTGGCGACGGATGGGGCTGGTGAGGGCGACCGTGGGGCAGGGGGAGGCGGAAAGGGAAAGTTGTGCGCAGCTAATCCGGAGGCCGCGACGACTCGTGGGGTGCTCCTTCCGGACCCAGCGTCCCCGTCATTGGTGTATGGGGGCGACACTGGCAGGTTCACAGCAGGGCCGAGCACGGCGGTGTGCGTGTAAGCCGGTGAACCGTTGGGCCCCTGCAAAGTGAACTTGCTCATCAGCGCTGGAAGGGCTGTGCCGGCGGCGGCCGTGCCGGGCCGGCCGGGTGGCGGGTTGCTTGCATCGGGCGTATAGAAGTTGTCAATGTCGGTTAGGTCCTTCAGGATGGTCGCGGTGAAGGCTGATATCTCAGATGCAGTAGCTGAGCTCGTGAGGAGATAGTTGGCCTCAGAGAAGGAGTATTTCGGATTTTCCGGTTGTGTGTCCGGCCCTTTGCCTGGGAAGGGTGAGCCCGGAAGATTAAAGGAGTCCAGACCACAGGCATCTGTATTGCTCAACGGAACGGTAGAGTAGGAATTATTTCTGCTCGAGATCGGGGATGAGACACCGATTGGAGAAGGAGAGGTCGCCTCCGAATCAATTATCCCAGCGACCTTGAACAACTCGGAGCCGATCAGTCTCTGAAGAGCCAGCACCGTCGCCAGATGCTCCGCTGGGTATTCCAGCAGGAGGAAGCGAGTGCCATAGTTGGCTGCTAGGTATGCCTCAAGCTGAGGGACTACGAGGCCAGCCAGGAAGTAGGGGTCGTTGGAAGGTTTGGTCTGGGTGTGGTGAGCCACCGCCTGAACAGCGAGTGATTGCATCGCGTTGGCTACCAGATACCTTGGATCTGGTCAGCGGACAAGGTACACTTTTGTTTTGGGGGGGGGGGTTGTCATCCCATACCTCAGATCCAAACGACCGCTTCGGGACATCCCGCTCGACTTTGTGCCGAGCCTTTCCACCTGGCCAGTGAGTGTGGAAAGCAATTCCCTCTTGACACCATTCTGGCGACCCATCGCGAGAATCAAGTCTGGCGTGTTCTCGGAATTGTCATCGCCGCAATCCGAGGTTGCCTTTTTACCGAAGATCGGCCGCCATAGGCTACCGATATCCTGAAGCATTGGGAAGTCGATCTGATGGGGGCAGCTGCTGTCAGGTGGGGGAAAGTACACCTCTAACACGGATCTGAGTGCATTCTGCGTCGCGACTGCGTTCAGACTTCCTGTAGTTGAGAAGTCGTGGAACCTAGACTCCATGTCCCTTTGTATCATTGGAGATATCGGGGCTGAGATCGGTGGCTGACGCGAGTCCGGCGGCACACTTGCTGGGGGAGGGGGGCTCGGTGGTTGGAGAGCAAGGCAAGATGCTCTGACATCGCGTCCTCGAGCCGCGAATGGGTCGTACTCCCCTGCTTCTTCAGCTCCTGGATGCTCAATGACAGGGGATAGGCCTGCATCTGCATCTTGTTCCAGATCGAACAAATCTGCCGTCCTGGGGGTCGACGGGCAAGAATCAGTCGGCAAAGTCTGCAGTGAAGCAGGAAATGGTGCGACGGGAAATGCTCCAGCCTTGAAGTACTCAATTACCATTCCAAGGACCGCATCAGTTGCCTGGCTGGTCATGTGGATTGAAAGGTCTTCCAATATTGGCAGAAGCGGCTGGAAGGGCTCATCCAGGTCCTCCTGCATGTCTGCAGCGGCGTCCGTCCCTCGATCGACGTAACAATCTCTTGCAGGCTTTGGCACGCGTCTCACAAAGGTGGGAGACTTCCGGATCGTCGTTGTGTTGGCCTTGACAAACCGGGCTTGGGGCAAATGAAGGAGGGTACTGGTTGGGTATGGCTTGTCGTTGATAGACAAATGCCGGCTTCTGGCGTCTGGATTATCGACGGGCGGTGCTACCCGGCCCGCTATCGAAGTCATCTCCAACTCGGCGCGGCGGCTTCTAGTTGCCTCCAACTCAAGGTCATCAAGAGAGCGAGACTCTCTCAGTGTCACCTGCATCTTTGACGCTCGCATCTGCACCACCCGTGCCTCACCATAGACAACGCCATCCGGCGTCGCAGGAGGCGACAACAAGGCGTCCGACCTACGGGTCGAGGATCTTGCCTCTGCGACACAGTAAGACTCGCCTGTACAGTCTGCTGAATGATCTAGGGCGGGCAGGTCCTCACCAGAGGCATCAGTCTGGAACTTGATGGCACAGAGCTTCGCGAACTCGTCCTCTGCCATGCCCCGACAGTCCACCAGGTTGTTGTTGTCGTCTTCCGAGTGCGACTGGGTGTCGTCGTGAGGTGCCGGCCCAAAAACAAAGAAGGGCGATGGTTCGCCCGTTCCATCCGAATATCCATACATAGGCAGGCTCAGGCTCCGCGGCCGGGTCCTGATGTAGCAGTCGATCGGTTGCAGGGAATCCGTCTCTTTGTAGAGCATATCAGCTGCCCTCATCGCCCTGGTGATCGGGTCTTCGGGTTCCTCGATGCCCAAGATTGACTCGCCAGAAATCTTTTCCCTGCCCAACATGCACAGTGTCGCCTCATCTGAGTGCTTGTCCTCACGATCCAAGCCCCTGAGCCCCTCGAGAGCGATATTCCTAAACATCAATTCTGCCTCGTGGATGTCTCCGGACGTCTGGTTTTCGCTGATGGCTGTTATGCAGTAGGAGACGGCACTTGCGGTGCCGCCGTTCAGGAAGACCAGCCTTTTGTTGGTGGGGGTTGCATGTTGTAAGAATCGGACGGCGTCCTCTTGCCTCTTGTTTGCAGCATTGTGCACTTGCTTGATCAACGAACGTGCATGGAATGTGCCGTCACCGGGGTTCCCCATGTAGCTCTGCAAACTGGGCAGGACCAGCAGTTGAGGCGATGCTGGTAATAAGTTCAGCTGCGTTTTGACGGCATCAGGTGAGCCTTCGAGAGCCACCAGAGTCCCGTAACAAGGATTTTGAGTTTCCATGTCGGCTGGCTCCAGACGGCGAGCAAGAGACCGGGCACGGGTTCGGGCACGGGTACGGGGTGTATCAAGTCTGATGAGCGGCCGACTGTCTTATACTTGTGACGGCAGGGGTCGCAACGCTCGTGAATGACCAAATCAGGGTATCGAGTGTGGCAATTCGACAACGAGCGTAATTATGCAGGCCAGGAAGTAACAGGGTGAGATTGGTGAATGCAACGTGAAGGATGGCCGTGACGGTGACGGTAGGGCCAAGTCGATGCCCGGGGAACCGACAAACTCAATAATCTTGCTCGACAACGGACGGCAGCGCAGACGACCACAAGACCAGACGACGACCAGACGACCAGACAGAGGTGGCAGAGAGAAGACAAGACGCGAGGAAAGACGGGGGGAAAGAAATCAACTGTCCTGCCCTGGGCCCAGGGAACTTGGGCCCTACCTTGGGCCACCTACACCTCGCCCGCTTTCCTTTTTGTGGCTGGCTCTTGAGCCTGGCTGGGCGGCGACGGGTAGCCACAGCCAGTTTCCTCCCGAAGACAAAGATGCCCAGGTGGGCAGTGGCTTCGCTCGTCCAACGTGAGGAACATGGTGATGCAGAAGCGCTCCCCTGCCCATCTGCGATCGCTCGGGCTTAAACGGCCCACGGCCCAGGCCAGGCCGGCTCCGGCTCCTTGGGCAACTTGGAGACGACATCGCCCTCGCCGACAGCCAATGGGCACAAGGCAGGCCGTGTCTGAGCGCTCCTCTCACATCCGAGCGCTGTCGACAGGCCTGGTTCAGATCGATCTGGAGACGCGAGATGCACTGGCGCTGGGTGGTCCGAGATTTGGCCTTTCCCGAAGGCGTCTAGCAAGGTACCGACGAACGCTGGGCCCGTACTCCCAGACTCCGTATGTACAGATTACTCCGTCCAGGGGGCCAGCCGCAGCCTTCATGATGCACGACATTAGCTCTGCAGTCCACTTCCCGGCCCTGGTCACGCAGGCGTCGGATGCGTGGTAGCCAATAGTCCATTCCTGACGGCGCAGAGGGCGAGTGTAAGAGCTTGCACACGGAAGCACTGGGTCGTATAGTACGCATGCCTGATGAGTGGCGAGCCGTAATTACCGTCGGCCAATGGCAGGGTGTCTTGGTCCGAAGCCTGGCGTGCCTATAAGACCCTCGTGGCAGCGTGGGTGCGCGCCTCACACTGCATTGGCGCCTGCCCAGTCTGCCAGTAAGTGTCCTGCAGCGACTGTCCTGCAGCTATTGTTTCAACCCGTCATGAGTTTGCGAGCTGAAAGATACCACGACTTGTGTGTATAAAGGATATTATAGCTAAGTAAGAAGTATATTTTCTTTATTTACTATATTAATACTTAATTAATATAACTTAATATTTATATTATTATTTAAGTTTAACTTAAATAATAAATTTTAATATTTATTTAATTAATTTAATTATTTTAACTTTTTTAAATAATTAAATATAAAAGTTACTTTAAAGTATAATTAAATAATAATAAATTTAAATAGTTTATTAAATTATAAAAAATTAAATTAAAGTTTTAAATAAGTTAGTTTATTAATTAATTAAGTAAGATTAATTAATATTTTAATTATTTATTATATTAAATATTAATTTATTTAATATAAATATAATATAAAAATAAATATAATATAAAGAAATAAATATAATATAAAAATAAATATAATATAAAGAAATAAATATAATATAAAAATGAATATAATATAAAAAATAAATATAATATAAAAATAAATATAATATAAAAATAAATATAATATAAAAAAATAAATATAATATAAAAAAATAAATATAATATAAAAAAATAAATATAATATAAAGAAATAAATATAATATAAAAATAAGTATAAATAAATAAATATAATATAAATAAATATAATATAAATAAATATAATATAAATTATAAATTAATTAAAGAAAAAATAGAAGAAAAAAAGATAGAAAAAAATTAAAAGAGGAAAAGAAAAAGAAAAAAGGAAAAAAGAAAAATAAAAATAAAAAAGGGGAAGAGGAGGGGAAAAGGAGGGAGGGAAAAAGAGGGAGGGAAAAAGAGGGAGGGAAAAAGAGGGAGGGAAAAAGAGAGAGGGAGGTGAGACGGTCCTTATAACTAATAGTGAAAGAGGTTCAAATTATCTATGAGGAATTATTAATTTAAAGCTATGGTTGCCTAAGAGATAGTAGGGAGGAAGTAGTAGAGCTATAATCTCGCGTTATGAGAGGTATGGAGGCCACCTAGGTTGATAAGATAAGTAGAGTGAGACGGACCCGTGGAGTGGTACCCATGGACGCCCCAGCCAAAAGACCATAATTCCAAGTTGTCTTAACTTAGAATCTACCACTTATAAGCTCGTACCGTCACACAGAGTATATAAATAATTTATTTATAAATTCTATTTTTTAAAAATATAAAGTTTTTATATAATTTTAATTTAAAATTTAAAAAGTATAAATATAAGAATAATATTTAAATATTTTAAAAGATTTAAAAGAAAAAAGAAAAGAAGAGATAGAATAAGAGGGGGAAAGAGAGTAGTTAAGGTTTAGAGTATAGATATTTATAATAATGAATTTTACCTTCTTTGAATATTTATTGCTCTAGACTGTGCTAGTTCTGAACCCCTGCGTCCTCCTGCATTGCTCTCAGCTTGGCGTCCTTGATTACTTGTGAGACATCGCCCGGTTTGCGCGGCCTGAGATCAACTCGCCAGGTGCATGAGGGCACTGATTATGCCCCGGGCGCGTTGGCGCGAATTGCCAACAGTCGACAATGGGATCGTAACAAGTGGGTGTCTCTCTTGACGCTGCTGGCCGATCAAGAACGAAAAGACGCACCAACCGGACGTCCTTTCTCAGATTGATTTCTGGGGGATGCGAGCAGCACGTGCGCCAACGCGCAATGGCCACCTCGAGTCCTGCAGAGCCGTGGGTGGGTCAGGCAACAGACATATCCTCAGTCAAAGTGCACATGCACCGATGTCCACTACTTGAAGGACGGGGAGCGATTTGACAATCCCCTGATGTTGCCACCAGTCCCGTGCATTTTGTCTGCGGGGGTCCGATGGTTCGCTACACACGCGAAGCTATAAGAACATTAGTCCCAATCGCGCAGTGGCCGAGGTGGTCCCGGCATCATGATCTTCAAGGTTTTGGGGATTTAATCCTCGCCCAAGAGCTCTGCCAGCTCTGCTTCTTCTTCAGCGGTGAGCATTTTCTCCGATGCTTCTTCTGGCTGGTCGCAGCCAGCGCCCTTGTTAGCGGCCTTTCGCTGTTCTTCGACTGCGCTGTCGATGCCGGCCTTGTCAAGCGGCCAGGTGCGGACAGTGCCGTCAATACTGACACTAGCCAGTCTCTTCCCACATCCAGGACCACCATCAAGAATCACGATATCCGTCACCTCATCATAGTGGCCTTCCAGAGAGCAGTACAGCTTCCCAGATGCCCTGTCCCAGATCTTGACGTCTTCATCCCTGCCTGCGGTGGCCACCCATGTGTCTGTCACAGCCACAGCACGAACGTGTCCGCCGTGCTCGAAGCTGTCTTCCACGCTGAGGCCCTTGCTGCGTGATAGGCATTTCGAGGAACCATCTGCGCTTGCCGTCCACAGATCCATCTCCCCGCCCGAGTGGTCGAAAAGCAACCTGTAGACCCCAGTCTCGTGCACCTTGACCAATCTTCGCTCAGCCTTTGGAGTCCCCGGCTCTGTATCCACCAGCAGCTCCCACCCATCCAGTCGGACCTTCCACCTCCGTATGAAGGGGTCACTGCCCGCGCTGAAGACCACAGCCTCGTCTTCCGAGCTCAGAATAGGATCCACGGCGAGCGACTGTACGGCAAGCATGGCCGCCAAGGAGTCCTGTAGAACGTGCAGGCGGCTTCCGACCGTCATGTCCCATACCATGATCTTCTTGTCAGCACCACCGCTGATGAGCACATCCTTCCCGCCAATCCTGGTACACGTGACAGCCTTGACAAAGTCGGAATGGCCGACAAACTTGCAGCCGGGCAGACGGGTCTCAGTGTCCCACGACCACACATTCCTGTCCCAGGAGCCGGCAACCAGAGTTCTGCCCTGAGCGCCGCCCACAGCCACGCAGGTAATTGGTGCGGCTGGGCCGCGGTAGACCACAGGCCTGGCGCCATGGTCGTCGACATTGACCCTACTCACAGAGCCTGCCGACTCGGCAACGAAAATGGTGTTGGAGGAGGACTGTGGGCCCACACAGGCTGCTGCTATCTTCGATTTGAGGACAACAGGCCTGCCAAACTTGTTGGTCGACTTGGCCTCCCTCCTTTCGCGCTGGCTCTGCTGGGCGCTAGAGTTCGAATCAGCATTTCTTGTAGCCCTCTTTTCCTCGAAGTTGCCCTCGGACTTGGTCGGGCAGTGCCCTCTCCACTTACTCTGACTCAAAAAAGTGTCGTGGATCCGACGAATTCATTTCGATCCTCTGCCTGCAAGAAGTGTTCGATGTCGAAGTTAAGGCTTCGCGGACGCAGTCCCTGATGACAGATAGCGCGTCTCGAACCAGCCCAGTAGGAAGTGGCAGCCTGGCTGATGGCGAGGTGGGTTCGTGCAATAGATTTAAGAAGCACAAGCCGGAATAAGAACGGAATGGTCGAGAGCTGCGGTGCGGTGCGGGCTGGTGCGTTGTAGAGCCAGAAGGCCGTCACTGGGCTGCGATGAATGGTGAGCCAAGTGCCTAGGTGAGGATTTGGACAGCACGTAGACCCCTGCTGCGCGAGTGTACTAGGTACTTAAGCACTCGGTAGACTACTCCGTACCGCAGCAGCGCATTGCACCCCTGTCAACACGACGTTAATTGGAGCCCCACGTCGCGTCTCACTCGAGACGCGTCCAGAAGCCCATCAACCTCGAATGTTTCGAGCATCCATCTTTGACCACAGCGCCGACGTCCCACAATAGCGCAGAGCCCTGGTTGATCTCAAAACTTGATGATGGCTTCGGCGGCGCAGCGTGTTCGCCCCCGGCCGGCTCACACACACGGCACAACGCGCTGTGCATACACCCCAGACGGTTCAAAGCTCGTCACCGTCGGATCCAACAACACAATCCGCATATACAAGACCGGCTTTGATGGAGAGCCTACCAACATCGACGAGTGCCAGGAGCAGAATGTCAGCGTCGCCGCCAATGACGACTTCTTCATAGTCGGCTCCGAGGACGGCACCGTGAGCCTGTATTCCCTCGAGTCCAGCTCCTTCGACAGATTCCTGACCCGCTGCACCCTCCCCGTGCGCGATGTCGCCCTCTCCCCAGATGGGAAGCTCTGTGCTGTCGCCAGCGACGAGCTCACCGTCAAGGTCGTCGGGACTGCCGACAACTCCAGGATGTTTACCCTCAAGGAGCACGGGAAGCCGACCAAGCATGTCTCGTTCGACCCAAAGGGCAGCATGCTCACCCTTTCATGTACCGACGGCGTCATCTACGTCTACTCAATGACCTCGGAGGAACCCGAGCTGATAAGGAAGGTCGACGGGGCTATTGGTTCGTTGGACACAAACGAGGACGCTTCTTCTTGCGTCGCCTGGCACCCAGATGGGAGGGCCTTTGCAGTTCCGACGCCAATCCGAGACATCCAGGTCGTCTCCAAAGATGACTGGGAGAACCAGAGGTCCTTCAGGAACGGACATGAGGGCGACATCACTGCCGTAGCCTGGTCACCAAACGGCGCCATGCTCGCAACGGCAGCCAAGGACCGGAAGGTCCTCATCTGGCAGACCAAAGATCAGACTGTCATCGGCAGATACGATTATCCAAATGTCATAGATATAGCCTGGCATCCAACCAATAACCTTCTCTCCCTCACTACCGCCGACGGCGAGGTCTATATATGCCCGGACTTCATCTCGAGCCAGTTCTCTATCCTCCTGAAGCTGACAAGGCAGCCGGCGCCTTTCATCCACGACCCCCGCGACGAGACCACAGCCAACGGTCGGAGGCCACAAGTCAACAGCGACAAGGCCCGCCTAGAAGCAGCTCGCACAGATCTGACCGATGACCTGGACTCTCTGCTCGACGATGGCTTTGGCGAAGACGACGACAATTTTGTTATTGATGACGACGGAGCCGGATACACTCTTGGTCGCAAGAGGCCGGCTGACGACGACGAAGGCTTCGGTCATTATCCAAATAAGCGGGCCAATATACTTCAGCCGCGCTTACACGAGCCGTTCCAGCCGGGAGCGACTCCGTGGCGGGGAAACAGAAAGTACTTATGCCTCAACCTGATTGGGTTCGTCTGGACTGTCGACCAGGACACCCATCACACAGTGACTGTGGAGTTCTATGATCATGAGTTCCACCGCGACTTCCACTTTACAGACACCTTTCTCTATGACAAGGCCTGTCTCGGCGAGCACGGCGCCCTGTTTGCATGCCCCCCGAAAGACGATGCACCTGCGTCGATCTTCTACCGGCCGCACGAAACGTGGACGAAGCGTAACGACTGGAGAACAGAGCTTCCGGAGGGAGAGGCAGTCCTGGCCATGTCCCTGGGTGACTCCTTCATAACTGTGACAACGTCGGCGAATTACGTTCGAGTCTACACCTTGTTCGGCATTCCCTACCGTGTGTACCGGCCAAAGAGCACTCCAATGGTGACGTGTGCCAGCTGGCGGGACTATGTTCTCACAATCGGAAACGGGCCCTGTGGTGCCGATGGAAGGACGAGGCTTCTCTACTCGATTGAGAATATCAAACGCGATGAGATTTGCCAGAACGAAGATACGGTTGCTCTACCTGAAGGCGCCACCGTCAAGAGCGTCTTCTTCTCCGATAATGGCGTAAGTTTGTCACGCATAGCCAGCCCCCCCCCCTCACGAGCACACAGACCAGCTGATCAGAATCAAAGGACCCATGCATATACGACTCTACTGGCACGCTCTTGACGCTCCTTCACTGGCGGCAGCCGTCACGAGCATCATGGATCCCACTCCTGGACACCAAGCTCCTTCCCCGTCTGGCTTCAGGCCGCAAGACCGAGAGCTACTTTCCTATCGCAGTCGCTGACAACAGGTTCCACTGCATCATACTCAAGGGTGGAGACCAGTATCCCTACTTCCCAAGGCCTCTTCTCTCCGAGTTCGACTTCTCCGTGCCGCTTACCTCGGCACCGCCCAAGGCTAGGGCTAGGGCTAGGACCGGCGACGGCGACGAGGACATGGAGGACGAGGACGAGGACTCCTCCAAGCCTGACGACGACGAGTCATCCGAGTCCCGCAAGCTCGAGCAACAGTTCTTGCTGCGTGGGGTTCAGGCGGCGCAGGTGCAAGACCTAGCCGACTCGACGTCGGGCAGCCACTCACAGCGCGCGGTGCTGGCCCGGCTCGAGATCGAGATGGACAAGGCGCTGCTTCAGCTGCTGGCGATAGAGTGTCGCGAGGGCGAGGAGCGCGGTATGCGCGCATTGGAGATGGTGGAGCTGATGCGGGACCGCACAGGCAGGATGGTCGAGGCAGCGGGCAAGGTGGCCGAGAGGTACGGGAGGACGATCCTTGGCGAGAAGATCAGGGAGCTCGGCGACAAGAGGGGTGACGGGATGGACTACGATGATTTGTAGGCGTAATTGGTTATTGGACTGTTGCGCTCCTGGTACCGATGGTGGGAATCCCGCTTTTGCGTGTTGGCTGCTCTACTCAATGGCATTACACATTCTACGGTTAGTGCACGCATGACCTCGTGTTGCGCCTCTCTGATGGACATGGAGAAACCACAGGTTGTTCACGTTGAGCAATGCATCCCCACACCTCTTATAGTCTGGAGTTTGCAGCGCCCAAGCATGAGAAGTCGAGCAGCGCGAATCAGGCCTCACCGGACCAGACCCCACCGGACCAGACCTCAGCGGGCAATGACCCCGACGAAGGTCGCCTCCCAAGGCAGCCTTCGCGACCGACGCAATCGAAGCGCCCAGCAGGGTGTGGTAGCGCTGGGGGTCTAACAGTAAGCCTCACCATCAAACCCAAATCGTGTTTGTAGTCTGGTCCTGCCAGGATTCGGAATGGCCCTCAGCCGGGTAAGGGTCCAGACCTGACAAGGTGAGCATGCAGGAGGCATCGTGCATTTTAACCGTGAAACCAGATGCGCCGTCTGTTGGCGATCTTGTGTGCGCTATGACAGCTGCCAGAAACTGTAGAAGGCTCGCCGGGCATGATTAAAGGGAGCGGGGGAAGAGATCCGGCGTTGGCGTCGTTCTGACCCCTGACGATCGCAAAAGACGGCCGGGCTGCCGGGGAAACAGGTGTGATTTCACGAGGGCCCGGGGTTGTGAAGGTGACCCTAGTGGGAGCGTAGCGGCGGGCGGAATGAGAAGAAGCAAAGGAAGGGGATCGTCGTGCATATCGTTCAGCCACCATGTGCGTGCGCCATACCAGGACGAGCAGATCGCCCGCGCACAAGGAACAGAACAGAAACAAGTTCGTCACGGAGCGTTGTAGTGGGAAACCTTTCTGAACGGCCGATTGAGGCGTACCCGGCGGGCGGAAGATACCGAACGCGTTATAGGGTGGGAGAATCTACCGTGGTATTGGGTCACACTGCCCGTGGTTACTTTCTCGCGTTTGAGGCTTCCCCAGTCGGCGGTAGGAAACATGGAAACGCATTGCCTGTGGGCCTTGTATGGCAGCCCGGGTAGGCGATATGTCACGCATAGATGTGAGAATGCACGGTTGGGCTCATCAGCACACCGAGAACTTGTGTGTCCCCCTCGCCCGCTGGTGCTGGTGCTGGTGCTGGGGGGTACTACATAGTACAACAACGTCCCCACGCTGCCAATAAATAGTGCAGTGGAAAAAGAGCGGTCACGTCCAGTCAAGAGAAGTAAGAGAAGTAGATTGGAAGTAGATTGGAAGTTTCGGGAACGCGAACAAGTGCAGCCCAGGATGTGGGTTCTTGTGCGGAGGTCCAGGTGACACACGGTGAACTATCGCCGCCGGGATTGACCCCGGTGGCGGCTCGAACCCGTGGGAGGGGAGATGCCAGGTTTCGACAATGGCATTTGAAACTTTCAGTGGGATACCAGCGAGAGCTGCCTCGCTTCTGCCTTTTCAACGGTGTGTCAGGGAGACGATCATCCCGAAACCTGGGCGTCGCACATGCAGGAGGGTGAAATGAACCCCAGCCACAGCGCCAGCGTCGTCGGACCCAAAGCCAGAAGCTCGAGACGCGCAGAGCTGCCGCTGGAGCTGCCGCTGCCGTAGTACGCAGGTGGTTGAGAAAATTTCTGTCTGAGGGCCGGGTAAGCTTGATCCATCATCCCATGCTGGTCAGAGTCAGCTGGGCCGGGGCTTCCACGGCTGCACGACATCGTACGGGCGGCAAAGTTTAAACATGCAGAAAGTTGCCAGAAGGCCGCTGGTTCAATCGAATGTACCGTCGGCCGACGGAAGGTTTGCGGGCTGGCCAGTGACCAAGCCTTGTGGTTGGACGTTGAGAGACGCAGGACAGGGCAGGGGAGGGGTCATGGTTTCATGGTTGGCAGTTGGTCTGGATACAGAGGGGTGGCAGGCGGACTAGTTCTCGTTCAGGCCAGCAGAAACACCAAGCTTCCTGATGCGGACTGGGAGCTCTGGCCTGCCAGGCCTGCCAGGCCTGCCAGATCTTGGGCGTGTTGGATTCGTTCGGGCGGGTTAGTTCCCGGCGGGGAAGCTGTCCAATTGCCACCTGGGCAGCGGTCGAGCTTCGCCCGTGCGGCGGCCTGCCCCGGCGTGTTGGTCGAGGGCCGGTGGCTGGCCCCGGCTGCACCGTCCCTTGGTCGCAAGATGCGGCGATTGCAGCGTGAGGATGATTTTGGGCGGGCCGATGGCGACGCTGATGCTTCCACCTGTGTTTCCCGCAAGTCACCTCTGAGGCTCTGACGCAGGTGGGCAGCTGGGGCGAGGCGCAGGCAATGGCGAATCGTATCTTGGGGAGCGTCCGGGGGCGGGACAATCTGAACTTGTCAGGCCCAAGGTGCGTCAAAAGGCATGTGGGTGGTGGGCTGGGCCAGGCAGGCAACGTCCCCGCGAGATCATCCCGTCGCGGCGAGGTTGGGAGGCGGAGGTTTGAGTCTTGACACGGTTGCGAGGCAGCAAGTGCGTGAAGAGCGGGCGAGATCGCTCAAATCGCATCTCGTGACGTGGGCTGCACTGCGGGTGGTTCGTCTGGTCCGTCCAATTCATCCACATGTCTGCGGCTGACTGGGTGGTGGTAGCTTGCGTGCCGCCGTGCCGCCGTGCTGGCGTTCTGGCGTTCTGGGCGTTCTGGCGCCCTGCTTCTTCGTCCTTGCGCAGGTTCTGGAAGGCCAGACCCCAAGTTTCCAGATGTTCGATTTTTCGACCCCTGCCTTGCTGCCCTACTACCCGCCCGGTCCCCACGCACTGGTTGGACGGTAGGGCAGGTGGTAATTGGCTGGCTGGCGGGCGAGTGGGTGGATGCAAGGCTCAACGTCGGGTCAGGAATGGAGCCAGCCCAGAGCACCCGCTGTTTCTCACCTCATCAGGCAAAACGCGGGTTGGGATTGGAAACGCGCGTGGGTGAAGACGAAAGAGGTCCTCTCAGCCCACACCAGACTGCACCGGTACCCCGTACAGGTCTGAGTGGCCGGGCACCTAGGTACCTAGGTACCTAGGTACCCAGGTACCCAGGTACTGCGGCAGTCTGCCCGTGCTTGCACCGTTGCAGCCCGTCGTCAGCTCTGCCCAGTGACAGTGCCCAGTCATTGCCAGTGACAATGCCCACCAGCCAGAAAATGCCGGCCAGTACTCTGCAGAGTCGTGTCGCGAAGCGGTGAGCCCAGGTACCCTCCCTCCCTCCTGCCCCAAGCTCCACAGGTGGGCACTCGCGCATGCTAGATATAGCACTAGCAGCCTTTTCAGAGTTCTGCTCGGGGCTTTTGACCACCAGTGAGCGAGGCCGGGGTGGAGAGCCGGCTGGACCTGGCCCAGCGCTCCTGCCCCGTGCCAGGCAAGCTCTACACAGCAGTACGGAGTAGTAGTATCCTCTCCTGCATGTGCCCATGTGGTACGTGCCTACCCCCCTCCCACCACCCTGGGGGCTTGCTTCCTTGGGGCCCCCTAATAACCTCGACCGGGCCTGCTCCAAATTGTCCAGCTCCTTTTCGACGACCTACTAATCTCAAGCCTCGCCCTCCAATTGCCCACCATGCACTCGACGACGACACGAGGCCACTGAGTGCACAGAGTCCACAGAGTCCACCAGGGCAAGAACCATTGCCAGACGGCCCTACTACGACACCTGCTCCCGCGACCTACGCCCTCGCCCTCGCCCTCGCCCTCGCCCTCGCCCTCGCCCGCACCCGGCACCCGCAAACCCGCGACTCCAGCCGGCCCCATTCACATATCTATCTCTATCTGCCCGGCATTACGACGACGCCCGCCCACGATCCCTGCTCCGGCCTGTCTCCTGCACACGTGCTCCTCGGCCCAAGACCGCGCCGGCCCTCCGGCACAGCTGCGGCGACAGCCCCGGGGCAATCGCCAACAGCTCCCAAGGCCGCAGAGACTGCGACGGCCAAGCTCGAAAGGCATGATACCCACCAGCCCTGCAGTGCCCACCTCCGCCCAGCCTCTGACCGGGCTGCATTGACCGACAGCACCCGCGTGTGCTCGACAATCGGCCACATATCACACATATCACACGCATCCACCCCCCAGCGCCTGCCGGCGCATCCCCGTGGAGCCCAACCCAGCCCAGGAATTCCTGTTCGGGTAACCCGCCGCCTGAGACGCGCCCCCCGGCATCAAGCTCTTGAGTTTTCGGGAGGCGGCAGGAAGGCCGTCCCTTTGGGCAGACAAAGAGGGGCCGCTTCGACGTGCCTTGACCTGGACCAACACCTCACCTTCAGAGCCCCATGCGAGAAGCTATGCGGTGTGTCTAAGTTCTGCCCCTTCCAGAGCCCGCTCCCCTCCCTGCCAGCCTCCAGCTCCCACGCCCCAGGTCTCCGTGGCCCAGCACAACCTCGGGGGCTGCCTCGCTGCCTGGTCCGGTCCACTTTCGCCGTACCGAACACCGCCCGTCCTTCCGCTCCCCGCCCGCCGTTGTGGACCAGATGCTGACGGCCTTATCTTCGCATGGTCAGATGGCACAGGTGATGGATAGCCCGCATAGATCGCTACTTGGGGACGGACATGTCAAGGATGATCCAATGGCCCCGCGCACCGTTCCAATCCGTACGCCAACCATTCAGATGTCGGCCCCGGACAGCGAGCCCATGGACATCACCACTCCTACCAACTCATCTGCGCCTGCCTCTACTACAAAGAGTCCTGATCGGGAGAGGGATCGAGACACCAATGGCACCCCCACCCGCTCAGAGGCCCAAGGGTCAAGCAGTGTCATGACAATGCCGGCGCCCACAGCGGCCGCCGCCGCCGTCCACGGCCCAAAGATCGTTCAGACAGCATTTATACACAAGTTATACAAGTGCGCCGTCCCATGGCTGTCCTCTGGTACCCATCAACGTCGATGCTGACCCACCTGCAGTATGCTCGAGGACAGCAACATATCACACCTCATATCTTGGTCAAATACTGAGGAGAGCTTCGTCATGTCGCCGACCTCGGAGTTCTCCAAGGTGCTTGCGTATGTGTGCCTCTGGTGTTTTTCGTCATTAGGGCCCGCGCCACTGACGTGAAGCCTGCCAGACAATACTTCAAACACACCAACATCTCCTCGTTCGTCCGCCAGCTCAACATGTATGGTTTCCACAAGGGTAGGTAATCTCTTGACACAAGAGGCGCCATGCAGCTTATTAATCGGACAACAGTGAGCGACGTGTTCCACAACGGCAGTCCCGAGCACCCCCTGTGGGAATTCAAGCACGGGAACAACAGCTTCAAGAGGGGCGATTTGATCGGCCTGCGAGAAATCAAGCGCCGCGCTTCTCGCCACGCCCTTGGTACCCAACAAAAGGCACCGCAGTCACAGCCAGGGACGCCCGCCGAACCGATGCAGCCCATACAAGACGGCGGTGGTGATCCCAGGCTCTTTGGGATCGAGCGCAGTGTACAGGACCTCTACGCAAGGCTCGACCGGTCCGAGTCCAACGCACATTACATGCAGGTCAAACATCAAGCACTTCTCGACTCTGTCAACCGACTCCTGTCCTTCAATCAAGAACAGTCGCGGATTCTGATGACCCTGGTGTCACCGGAAAACCCCATTCACAGAGACGGTAAGCTTCACACAACCGCTGTCGAGTCCTGAGAGACACGGCTGACATGACCGAAGCCCTCACATTGAGGGGGGATATCCAGCGTCAGGCTGAGATTATTCGTGGCCTGGAAGATCCTCACGAAGGACCGTACTCGACCAGCCGTGCATACCTCGGCAGTGTGGAGAACGCGCCGGTCTCGCCCCGGCAGCTACCACAGGACGACCAGCGAAGGTCGAGTCTTGCTCCACCGGGCCAAACTCGTGCGCCGTACGACTACAGGCCGTCAGTCCCATCCAATCTTTCCATCTCCACACGCCGCCCGTATGGCTCCATTGGCGGCAGCACTATGAATCAGGTTTCCACCCCGCCGGCGCAATCGCCATCTACCCTGCGTCCACAGGCCCCGCCGCCCCCTCCCGCGGCGCCTCACCCACTCGCCGCTGTGGAGCATCCGGGCAGTCTCGCTCGACGACATACCTCAGCAGATATACGCGCTCACGGATGGCAGCCCCAGCCGCCCCCCTTCTCCTCGGGACCACCCTCCAGCCATCTCCCATCTTCGCCCAGCCACCTCGGCCCGCCCGACGAACGTCGCGAGTCCTTCTCACAATACCCTTTCCCAGCGAGTCACCAGTCCCATTCCCGACCATCCAGCCCGCCGCCAGCACAGCCCAACTTTTCGAACGGTGACGGGTTTGAGAAGCTGAGGAACTGGGAGTGGGGCTCAGCCACACAGAGCCGAAGGAGTATCTTCCAAGACAGCTCAGCTCCACCAACTCGGCGCGGAAGCATGGCCCATATCCTGAACAATGACGACGGGGATGACCCACGAGGAGATGATGACCGCAAGAGAAAGCGACTGGCCTGAAATCCATCGACGGAGGCGCCAATGGTGAACTGTTCGTCCAAACGGGCGACTGATGCAGTATGAGACATCATGTTTAGATATGTGACGGCGGGGTATGGGGAGAGTGTTTCTGCACAATCCTAGTCCATCTTGGGATGTTCGAACATCCTGATTCCCTTTTGGTATACTGATTATCGGGTGCCGGATCTGTGCTCCCGTCTTGCATATTCGAACTGGGTGGATAGCACACTTTTTTTTTTTGGGGGGGGGGGGGTGTTTGGTCTACGCACGTTTTATCACAAAACGAAACAACATATCTGGATAATTGGGAACGGTGTCTTTGTTGGGCTATTTGCCCCCGGCTGCGTCAATATACTTGTACTTAATGATTGCGAAGCCGGATAGGGTTTTGGGCGCACCATGATGCGAGCGGGCCAACGACAGACAACACCGTCCTTGTTTTTAGGGTCGCCCGATCGCTTCGTGTTGTGTCTGCAAGAGGAGAAAAGCAATTCTTACTAGTAATTGTATTGTGTGATAGTAGTACCTAGGTGGTGGTGGTGGTATGTGGCACTCCTAGTTTGGTGGTAGATTAGCATCTGTATCTGTATTGAGAAACAGAAATGGACTATTTGAATTCTTTGGATGGATCTAATGTTATATGAAGCGCGTACTGCTGGAGGAGACTGACTGTCTTGGCGTAAAAGGCGGTGGTCACCCAATCCAGCACGTTTGATTGCTTCCCCCCCCCCCTTCTACAATCACCCCACTCAGGGGATGTCTATGATACTTTCCGTCCGGCCAACGTCGTAACCCAACCTGTTTACTCCTCGCCCTCCCCTTTTCTTACCCCTAAAGGAAAGAAAAAAGATTAAAAAGACAAGAAAATTAGGCCCGAGACATATGTTTCTCAGGTGTTCCTTCACTATTTCCTTAAATAGTGCTCTAGAGATAAATAAATTAAGAATAAATATTTATATAGGAAAAAATAAATAATATATAGATACATTCTTTCCTTCTAAATTATAACTAATTAGAGAGCTATATTTAACCTCTTTTAACTATACACACTATATATATAAAGTGTTTTTTACACTCTTTATATAAATTTACTCTCTTTATATAAAGATTTATAAAATTATTAATTAATTATTATAAGTTAACTTTATTATAAAGAACTTTATTAATAATAAAAAAGATATATAAAATAAAATTTTAATATTTAAAAACTTATTAAAGTATTTTAAATAATAATAAAAAGAAATAATTAATTATTAAATTAAAAGTAATAATAGAAGGATTAAAAGTATAATTAATAAATATAAATTTTAATTTTATATAATAAGTAAGTAATATAAATTAAAGTTAGTATATTAAAGAGTATTTATATTTATATATTAACTATTTTTCTTTATAAATATTTATTCTTAATAGATTTATATATATTTATTCTTAAATGTTTATTATATAAATAACGGTATAATACTTATATACTACTAGGAATAGTTAATTTATAGATTAGTTATTAAGGTTTTTTAACTAGATAGTTTAAAGTGTATAGCTAGTAGTTATACTTTTTATTATAATAACTAATCTAACTAATAGTGTGGGTTTAAGCCTTTATATTTAAAAGTTTTATTTAGTTTTTTAGTATTAGGCCCCCGTCTCTAATTATATTACTAAGAAGGAGTGTTTATAAGAAAGTAATTTAATTAAATTATTTAAGAAACCGTTATCTATAACCTATTACCTATATTATATTATTTAAGATTTTTAGGCCTCCTATAGGTATGTAAGCTAATTTGAAGGTATAACTTCACCTCTAAGTATTTAGAGCTCTAGAAGGCCTTAGAGGGGGGTAGTAACGGTATGGTACTTATATACTGCTAGGAATAGCCAATCTGTAGATTGGTTATTAAGGTCTTTTGGCCGGATAGTCTAAGGTGTGTGGCTAGTAGTTATGCCTTCCGTTGCAACACACATTTTATATGTATGGGGATTAGGAACAAAATCACTCATGTACTCTCAGAGCTCCGTATCCTGTCGACATCCAGCCAGCAAGGCAGGTCTCGGGAGCCTTTATACGGTGCCCTCGACCATGGTTATCTAGCACACGTGGTACTCATCTCTGGTCTAGCCCATACATACACATATTAGTCTCCTACATGTAGGTACTTCACGACACAAGATGAACGACTCTGTCGAGCAACTCTTGTGCTCGGCGGGAGCCCAGCCCGTATCTAGATACCTGCCTCCTTCCCGAAGGGTTTCCATTGGCAGATAGCCGGGCATACTACCCGGACCCCGGACCTTGGGGTATGTGCACGCCATGCAGGCCTTCTTCACAGCTTCTCCGGAATGCCCATTCGCATTGAACGTTGCTATGATCCTATCCTCGAAGACCAAGTCATAAAAGTACTCCTAGAAACAGGCAGAAGGACGCATCAGAGAAAGAAAAAGAAGCAAGTAAAAAAGTCACAACAGACAAAACGACAAGAAAACTCCAGCTGTGGTGTATGTATTATGTGTGAAAATTCGCCTTTCGTAGCGGACCTCCTCTTTCATGACCAGTCCGCCACAGGATGACATGACGTAGCAGTACCGTCTCATGAGCTACCTGGTTGCCCGTCCATCATGACGCCTTGTGCCGCGTGCACAGGGCCCCCGGGCGGTAGAATAGAGCCCCAGGCGCCCAGTCACCACTTCAATCTATGCGCAGAAAAGCAAGCGGGAAAACCACGAAACAGGGCAAAGTCGCAATCCGGATCCCAAAACGACCCCCAAATCAGCACTCCTGACTACCCTGCTCGTCTCGTGTATATCCCACATCTCGTGACGGTCCGGAGTGTGTGGATTCCCAAAAGAACTCTGGCGATGATCGCGGTACTTATACAAAGTTGTCGAGACGGTGGAGGGCGTGGGCGCTTAGCAGCAGCTGTTGCTGGAGCCGGGCGAGACGCCGTGGCCGGGGCCGACCTGGACGTTCGGCTTTGTGTTGTTGGTGGCTGTGGTTCCCATGCGCTCCTTGATTTGCCGGGCCATGGTCAGGAAGGCCTGCTCGACGTTGCTGGCGTTCTTGGCCGAGGTCTCGAGGAAGGGGATGCCCAGGCTGTCAGCGAACTCCTATTTTGTAGTTAGTAAAGTGGGTCTCCGGGGTGGTGTCTCGATTAGATAGCAGCGCCAGCATGTGATGATGTGTGCTCATCACAGCACCAGAAACGACCTGGCCGGACCGAGGATGGAATCGTACCTTGGCAACTGTGTAATCCACGACCTTCTTGTCAGCCATATCGCTCTTGTTTCCGACCAGAAGCTTGTTGACGCCCTCGGTGGCGTATCTGTCGATCTCCTGCAGCCATTGCTTCACGTTGTTGAACGAATCCATGTCGGTGACATCGTACACGACGCAGATGCCGTGGGCACCCCGGTAGTAAGAAGAGGTGATGGTTCGGAAACGCTCTTGACCTGCGGTGTCCCACTGTGTGGCGGTAAGTGCTTGTCAGCTGCTGTTTCTTTCGGATCCTGGCCGTGGACGTTGGCCTGGGATGGGCTTGGGCTGGCTCACAATCTGCAGCTTCACCGTCTTGCCGTCGAGCTCGATCGTCCGGATTTTCTGCCGACGAGTTAGCGAGGCGGGGCTTTGATGTGGCGATGACCAGAGCGTACAAAGTCAACACCGATTGTAGAGATATAGGACTCGGTGTAAGTGTCGTCGGCGAATCGCAGGAGCAAGCAGGACTTTCCAACACCGGAGTCACCGATGAGGAGCAGTTTGAAGAGGTAATCGTATCTAGTTCATGTCAATAGAGATGTTGGTGATGGCCCAGTCGGGCCGTGGGACTGCTGATGAGGTGAAGGGCAAGATGGCGGGGTGGAGAGGCTCTGCAAGTCGGTCAGCACAGGAGGGCGCGGGAGAGGGCAGGGAGAGGGCATACCACTCGGGATTCATGGTGACTTGGTTGCGGAGCGCGAGGGAAATGGGAGTTCTGGAGTATGCACTGGGGCAGGTGTTGAGCAGAGAGGTCTGGGGCGATAAGGGGATGGCGGAAGGTTGATGGATTGATGGGCGAGGACGAACGGCAGGGTGGCAGACAGGACAGGCTGCATCAGGAACCGCAGGTCGGTTGACTGGTTGACTGGCTGACTGTCTGGAGGCTGCTCTGGACCGGGAACACGCCTGGGGCACGGGCCACAATCCCGCTTTTCCACGTGATGATGCAAGGCTACGTACCGACGATCCGCCTACTACTAGTCCACCAAGGCGGGCAAGCATGGGAGTACCTACCTACCTTGCTACCTACCTCGGTACATAGGTACCGTGTAATAACAGAGGGTGGCCCCGGCCTGCACATCTGCCATTCGCATCTCGTGCAAATAGACAACCAAATGCTCGAATGTTGGGCGGCGAGCTCGACTCACACGCAGGCCCACGAACAAGACGAAGCAAGGCGTGGGCGACGCATCCCACACCAGTTGACCCCAGGCTGAGTCAAGGGCCAACAGCTGATGCCCCCCCATGTCTCACTCACACCTCACATTGGGGCTCTTCCTGACAACCAACTGGGCACTTGACGATGATGCTGCCATCCCACGTGGGGGCCGGCCTGCCCTTTCAATGTTCAGTGATCGGACAAGTAAGGTTAAAGTTCCACCATCTCGCTATCCAGGTAGCGGGCTGCCATAACCAGATGCATCCATCTCCTTCAGCCAGGGTTGGTCATGGTAGAGCCGCCTTGGAGGTTGTTGGGGCTGAACGTTGCGAGTAAAGATGCCGACCCTGCTGTCATGGTGCCATGGACATTTGCTGCGCTGCTCATCGAGTTTGTTTTTGCGTTAGCGAGGTGAGTATGCCGCACAGTCACTTCTCGAATCATATGAATGGCAGTCACTGGGCACACGGTCAGTCATTGATTGACACGGCTCATGTTTCTTTATCAAGACCTGGGCAGCCTGGGCAGCCAGTGGAGATGCGGGGCACCATGGGGCTGTAGTGTCCGGCCCGTTGGGCTTTTGAGCTCGCTTACACAGTATCAGACATGGGTGTGTGCATGTCTTGCCCAAGCTGCGTGCTGCACATGAGATTGTAGCATCCAACCAGAAATTCCATCTGCATCATCGTCCGAATTCCCCTTCGCCTACATCCGCACCATTTCGCAGCTGCATTTTGCACCATCACCTTTTCACCCGTCAGCAGCAGGGCCACTGGGCTTTGGACCCCCACGCACGTCGTACGTGCCACTACCCAGGCTGCCGCCCTTTATTCATGTGGTAGCAACAAGTACCAGATGTCTGCTCCCCGCCTCTCGAGGACCGCCTCAGCCCACCCCAAAAATGTCGTGACAAGGCCCGCCGCCCGCCGGTCCAGGTCCTTCCTCGCAGGCTTCCTCCCCGCTGCCGCCCAAGCAACAACATCATTACCAGCCAAAGCACAATCGTCGAGCACCTCGAAATCCCTGACCACCCTCCAAGAGGCCAACACTCGGAACCTGCCAGAAGTATGGTTTAGCCCGACCTTCCCCTATGCAAACACCACGCCGCCCCTGGGCCAGGGACCCAACAAACCCCCAGATGATCGCAAGGCGAAGCTGGGCAAGAGTGAGCGCAGAACCCTCCCAGGCCTCCCAGACTGGTGCGGTGGCACAATGGCACGCGCCTACAATAGCTGACCCAAGACTCCCAGCTCTGCGTGTCCTCCAGGAACGCCTCCCAACCCTGCTCCAGTCCCCCCTCCCGCACGAGATCCTCGCGCCCAACATCTCGCTGCACCTCTTCCCGTCGACCCACCCGCACCTTCCGGCCGTCTCCGGCCGCATGGCCTACATTGCCGCGTTGTGGACGGCACCCGTGGCGTGGAACCGCATCCCCATCATCGGCGACGTCCAGCTCGAGATAATGTCAGAGCGCATGGTCAAGGAGCCCGGGACAAGGCATGGCGCCGTCAGCGAGAAGCTGGTGGTGAGGTGGAGGACGACAGGAAAAGGTATCGGGTGGAGACTGCCCTTCCGGGACGCCGAGCAGGCGGCCAAGGAGTTCTGGGGCCTGTTCATCTTCGAGTTCGACGGCGAGGGCAGGGTGCTCAGCCATACGATCGAGCACGTCCAATCCGAAGGTGACTGGGACCGAGGCATCGGGGCGAAATTTGTCGGACTGACTGACTGGCTCCTTGGGGGCATGAGGGGGAGAGAGGGGTGTCCCGCCTTTGAGATACATGATGACAAACGGCCTGCGCAACGGCGCAGATGACAAGGAGCAATGTTCGGGAAGCCGGCGTCCAGCGATGCGGGCCCGGAGAGCTCTCTGCGTGTATGATTGATACTCCTTCCCCACACCACTCATACCCTCTGACATTGTACAAACCTTTATGAAAAAGTTAAGACTAAATTTGATATCCCTACGCCGTCACATCCCTCAGTGTCAGTTACACCCCTGCGGCAACTATGAGAGGGCAAAACAAAAACCAGGTATATGCACCGCCCATCAGACGCTCCCACCTACGCCTCAGATAACAAGGTGAAGACCAGGCCAGCCAGCCAGCCACTCAATGCAACGCCAAGGACCCTTCTTTTTACACATGCTCGGCAACAAAGTCGGCGAGGGAGTCCTCCCTCACCATTAGAATCTGCCTATCCCTCATCCTGCTGGTCACAATGCTGGTGCCGTTGATCCACGCCCACCAGATCTTCTGCACGACATTGTCGGTGGAACTTGGCAGGCAGCCAATCATGGTGTGCCTCTGAAGGTCCTCGTCGGTGCTGGTGATCAGTAGCCGCCGGGCGCCGGTGAAGGAGTCGAGCACGTGGAACAGACAGCCAAAGATCTGCTCGCTCTCAATCTCACCGAATCGCAACTCCTCAAAGGCACAGGCGACGTGCCTGACGCGGCGGGCGTCGGCGCGGTCGAGGAAGTAGACCATGGGCGCGTTGATGTTGCTGCTGTCGTAGGGCTCCAGCTCGCCCAGCAGCAGCAGCGTGTCGCGCGAGAAGTCGAACCACACGCGCGCCGGAGCGGACCGGGGGCGCGCCAGCATGGCCGGGACGCGCCAGGCGAAGGCCCGCTCGTAGCGGCGGAGGGCGACGGCACGCGCCTCGTGGCAGACGCGCAGCAAGACGGGCGCGGCGGGCAGGCTGGGGCGGCGGGCCAGCTGTGCGCGCTTGTCGGCGGCGTTTTCCTCGTCCAGGCAGGCCGCGATGACAACGCGCGGCTGCAAGACTTGCTCCCAGATCTTGAGCCGCAGCTCGACGGGCAGGTGGCCGAAGCATGTGAATGTGGCTGGGGAGGCGGCCGCGGCAGCAGGCCGCCGGTCCCGGCCGCCGTCGTAGTGGCCGTCGCTGCAGACCTGGAACTCGAGCCAGAACGACTTTTCTGGTCCCTGGTCCCTGGCTCTGCAGCCGCGCAGTGACACTGACATAATAAGCACAGGAACGAGCGGTTTGGGGGGGAGGGGGAGGGGATGGCGGGAGAACAAGTCTGTGTTTGGGCGGTGGAACGAGCGATTCACGGGGAACTGTGGCTGATATCCAGGACACAATGGAATCCGGGGGTGGCGTTGCAGGACCAAGCTTTGGGAAAAGACAGACGTCACGGCATTCGGGAGCCCGGACGCGATGCAACCATGCCCATCTCGTGCCCCCACTTAAAATGCCTATCCGGGCTTGCCCGTCCACGCTTACATGAACTGGGCACCTCGGTACCTGCTTGTTGAGTGAGTGCCCAAGTACTTGAGGTACCTAGGTATCTAGGCGAGGTTCCCAGGCAGGTAAATAGTTTCCAACCCGGGCCCCTGATCATTGAACGTGCTGAGGGCATCGTCCTTGAGGTCCATCTGGAGACCATTCTTGTCCCTAGCAGAGAGGCCGTTGCAGATCTTCCCAGTCCCGCCCGAGTAGTGGGCCAGCCCACTTCTCTTCTAGAAGGCATCCAGACGGACTAAGCACTCCCGGTGTGCGGCACCACACTCTATCATTGGTTGGTACCCGCCTCTTATCTGCCGTGACTTTGGGAGCGTGGCCGTCAACCTGCTTTGCAGGGACGGAGATCGGCGCTGCAACAACTGCTGTGGACTCGGTATCTGAGCGGCTCGCCAGGTTCTGACACGCATTTTGCACTGAGGGACAGACAGCCGGACTCGTCCGTGTTCCAGTGGCAATTCTCAGTGTTTGTCGCATCTACACTTGTGGTCCCAGGATGCAATGACCTTGATGTCTTGTGCAAATATTGTGAAGACATTCCGCCACAACGACCGCCCAGGAGCAGAACCCAAAAGCGAAGGCGCAGATTGACGGGCGGAAAGGAAATGCCAGAGTGGCCAGAACGAGCAGCTGCGGACAGTTCCATCAGCCCTGTGCCTCACACAGATGAAAACCCGAGGTATTTTGTACGTAGCCAGCCAGCTGTACATAATCATCCAGGACGCCAACTAGAACCCAAGGGAACCATCCACACCCAGGATCCGTGATGCCATCGATCTATACATATATGTGTATACATGGATATGTGTATGTATATCGGGTGTGAGCGGGGTGCAGGCACACGCGTGTACATATATTGCAGAGCTGTCTAACATCCCTGGCCCATTGGTGCGGTACTTGGATTAATAAAGCACCGAAACGTGGGGGCGGGCGGGTGGGTGGCATCGAGAACAGAGTTTCCGTTGGGCCGGTGGGCCGTTGTCGCCTACTACCACTGTCGAGTGCCTCTGTCACATGCTGATTGTCAGCAGCACCTGTACTACGTGGTGGTCATGTGCGAGCGCGGCGAGGGATTGGGCCCCACCTTGCACTTTAACTGCACGTCGACTACAACGCATGTCGTGCCTTTGCGCCGGTCGCCAACCACGAGCACTTCCCCTGGTCCGAACGTTTCCCTGCACCAGTGCGTCAGGCCCAAGCCGCCAAAATGCCAGAGCCCCGTGGGGTTGACTGCCCTGCTGCCCTACCCAGGTTCCTCGGGAGCACTTCTGGGCAGACCCCTGGGTACCTGGGTAACCGCGGAATTCGGGTATCAGTGGCTCGGGGTTGTTGGTGAGCAGCGTGGCAAACGAGCGGCGTCCCGAGAGGAAATATAAGCTGCAATGGGGGAGAGGGCGGGAGGGCGAGAGGGCGCGAGAATAGGGTGAATTGAGAGAGACTAGTACCTACCTAAGTACCTGCCTTGCTACCTAGCCTGGTGGTCACTTTAGCCTCCACCATATTCCCCCCCCCCCCGCCCTGCTGACGCGACTCTTCCTTCCTCTCGAACCCTCTCGGCCACCCCTTGTTATTATCCCGGCAGCTCACGCTCACGCTCACCCTGTCCCCCCAAGGTCGTCATACTGCCATACTGTCGTACTGTCGTACTGCCATACTGCCATACCGTCATACTGCCAGGACCTCAGCCAGAATAAATAAAGTTCTGCCCTCGCGTGCGCACGCCCCCGGAAGCGTCGCTGGACCTTGACGTCTTGGCAGTCTGCCCTGATAATAACGATACTAACGACGTCCCCAAGCCGCTTGCCCCAAGCCGCTTGTCGCTTGTCGCTTGTCGCTGCTGGTATGTATGACAATTCCTACTGCCTCTATCCCGGGCCCTCGGCAAATTCCCGCGCATATTGACTTGATTCGGCCCTGCGGAACCGTTTCATGCCTCTTGTGTGCGGCCCCGCGGGTCGAGACGCGAGAGATATACCACCACCCTACCCACCATGCCTCGTCGCTACTTGGCTGCCCACCTGATGGCCACCCAAGCCCGTGTACACACCCAAGGCCCGTGTTACCTGCCTGCCTGCTCCATCCCACGTCCCACATCCCACATCCCACATCCCACATGCCACCTGCCATGGGACACCCTTCGCTGCCCTGCTGCTGTCGTTGCTGTCGTTCTCGTTGTGGTGGTTGTGCTGTTGTGGTCGTTGTTATTATTGTGTGAGCCCGCCAGCTTATATGGGCCATGCCCCTCCGTGACAACCCACCACACACACACATCACCCCCTTCTTCCTGGCCCTCCCAGGTGCCTTCCCCCCCCCCCAGTGCTGTCACATCTCGAGTGGGAATGCCAGCTTACTACCTTCACGACTGCCATTATTTCTTCCGCACGGCCCTGAGAGGCCTGAACATCAGCACCTCCATCTCTCCCCTCTATCTCTGAACGGCTGCTCCCGGGGCTGACCAAGATGCCTACCCAAGTCCGTATCTTCACCTTGCCCAGGTCTATAGGAGAGACTCTCTCCCCTCCGCTCCCTCACGACCCGGCCCCTCACAGCCCGGCCCCTCGCTCTGTGCCCATCAACGGACCCGTGCCCAACGGCATCCCCCAGCCCAGGCCGCCCCCCAGTAGCATGGGTGTGAATGAGAACAGGTCCTATCCGGGCGTCACTTTCGCCCAGCAGGACAAGCTCCCAAAGCTGCCCATCCCCGAGCTGCCCAGCACCTGCGACAGATACCTCGCCGCCCTCAAGCCCCTGCAGTCCCCCCGCGAGCACTCCGACACCAGGCAGGCCGTGCACGAATTCCTCAACAATGAGGGCCCCGAGCTGCAGGACAAGCTCAGGCGCTATGCCGAGGGGCGCACCAGCTACATCGAGCAGTTCTGGTATGACTCCTACCTGAACTACGACAACCCCGTCGTGCTGAACCTGAACCCCTTCTTCCTGCTGGAGGATGACCCAACCCCGGCCCGGAACAACCAGGTCACTCGCGCCGCCTCGCTGGTCGTCTCCGCCCTCGAGTTCGTGCGCGCTGTGCGGAAGGAGGAGCTGCCCCCCGACTCCGTCAAGGGGTCCGCCATGGACATGTACCAGTACTCGAGGCTCTTCGGCACCGCCAGGGTCCCCACCGACGCTGGCTGCCAGATCGAGCAGGACCCCGAGTCCAAGCACCTTGTCGTCATGTGCCACGGCCAGTTCTACTGGTTTGACGTCCTTGACGACAACTCGGACCTCATCATGACCGAGAAGGACGTGTCCATCAACCTGCAGACAATCATCGACGATGCCGCACAGATGCCCATCCAGGACGCCGCAAAGGGTGCGCTGGGTGTGCTCAGCACCGAGAACAGGAAGGTGTGGTCCGGGCTCCGCGACGTCTTGACCAGAGAAGAAGGGTCCAACAATGCCGACTGTCTCGGCATAGTCGACTCTGCACTCTTCATCGTCTGTCTCGACTACACAGAGCCCGCCACGGCTTCCGCCCTGTGCCAGAACATGCTCTGCGGCACCAGTGAGATCGAGAAGGGCGTGCAGATCGGCACATGCACCAACCGCTGGTACGACAAGCTCCAGATTATCGTCTGCAAGAACGGCAGCGCAGGCATCAATTTCGAACACACTGGCGTCGACGGCCACACGGTCCTCAGGTTCGCCAGTGATGTGTATACCGATACCATCCTGCGCTTTGCCAGGACAATCAACGGACAGGCCCCGACCCTGTGGGCATCGACAAGCCCCGATCCTTCCAAGCGAGACCCCGACAGTTTCGGAGACGTGAACACGACGCCGCACAAGCTGGAGTGGGACATGACCCCCGAGCTCAAGATCGCCGTTCGCTTCGCCGAGACCAGGCTTGCTGACCTCATCGAGCAGAATGAGTTCCAGTGTCTCGACTTCCAAGGGTACGGCAAGAACTTCATCACGTCAATGGGTTTCTCGCCCGATGCGTTCATCCAGATGGCCTTCCAGGCCGCGTACTATGGCCTGTACGGCCGCATAGAGTGCACCTACGAGCCAGCTATGACCAAGATGTTCTTGCACGGCCGCACGGAAGCAGTGCGCACCGTCTCGGATGAGTCTGTCAATTTCGTACAGACATTCTGGGCCGACAACCCGGCCGAGCAGAAGGTAGAGGCGCTCAAGAAGGCCTGCCAGATCCACGTGAACACCACCAAGGAGTGTGCCAAGGGTCAGGGCTGTGACAGGCACCTCTACGCGCTCTTTTGCCTCTGGCAGCGCCTCATGGACGAGACGGCAGCCAGCGGGAGCACGGGCAGCAGTGGCTACACATCGCCCATTGACGGCTCGAGCAGCCCCGAGCCCGGTGTCGCCAGCCCGGCCAGGTCTTCTGCCGTGTCGGGCGACAGCGAGCACACGACCCAGAACATGGTGACGCGAGCGCGGGGCGACAGCACCAACTCGCGCGGGGGCTCACAGCAGCAGCTGCCCCTCATATTCGCGGACTCGGGCTGGGACAAGCTCAACAATACCATCCTGTCGACGTCCAACTGCGGCAACCCGTCCCTCAGGCAGTTCGGATTCGGCCCCGTCAGCGGCGACGGCTTCGGTATCGGCTACATCATCAAGGACGACGGCATCGCCATCTGTGTCAGTAGCAAGCACCGGCAGACCAAGCGTTTCATAGACACTCTCGAGAGCTACCTCCTCGAGATCCGCCGCATCCTTCGCATCACCAGCCGCCACCCCTCGGCACCCAAGCAGACCCGCGCCCGGGAGATCGACCGGTCCACTCACCACCACCGCAAGCCCACATTCAACAGGCTCAAGAGCAGGGGCCGTCTCATCACCGGCCCGACCGCCGAGACCATCCGCAGCCAGAAGCTGGGCAGTGCCGCTGGCACGCAAAGCCCCACCGACGAGAGCGTCACGCTTAGCGAGGACGACGAGCTGGGCGGATGTAAGTACCCACCACCGGTTCCGAGACGACATGCCGTTTCTGGTTGCTTAGAATACTGACGTCTTCTCGTTTACATTAGATGGCTTCTTTGATGCCGGCATGCTTTTGCAGGCTCTCAAGGCGCGTGGCGAGGTCGACGGCGGCGAGACCAAGGCCTCCGAGAGGGCTGCTGTGCAGGCAAGGAGACGTGATGTAGGCAAGAGGTTGCGCTTGATTGATTACTGACCTTGATGCATACGCCCGTACATGCATGTCCCGAGTCGGAATGCACGACATCGAGCGTGCCATGTTTCTAGGGAATCTTAAGCGCGAAGTTGGAGGTGAGCACAACTGTGCAAGGCGGGATGAACGCTTTTATCGCGTGATCAAATGTCCGAATATACCCATGTGCTGCATAGTTAATGGCATGTCTACAAGATCATCAATCCTCTTGCGCCCTGATATGCACGGCCCTGTTGTTTCCCATGAGACGCATGCGTCATGGCCAGCCGCCTCAGACACCTGGATAGCCTCGTAAACCCAAGTGGCGGGTCGGTGCAAGGGGTAAAGGCTGAGGAGCATCCGGGTCGTGGCCATACGTGTGAGGAAAGGCGAATGGGACCACAAGGACACGACCCGGCAGAGGCTCCGCCTCGAACCACGCACTATATCAACTCACATGCCGCTATGATCTGTAAACCGCATTCCCGGTGCACATCCTTCTCAGCGCCATCTGTCCCCGCAGCTACCCTCGCGCAGCCGCAGGCGTCCCGTCCAAGGCCCACAGCGGCTTCCGCATCCTTAGAATACACATGGCCGCCCCTTTCCAGCCCAGCTGTTTCTTCTCCCAGCCCGGGCGGTACGCAGCTCCTCCAGCGGTCGCTGGCAGGGCTATCTCGTCAGCCGTGTCTTCGTCACTTGAGGCTCCTCCTTGGTCGTGGTCGCTGTCTTCACGTCGGTGTTCCCGGTCCGGCACGGGGGAGTCGACCGACATCTGCTGGAAACCAGGACTTGGGGTTCCGAGGTCGATGACAACGTCACCACCTGCGCTGTAGGTGACTGTCTCCGGCTGGTGGCCCCTGTCGTACTTGGCGATACCAAACGCAGGTGTGGTCTTCCGTTTTCCCTTCTCGGTCTTCTGCACCTCATCCGCGCCACCTGGCTTTGTGGCCTTTTCATCATCACCAGCAGCATCTTCCTCATGCTCCTCCGGGACACCGCCGCTGGGTTCCAACACCTCAGCCCATACCTCGACCTGACTCAGTTTGTCCGCATAGATGACCAAGACTGTGAACAGGGCAAGGGGTATTGTGGCCACCCAGAAGACCCAGAACAGAGGCTGGCCCGGCTCGAAGCCCTCGTTCATAGAGAGGACGCCCGAGACGATGGAGAACGGGAGGAGGACCCCTCCTAGATATGCCACGCGGTCGAGGGCGCGTTGGTTGGCATCTGACTCCTGGGAGGACGGTCTGTCTGCTTCTGATCTTCTGCGGCGCGGGATGTAAGCCCTCCCTTGCTGGAATGCTCTCCCTGGCTCCTCGTTTGTGGCTCTACGGGAATGAGCTGCGAGTATCTCAACGCGGAGCTGAAGCCTCTGCATAAGCGATCCCCAGTCCTCTGGGCCGAGGCAAAACCGTCCCACGTTTTCAGCGCCGTTACGAGAGCGCGCGATGCTCCTCGCCATGTCGATGTTGCGCTCCAGGCACTGCAGAATCTGCCACTCCAGTGGGATTCCTCTCCGTATGGCCGCCCTCCCCGTCGGCCTGAGAACCCCAAACAGTTCGAGCCACTGCTGATACGCTGTCTCTTCCAAAACCTGAAATACGCCACTGTCGCCGTGTGTATTTGCAAAGCTCTCTTGAAGAATGCTCTCCAAGCTGGGGGTCTCCTGCCCCTTCCACTCGTCCCTTTTGGGTCCAAGCTTCTGGCCCATTGGCATCTGGATTCCTGTGAGGCTGCTAGTCCTGCGGGCCTTACTCCACGTACCATTTACTCCCCAGCAGGGCTTGTCCAAAAACAGCACATCCACATCTCGACCCTCCCAGAGACTCGCCCGGCAGAACACAACAGCCAACGCCGTGTGCGCGTTCGCCACTGGCCATATCACCGGCTGGCGTGCAAGGTCGGCTCCTGGAGACCCAGTGACGGCAGCGCGGTATTGGAAGCTCTGGCACGGCTGCGCGTCTACCATAGCCTGCCGTGGCCCAACAACCAGCTCCGGATGATCCCAGTGCGCATGGCCTCGCCCCCACCTCCGACGAGGTCGCAGTGGCCGGTAGCTTGTCCCCGCCACGTGGGCTTCGATAAAGGCTGGGTCGACTTCCAAGGGGCTGTGCAGGAGTGCGGACACAAGCATGCCTGGGAGGCCATGGATGGTTATGAGTGGTCTTGTCGTGCCGTTCAAGCTCTCAGTCTGCTTTCCAAGGGCAGCCGTGGACACCGCCGGGCCCAGGGCGGCTGCTTGGGCATCTCGGTTGACGAGTTTGGAGATCTCGGCCTGGAGCTCGCCAGCTGTGGAGATGGGCCTCCGCTCGCAGGCATCGCCGCTCCGTCCTGTAGTCACATAACATGAGGGTGTTGGTGGCCCCGGCTCAGCCTCTGGGGTTTCGAACCCTCCTGACTGGTCCGGATGCCCGTGTTCTCGGCTCGGAGTAAGAGGAGAGCTCGAGCTCCGGGTCCCCGAGTGAAAACTTGACCGTGAGGAGGCTGTTGGCATTGCTGCTGCTCAGGTACGCCTGCTGACCGGGGGAGACGCTGTGGGGTGGCGCATACATGAGACAGACTTCAGTTCCCATGCGCACTTACGGCTTGAAATGACTTATCTTACATACATATGCAGGTCACCATGAGACAACAGGGAGAACTTGGAGGATAAGATATCATCGGAGTAGTCAAGACGTAGGAGAAAGCAGTTGAAAGATGAGAACAAAATACGAGGCCTTACCGCCCGCGTCTCCTGTGATCTGCGACATCTTCTGGACACTTTCCAAGAGTCCCGGCTCGCGTACAGGCTATACATGCATGCTGTGGTTTAGATCGGTAACTAAAGCAGAGGTAGGATGCAGTAGAGCTGATCGCCGTTTTAGCCCCTCGTGACGGACGGTAGAAGGTGTGAGTGGGGACCCGAAGCACGGCTGACCGATCAGCTGCTCACAGATCATATGGGCGCGTACGAATATTGTATTGGAAGGGTGTCACCATCTTTTGCCACGACGATATGGGTCGCCATATTCACCCAACCCACCGGCACAGGCGCACGCATCCAGATGCACAAAACGACCCTTTCAGTGAGGAAGCCAACAGTCAAGGGGGCTTGGTTCCATCGTCACTCAGTTGCTTCGGAGGACAGCAGATTTGCAAGATGAGCTGAATTTGTGCCTTGTCGTTTGCTCCCGCTTGCTTCTCAGGTCGTGAGTAAGAAACCCAGAGACACCCAGAGACGACGGACCCAAACGGGATCCAGAAAACGTGTCCTCGATGCGCCGACTGCAGAGCTCACGCCTCGCAGCCTTCGTTCACAGGTCCACCTTTTTCTACTATCCATGCTGGTATTGGACAACACAGCGCTCACTCCGCCCCGGGCTCCGCGCGGCCAGATATATGAGATGGCAGTCGATTCATCGCACGGGCACTAGGCGCGCCAGAGAAAGATCGACCGAAAGCAAAAACAAGAAATTGCTAGATACCATTTTGCCCTGTCTTTGGTCCAGAACGCCTTAACCGCAAGACGCCATAATGCTGCCTCCCTTCTGCTATCACACCATCCTCCATTCGTTTTCCACTGAATGAGTGTTGATAAGGGAGATTTGAAAAAAAAGAGACCAGGACAACCCGTAGAATGCTGCAGGGCCTGTCCTCCTCTGTATCTCGTTTGTACAGTAAAAGTCATATACACTTTGACCGTCTCTGCAAGGCCGCCAAGGCCGCTGATGCAGACTGCCTGGCGAGGTGCAGACCGAGAGCCCGACGCCTGACCGGGCGGGCGAAGGGACTGCAGACGTCCGCAGTTCTGCGGCCAAAAAATACCGACATCGCAGGCGGACAGTGCTGCTCACGCCAAGTCTGACAGGTCCGGTCCGGTACACACGTGTGGTAGGCGGTAAGACTACGGATTGCCTCAGTGAGGTGACGAGTCGTAGCCGTTGTCAGAATTGTGATCGTCGCCGTCATGATGAAGAGTCACGCTGTTGAACTCCTCGAAGGGATCAGGAGCCTCACCACCAGGAGTCGCGAGGCCGCTGTCGAGGGGCACACCCTGCATGGGCCTAGATCCGCTGATGTCCACACTTTCGCTCTCCTTGACGTTGCGAAAATTGATGGTGTCGAGCGCGCGCCCCTGGTTTGGTACGATTGGCGGCTTCATGTGTCGGATCAAAGCCCACTGAGTCGTCCTAAAAAAGGGGTGCACCTTGATGTCCGAGGCTCCTGCTCGGGCACCTAGTCGGCGGTTTTCGTCCTTGATTAGTAGCTTGCGTATGAGAGATTTGCAGAGGCTACGGCGACGCGGTCAGCAAGAGGCCATGGAAGAGGTGCGTCCTTTTTAATGCTTACTTTGATATTTGGGGCGCTCCAGCATGGTCTGGGAATGGGATGTCTTCCCTTAGGATGTTCGCGAACGTCGCATTTCGGTTCTTACCCTTGAAAGGGGTTGTGCCATACAACATCTCGTAGATCAAGATGCCCAGCGTCCACCAGTCGACTGCGCTGGTGTGCCCGCTCCCCTTGATCACTTCGGGTGCGATATATTCCTCCGTCCCAACGAAAGAGTTGGTCCTGAAGTTGGCAATGCAGGACCTGGTATCGATCGTAGGTAGTGACGTCGTACTGGCGCCATTCTTGCCCACGATCATGGTTGGCTTTCCACCAGGGTCAGACTGCTTCGACAGATCAAAGTCTGAAAGCATAATGTGCCCGGATTGGTGTAGGAGAATGTCTGGCGGCCCAGGTTAGCGGGCGCACGTGCGACGGGGGCATCCCACGTCCGACTTACTCTCGGGCTTCAGGTCCCGATAGATGAAACCCATTAGGTGGAGGTACTCCAAGGCAGCAGTGACCTCTGCAGCGTAGAAGCGTGCGTCGTCCTCGGGGATGCATTTGCCTGGGCGGGTCTGCAAAGCGCGGAAGAACTCGCCGCCACTGCAGTACTCCATACACAGGTACAAATAGTCCTCGGACTGGAAGGAGTGGTACAGGGTGACAATGAAGGGGTGGTTGCTGGTGGCAAGGATCTCCTGCTCGGCAAGGGCCCTCTTGATCTTGTTGCGCTTGATCATCTCCTTCTTGCTCAACACTGCAGCAGATTTGTCAGCGGAGGCAGGGGCGGGAGGGACTGGAGGGACTGGAGGGACTGTAGGGACTGGGCGCGCAGTACGATACCTTTCATGGCATACAGCCTGCTGCTCTTCTTCTCCTTGACGAGGTAGACCTTGCCGACATCACCCTTGCCGATCAACTTGATCTTGTCGAAGCTCTGAGGGCCGACCTCGACATTGCGGACTTTGATGGAGTTGGAGCTATATGTTCTCCTGAATGCCAGGGGCGTCCGGCCGGGCGGTGGCAGGGAGCCGAGGCCGTCAGGGTCGGGGACGGCCAGAGAGAGGTCATCAGTTCCGTTTTTCGTCTCGACCAGCCCCAGGGTGCTCGCGCTCTTGTTGACAATCAGCGGCTCCTTGCCGAGCTCGGCGGTGGCCGGGCGCTCGTTGCTGCCCTTGCCGTTTGAGAACAGGCCCTGGGCATTGGGGGCGCTGGCGACACGCCTCAGTTTCCTGGCGAGTTCCTCCTTGGTGGCAGCGGTGGGCTGCTCTGCGGGGCTGCCGTTGGGGCCATCGATCTTGAGCTCCGGGGTGTCGGGGGGGCTCGGGGGCACGGAACCGTCGTTGTGGTGTCGGAGGGCGGGAGGGCCCTGGTGGGCAAAGTAGGGGTTGGCGTTGGCGGTGGGACTGAGGGCCTCGTCGAGAGGATGGCCTTCGCTAGTGGTGGTGGTGCTCCTCAGGCGGCCGACAGTGGTAAAGAACTTTGACTGGCGGAAGGAGGATTTACTGTCGGACTTGAAGGGGCTGTTTGAATGGTCGCCGGGGGCGAGCTGGGCCTTGTCGCCGTTCAGGCTGCTGATCCTGAAGAAGTTCTTGAGCTTCTGGGGGAAATGGCTATTGCCATTGGTTGATTTTGTGGAGGGCATGGTGAGGTCTTCGGGATCATGAGGTTGAGGGCGATGCCATCGTGCAGAGAGGGAGCGGCTGTTTGTGGTGATGGTGAACTGGCGAGGCATTGCTAAGGTGACCGAGGAGCAGGAACCAAGGACCAAGGACCAACAAGAACCAGGACCCCAAGGCGCAGGCGCAGGCGGCGGCGGCGGGCGACAGAGTTGATTAGGCTAGCAGAAGGGAGACAGCCGGGTGACAGGGACAGGGACGAGGACGGGGGGGGGCAAGATGGGGCTAGGCCAAGTCGAGAGACCCCAGCGGCAGCGCAATCAGGCGGAGAATTGGTGAACGGAGTACCTAACTGCCTCGGTGGTAGGCGGTAGAACGGGCGGGCGGGGGATGCCAACTTGGGATGGGAAGAGTGGGGTGGGTCCCTCGCTGGCTGGCTGGCTGGCTGGCTGGCTCGTTCAGGTGTTTGGCAGACCGGCGGACAGAACGGCAGGATACCTAGGGTGTTCCGTTCCAGTCTATCAGGGAACAAGGCCACGTCGTTGGCCCGCACAACGTGCTTTGTCTTCAACGTTTTGTGGCCTCTGGGCAGCAGAGGTGATGAGGCTGCTGGCGGAGCGATGAGGTGAGTCGAGGTGAGGTGAGGTTAGGTGAGGTGAAATTGGGAGGGGAGGGGGCGGATCGAAGGCTGGGACGAGTGAGAATATGGACGGATGCCTTTCTGTTATGTGTATCGTCGGTACGTATTGATCCTGTCCAGGGACCTGCAAGCTGGGGCAATCATTAGCAATCAACAGTGAGCAGACCAGGGATCGTGCGGGTTGGACTGGCCTGACTGGTTGCCCCCAGCACCCAAGTGACGCCGAGGCGGATCCAATTGGCCAAACCGTGCGGGAGTCGGGGAAGCCTGGGCATCCTCGTCCGGAGTACACGTCGCTCGCTCATATGGGCATTCCAACAACAACTTGGACATTTCCAGATGCGAGAAACGCCTCCGCCTGGCAGCCTGGGTAAGCCATCGGGATGCGGGAGTGGGCTGACCTTGACCTCGACAAAGAACGCCCACCGTTTATTTGACCGTATCACACACAACCCTGGTGTCTGGAGGCAGGCGCCAGAGACAGAGCATCGCAAAATCTTAAGCATTCGACCCCCCCCCCCCCCGCTTTCTAAGCTTTGGCATGACCTGCACTCGTGTGTTTTGTGTTGCATTCCACTGTTGGTTTGTACGTTTCAATGTGAACACCAGGTAGTCTACGGAGTATTGAGTCTCCAACTGGTCTGCCCGCGCATCGGCCAACAACCCCCATGCTCATCTTGCCAAGTTCAATATTGAACCCTGGTCCACTCGTCTCGTCTCGCGTCAACATCTCGTCCTCTTTGTCTGTCTCATCCGCACTGCGCCCTTCTTCTTTCTGGCGACCAGCGCATCCCAACAAGTGGAGGCAGGAGTCGGGGCCCAACTGACATGCTGTCCAATGCTTTCCAAGGACAGCCCCCGTCAAAAGACGGCTGGCGAAACGACGGACCAGCCTCGCCCGTACCGCAACGGCCATCCACGCCTTCGCCAGAGCTACCACGTATCACATCCGACATTCCAGATTTTCAAAGGCCACCCCAGCCAGGGAACCCACAGGGCCCAAGTCCCGCGCATGTCGGCCACGACGCGAGCTGCCGCCCACCTTGGTCGTGCTCGCCGTCACAGCTGCCGCCCAGCTCGGCCGCGGAGACAGCTCGCACACCGGGCCAGGCTCGGATCGAGGTGGTCCTCGACGTCTCCCCACACAAGCCATCCCCACAGGGAGGGCTCTTCTTTGCGGAGGCCGACCTCGACCATGAGCTGGTCACGTCAGACCTCACGGCACGCGGAGCCCTCCCAGCTGCCCAGGGACCCACACCAGACGCGCTCGCCCTGGTGACGCCCGCCCCACCCACCACAGCAAAACGCGGGCGAGGACGGCCCAAGGGCTGGCGTCCCGGCATGCCCTCTTGGAAGACGGGCCTACCCACGGCGGCGCGAGCTCCCACCGCGCCTGGGCCAAAGAGCACCGGGCAGAAGCGGAGGGGCCGGCCCCCACGCCAGCCTTCGCCGACGCCGCGGGAGCTCTTTGAGAGGCAGGCGGCACCTAGATACATGCCCTTCCTATGCGAGTGGGCCGGCTGCAAGGCGGAGCTTCAGAATCTCGCGAGGCTGCGGAAGCACATCCAGGTTGTTCACGGGCGAGTGGATCCACTGCTGTGCCGCTGGGCACACTGCCAGGGCAACACGACGGTGTTCGCGCACGAGTCCGAGTTCCAACATCACGTCGACGAGGAGCATCTCACTCCATTCGTATGGCACGTTGGGGACGGGCAGCGGAATGAGCAGCCCGTAAACCAGGATGAGAGTTCCGGACGGCCGCCAGCTTACCTCCTCGGCCCGGACGGCGAGCAGGTGACGCCGTCAGTTAAAGACCAGGAGATCCAAGACTTCCTGACGTGGCGAGAGAACCGGCGACGGCTCAAGCACATCCTCATGCAGCGGGACGCTAATGCCCCGAGCGAGGATGAGGACGAGGAGGCGTCGAATGAAGAGCCTCTTGACGCTTAGAGTGGGGCGAGCCCGAGCTGTCAACACACACGAGGTGCGGCTCAGTATTGGGGCTCGTAATCGGGAAATTCATGGAGCATTGCGCTTGCTCTTGAGTGGTTGTCACATAATTAGATACCCCAAAGCTACACGACCCGACAAGAATCGCATGCTCAGCCACGGCAGACCGGTAATTGTGCATTGCGAGCGCGAATCACCATTCATGTGGTCCCTTCGCAACCACGTGAGATTGCCAGGCAGGGTGGATATAAGCTCGAGGCAATGGAACGAAGCAGCGCGAGTAATTGCTACACCGCATGTACACTACCCACGCGCAGGCATCATCATGTCCGGCCGCCCGTGGCTTCCCAACTTCCTCAACCCCTGGGCTCGGCATCAACGGGGGGGCTGTCGGCTGGTACGGATTTGTGGCCTCCTGAGATTGGGGCTCAGCCCTGCGAGGACTGCAGGGCGGACGGAACGGCCAATGCAACACAGGGAAGCGCAGGGACCGGGGGGACAGGCAACGCTAGGCGAAGGTGGTCAGTGGTACGCCGCACCGGACATGACATGACGAGGACAGCAGCGAGCAGCTGGGCTCAGGGCGGATGATTTCCCAAAAATAAGTGCAAGGGGGCTACGTCACTGCGTGGAGCTGGGTGGGTTTCTAAACACCTCCTTGACAAAATTCTTAATAGCTTCTACCACGTACTCCGTACTGTGCACATCCCCGGCCGGTTTCGAAAAAGAGGCATGGGATGGGGAAAAGGTTTGATGATGAGCTGGCAAAATGCCGGCGGGCGAAGGAGCCGCTGGGTTTCTCCTGGCGATGCCGGGATGCTGCACGGAGCATCGCGAGTTTGGATTGTCTGGGAGCCGAGATAATTATTACCCGCGAGGTGCAGGACCACGTTCAATGGCTTGTTTGCGCATTGCGGTCTTGTGGGAATGGGGGAAGGTGCACTTGGTCTCCGGGCCGAGTCAGGCTCTCGCCATGGCTACCTACTACTAGGTACCTAGGTACCTAGGTACCTAGGTACTTGAGGAATAAGTAGGACTGCGACAGCACAGCCCTGGCTGCCCTGCTTCGGCGGTCTTACTGAAGTACCTGGACCTACTAGTAAGGGAACGGCCTAACTACGTGATCAGTTTGTCGGTAACGGACCACGTTCATCACCTGCTACACCAAACTGCTTAGCAACCAACATTGGTCAGGCACAGAGGCTTCGGGGATTAAGACCATCTGCGCGAGAACTTCACCTCTAGGAGCAATGATGAGAACCTCGGAAGTCGCAAGAGAAAAAAAAGAAGGTGGGTGGAGGGGGCGATTGACACTGCATTGATGCTTGTGTGACTACTGGTATACCTTCTCATCCAGCTGCGGGTCGATGGCACTTTATCACCACGAGCACCCCGTGCACGGTCTGGAGACTACAACTTGCCTGGTAGCTCTAGAGGTGGGAACATTGTACCAGGCAGCCAACGGTAGCTACACACACATTGGGGCTGTTTGATGCTTCTTCCTGTTCTTCGAACATTGTGCAGCACACATTTACCAGCTCACATGCTGCACTAGGCATGTGGTCGACGTGCACACGGGCCCATTCAATGTAGATGCCGTCAGCCAACCATGACTTCTCGGTGGAGCGCCCATGTCTCTACCCATATAGAGACAATTGAATTGCTGTGGAAAGGCACTCGGCAAATAACAGCACATGAGTGTCCGGGATCAAAGGGCAGAGCTGGGTTGGGTGCCTCATAACATGCCTGCTCCGCAAACCATACCTAGGAACCTAAACTTACTTGTGCAACAGAATTTGATATCCAGAGTATCAAGCACTGTCCCGAGGTCATTGCTTAACACAAAATGTGGTTTACATGGAGACATCGTTGAGCCATGTCACTTCTCCTTGTCTTGAATGTTCAAGTCTATCGGCATATATCATAGGCACCGTATGAAGGCGCCATGTATGTCCTCGGACGTATACGGAATAGAAGCGAAACCACATATATCATAGAGAGTCCGAACCTTGGGCGTGGTCAAAACAGTACACATTTGTACCCTGGCATGACCATTGGTCAATGTATTTGAACGAGTTTAATCAAATGTCCCGCAGACTTAAGGCCCATGCTACTACGGTCCTCAGTGAATACATTCAAGCTACCTAGGTACCTAGGTGGCTCTCAAGTGCTTACAACTTTAGGATATCGACCCAGCGCAGACCACCGTGACTTCAACCTGTTTCGTCCTGGGTGTCTGCCACCCCTCAAGGATCAATATCGTTGTCGGCAGCCACAGCCCGACTACATCTGTACCTTCCCTGCGCTGCAGTTCATTCCCTCAAACAACTATGTCATTGTCGCAGAGATCCCAAGGTCGTTGCTTCTCGAGGCAAAAGAATCGAGAGCACTCAACAAGAGCCCTAGTATCAATTGATGTGTTCTGAGTTTGGGTTGATGTCCACCGTGGGCCTCCCCTCTTCCCTTCATATCCGTTCCAAGCAGCTTCACGCGCGTTCGCTCGCCCAACAAGAATATTGACATCGACTCTTCATTCGCTTGCTTTCAACAATCGCTACATCCACCACCAGAGCCCTTGCTCGCCCGGAACCACCATTACTCAGACAGACTTGATTACAATGCATCATACCGCCCCTTTTGCGCTCATGTCCGTGGCCATGGCCAGCCGGTCCGTCATTATAGAGGCCCCGGATGACGCATGTGGATATCTCAACGGCATGGAACAGGCCCCCTTTGGATGTCAGAACCCCTCCGAGAAGTGCGCCATCTACTACCCGACTTCATCAATGGCAGCTCCATCAACCTTGTTGGCCATGATCACCCCGGCACCACAGCCCTCTGTGATCTGTTATGAACCCTCCCGAGGGGACTGCACGGTCCAGCCTACCGCTTGCGTCGATAGCCTCGGGGACTGCACTGGGGCCTGTTCTGGGGACCCCATGACGCTGAAGTGCAGCTCCCACCTCTACTGTAATCGGGCGCATTTCGGATCGCCGCTGTCCTTCCGCAATATCATGGCCATGGATCCTGCATGTGGGCTGACGTCTACTGTCGCACCTGCCGATGGCTGGTTTTGTGGCCCGCCACCCAGCTCTGTCCAACGAGGGGATAGCAAGACGATATCTATGACCCATATCAATTCTCCGGTCGGTATAACCACCTCCCCTGATGTCACCATTCCCTCACCCGGCTCTTCAGCCAGGCCTTCGGTCAGCCCGACCACCACCCTTGGCGTCACGATTACCTTGTACAGACCTGGGCAGATGCCAGGGCCTTCGCCCTTATCTTCTCCACCGGCAGCTACCGTTACTGAAGACGTCGACGGCGAAAATGATGCTGATTGCGGAGATGGTTGTTGCCTTGACGGACAAGATACTGCTGAGGCCTGCTGTAATGATGCTCCTTCGGCGCGGACACAAGCCACCGGTGGGTCAGAAACCGTGGGCTCGCCGGTAGCTGCATCCCAGGACCCAATCAACAGAGGTTTTGCCATCGTCTCTACTGGTTATATGGGCCAGAACAACCGGGTTCCCTTCATGGAGGCCACCCGTCCATGGAATGTCCTCACACCCACCGCGGCCGCGGCCTCCACGACGATGGTGTCGACGACTGCCACGCCAAGGACGCGGCCTGGCCCACGAAAGGGCAAGAAAGATCGACGTAATGTCAAGAAGATTTGCTGCGGTTCGATCTTGGGATTTGTCATGGTCGTCTTTGTCTATTGGGTCTGGATAAAGTTGCAGCGTCGCTTAAAACCAGGGCGACAGCAACTTCCCGCACATCACGAAAACGGGCACCATTTGGCTGCACACCAAGAACATGTGTCAGAGCGACCAAGGAGATATCGGCAGCTCATCAAAGAAGCCGCACAGGAGGCTATGGGGCCAAGGGGCCCGCAAGTTTCATCCGGGTCCAACATGGCCACTCCTGATGTGGATGATCCCGGATCTCGGTCTCAAGGATCATCGGAACTCGAAGCTTCTGAAAACGCCCTCGGCATCAGGGGCTTGGCATCAGGGGCTTGGAGGAGAGCGACCGGGCTTCTGATGTGCGGCGAGGCAGGTTGGTGATGCTCTAAGTTTGAAGCATGAGGAATCACAGCGAGCCTTTGCAGAAGGTGCAGTTATCAGTCGGAGTTTTTAGGCACGTAGACTATCAGCGAACATGATTCAATACAAAAGCATACCTAGATACCTAGGTACCTATTACGTGCCCAAGTGTCCATCAAGTTGCGAACAACGCAAATGCCTACCCTCCTTTCAATGTTGCTTTGAATATGCTTCCGGATCTCGGCCTGGGAACAACTCAAGTTCTAATCAAGTTGTGATTAAATAATCAGCCTTATAGCTATGGGGGCTAGTGTCAAGATTGGATGCCTAGAAACAACAGTTTTGTAGACTTGGGTAAGGATGGCTCCTGCTGACTACTTAAGTACCTACCAAGGTACTGATTAGGGAGGGTAGTTTGTTGAGTGATAGATCTTCAGGCCAAGGCAGCACAAGAATGTCGTGCTGCACGTTGGAGAAAACCCGCGCGAGAATTATTAATCGAATTCGCGACATTTAGCGGGGTTCGGGCCTGACAACATCCCCAGAGTGCATTGCGTCAATGCCTTCGGGTCATCGCGTATTTAAGAGCAATATATAGATGCCTTGTTGACCAAAAGAGATCTCCCCTCTCTAGTCGAAACCCAGAAGAAGATTTATTCGGGTACCTATTTTTGTAGCACACGACGTCTGATTTGAAGTCATGGCGACGCCCTCAAAGTCCTTCTTCGCCGTCGTGGCTGGCGTGGGCGCCGGAACCGGTGGTGCAGTGAGTGCTCAAGTGTCCCACGGCTATTCGACCGTCCAGCATGGCAAGAGACCTGCTCAGTGCTAACAGGGTACAACAGGTTGCAAAGCGCTTCGCCAAAGCCTACCCGGTGGTCCTCCTCGCCCGCCGGGAGGAGAGCTTCAAGGACCTCGTGGCCGAGATCAACGGCAGTGGGGGCCGGGCATTGGGCATCCCCACCGATGCTACAGACGCGACCTCGGTGAAGTCGGCGTTCGACACCATCAAGAAGGAGCTGCCCGATCTGAAGCTGGCCGCTGCGGTGTACAATGTCTCCGCAGGCTTCGGCATCAAGCCCTTCCTCGAGTTCAAGGTCGAGGACCTTGACAGCAGCCTCAAGGGTAACGCGTGAGTGAGCCCAGCCCCCTCATGACTTCTGGGGCTCTCATCGCCTCCCGTCACAACAACGGCCCGGCTGACGGTACTGGCTCCGGGGCCCGGGGCCACGGCCAGCCACGGCCTTTTCCACTTTGCACAAAGTACTCTTCCCTTGCTGCTGGAGTCGGTGGACTCGTCGCCGCATCCGCCATCCTTGATCGTCACCGGTGCCACCGCCAGCATACGGGGCAGCGCAAAGTTCACAAACTTCGCCGCGGGCAAGTTCGCCGCGAGGGCCATCACGCAGTCGCTGGCTAGGGAATTTGGGCCCCGCGGTGTCCATGTCGCGCACGCCATCATCGACGGCGGTATTGACATTCCTCGTCTGGCTGAGCACAAGCACAAGTTCAACAATGGCGCACCCGATGGGCTCATCTCGCCGGACTCGGTAAGTGGGAGGCTCTGCGCCGGGCAAGTCGATGGGATTGGGTTTGCTGATGTCTAGAATTAGATTGCCGAAGACTACTGGCACTTGCACACGCAGCATCGGTCGGCTTTCACTCAGGAGTTAGACCTGAGGCCGTACGTAGAAAAGTTTTAGGGGTGTTGGGGTTCTCTTTGTGCATTGACGGGCAGAGACGGCCACTTCACATGGGCTAAGCGAGCGGGAGGCGCAGTGCGGGACTTCCTCTCAGTGTGACCAGCGAATATAGTATCTCATGTCTGGCGGTAAAAGTTTGGCTGGGGCTAATTGCAATCCCTGGCGCTATCCCTAGCTCGCAGCAACTGGCACGATGATACCCACGATCCTTCCAATCCGTGCATGGGCTACGAATGTGAGGAGACGGGAGTATACAGTCGGCTAGCAGAGCGCGGCCGTACTCACGCACGGCTGGCTGTCTTGGTATGTGCACCTAAAGTTGTCGAGAGGTGCGACGTGATTGCCGGCGGAGTCGGGTCAGCCTGAGTATCTTGCACAGATATCTTTGTGAACTGAACATCCAACGCCCTGTTCAGGTGGCGGCAGTGGCTCCTGTGTCCTTCGAGGCCTCCGGGGCTCCCGGAGGTTGGGAGGCACCGGCCGCGTCTTCCGTGCTGGCATCACCCGATACTGGCTCTCCATTGAGGTAGGGAATGCCGTATTCCTTGGCCAGCCGTTCGTCCTCCTTCTTCTGCCGTATGCGCTCAGTCTCCTCGCGCATCTTTTGCAGGTTCCAGACATCGTCGTCCTCGTCATCTGAGGCCTCGTCATCACTGTCCCTACGCCAGTTTCCGCTCTCAAACAGGGTCCTCCCAGTGGCTTCCTTGGCCTTTCGAGCTTGCTCTTCCGCGGCCTTCTTGTCAATTCGCTTCTTCTTCCATTCGGCAAACGTCTCTGGGGTGACAGGGGTAAGTGTGCCGACTAGCTTGTGTCTTTCCGACTCGAGGAACTCTTCGAGCGTCAGAGTCTTGAGCGGCGACTTGTCTAGCAGTGCCTTCTCTGCGGCCCTCTGCTCCTTGGTCTTGAGTATGAAGCTGTGTCTGGTGTCAGTCGAGCTGTTTGGACATTGGCGGCGAAGAAAAACTCACCCTGGCGGTAGTGCATGCTTGTACATGCACTTGTCACCACCGTTGGGACAGACCCAGAACCAACCATATTTGCCATCCTCTATGGCTTGGATGAAGTACTTGCAGACCTTGTCGGTGGTCGTCCGCTGGTTGCCCTTCTTGGACAGGACGACTGAGCGCAGTTGGTCCTCGGTCCAGTCGGCCGAGGTTTCAGCCTTCTTCTTCTCGTCTTCCTCCGCGCGCGTGTCTTGGTACAGACTCCTTTTCTCCGTCTTCCGGTCCAGCTCCATATCGTGGGAGAACTTGCACTTTTTCCCCTTCTCACAGTTTCCCTTCTTGTAGAAGATACAGAGGACGGTCTTGGGGTCGACACCGAAGGGCACCTTTTGGATCTGTGCGGGCTTGTTGAGCAGCAGGTCGGCTTCCCTTTTCGCCTCCTCAGCGGCCTTCTTTTCCTTCTCTCGTTGTGCCCTCTCTGCCTCCTTCTTCTTTTGCTCGGCATTTCCTCCGGCCTTCATCTGGGACTGCAGCTGAGAGATCTGCTTCTGGGCCGCGCCACCCTTCTTGTTCTTCATGCCAAAGGTCTTGTCCTCGACGGCTTTCTTGGCGTCCACCTTCTTGGTGGCGCCCTTGTCATTCTTCTTCGGAGGCATGTTGGCTGTAAAACAAGCAATTGCTCGACGAAACGAGTCTGGTGATCGTGTTTCGGGGGGTTGCTGGGACAGAATATGCCTGGAGCCCAGCAGAGAGGCGCCGTGGGGGTTGGAAAGACAGAGGGGTGGCTATGAGCCTTGGGGGTTGTAAGCCGACGAGGCACAGTAAAGGCAGCAATAAAAAAAGCGGGATGTGGTCCAACTGAGCCTGGCGGTTGAACAGTGACGCTGCGGACCCACCCGGGGTCGGGATTAGGTAAGGTCGGGCCAAGCGTAAGCAGCAGCGTGTACGTATCTTTTGTAGTACCAGGTAGTCCTTATCGGTGCTACAGTGCTCCCCCAGCGCGACAACTCCAACAGATGTGAAGTGGCCTCGTGTCGTCCGTGTCGCAAGCACTGCCCTTCGCATTCCACTCCTTCCCAGCACCAAGAGTCAATTGTGCCCGAGCGCCTTTGCAAGACTGTCCAAGTGAGTGAATAGAAATGCTTTGCACTGGAACTACTGGCAATCTTCTGATATCTAACCAGCCTGTCAACTCCAGAGCCTGGGCATCCCAATTCCCCATCGAAGACCGCACTACACCAACACGGACCGGCACCATGATCTCTGACGACGACCTGTATAGACTTGCCCTATTCCTGGGCTCTGCCGCCATGGTCCTCATCGTCGGTTACCACTACATCGAGGTCAATGCGAAGGATGACAACAAGACAAATGCACAACAGGCTGGCAAGCAGGGTGTGGTACAGAAGTGAGAGTTGACTTAGGAGGAAGGCAGGCAGGCAGGGCACGATCACACAGCTGCTCCTGTGTTGTCAAGACCAGTTACGGATATCCATGCCTAGGTGTCGAGACAGGCAAGGCAGACATTCATGACGTGCAGAACCTCCAAATGGCGGGGGACTCGTTTGGCTCAACAGAAGTTGCTGCTGGCACTGCTGACAAGGAATACCACTTCGGCCAGCAATGGTGCTGCTAGACACAATGCACAATATGGAGCAGTGCGAGGCCATTACTGTTATGTGTGTTGCATTCTCTCAGTGACCAAGAAATACAGCACCTTTAATTCAGCAATGTCCGGAATACTTGACATTCGGCTTATTAGAGGTGCCATGCGGGTTCAACTTGCCATAGTCACAGACATTGTAGGTTCACAGGTGCGAGCTGTTATGTAAGAATTGGTAACCAGCAGTGAATACTCCAATGATGTACGATCACTGGCTGTATGCATTTGGGGTGGTCACCCTGTCCAGAGCTGATGAGAAGGATGCGAGAGCAAAAGGACGGCTACGATTCGGCCAGCAGCATGGGCAATTTAGGTCTTTGTACATGTCACTTGCCCAGCTCCAGCCGTAAGCTGGAAAGGGGCCTGCTGGTTTTCAGGGTTCGGGTTGAGCTCTCTCCTGTTCCCTTGATTCACATGAGGCCACTAACAGGCGCGCCATCCCTGCAAGCGGCCTCTGACCAGGTTGCCTAGGCCCCTCTCAGGTTTGTCCCTTCCGTCGCCTGGTCGCGCCCTGGATGCAGCAGGCAACAAAAAGGCCAGCCGCTTTCCCTCGCCCCCCTTTGCCAACCCCCTTCAGCTAGACCTTCCCTCCCACCCAGCCTTTTCATCCACCCTCAACGTCAACACAGACAGACCCATTCTGCCCATCCCCCAACTCTACCACCACCTTCGACAGACTCCCAACCCACAGTCGTAACATCTGCCATTTCGATTCTACCAGGTCGTTTGATTTTCTTTACACCGCGAAGCAAGTGACCGCCATCACCAGACTTTCAGTTCTTCTGCCGCTTGGTCGCATTGCAGCTCTGCGCAAAGCAACGGCCACCCAGCAATCCCAACGCGTGGAATCCTCCAACATTCTGCGCACTTGATCACTACGAATCACGCACGATCTCTCGCAATTCCCTACCTGCCACATCTCCGTAACCGGATCAACTCATTTCCCCGACGCTCTCATCACTACCAATATCAACATGTCTGGCAAGCTCGACCAGTCTCTTGACGAGATCCTCTCCACCAACAAGCGCACTCCTGCCGGTGGCCGCCGCTCCACCCGCAAGACCGCCCGTCCTGCTGCCGCCGCTCCCATTGGCGGTGTCAAGAAAAACACCAAGCCTGCACGTGGTGCCGCCGCGAAGCCCTCGTCTGGCAAGGCTTCCAAACCCCCTGGAGAGAGCAAAATCATAGTGAGCAACCTGGTAAGGAGTTTCTCCCTCGAAGCGCCACAATGAAAAAAGGGCTTACCGCTAATATCTTTGCACAGCCCAAGGACGTGTCCGAGAGCCAAATCAAGGTATGTTACCGATGAGGCCTTTGCAGCCTTCGGGGACTTCTGTCGACATTCTATCTATCGCGTAATATACCGACATGATCGCGCCGCACATCGGACGAGAGGCGGCTTCACCTTCAACCCACACCTCCATATTGATGGCACAGCCTGCACACTAAGTCTCCTTCCTTCCAGCCCAGCAAGCTCCTTTTCATGCTGCCGGGTCTGTGCAGAGAAGTCGAGCACCTCGTTTCGCACAGCTTGACAGTGTGCTTGGATCGCCTGGCAAGCATCCAATGCAAGCCCAAGCCTTGTGACAATCGAAAACTTGTGCTGAAGTGTCAGGACGGCTTGTGTCTCTCCCATTGCTTTCATCCGTGGCAGATGAACAAGATTGCGATGAGGACCAACGCTTCCCCCCGAGCAGAGCAGTGAGCATCTAAGAGCACCTACATCGCTTTTGGCAAGGGCGACCTTCTCCGACCCTTGCAGTCGATTTTACTTTCGATCTGGATATGTTGGGCAGATCATGTCCTGTGGCACACAGAGTGAACCCATTGGGATTCTGGACGCGAGCGCTTGAGCAGGCCAAGCTAGGAGCTTGAGGGCGTGCGTTCTGTGAGATCGAAGGTGAAACCTCGATGGTAGTAGTCCGTTGTGCCTGCGTGGTGAGATGTCTCGGTGATAGAGACTTCGCTCCGCCAGTGCAACTCGATTGCCACTCACGCCCGCTAGCTGCAGGCATAGTCGATGATTATGAGGCTTCTCATCCCATGCTCACTGCTTTGCTCGTCTGGCCCTGTGTTTTGGATGCACCGGAAAATATATGCCGGCGGTGCACTTGACGATCATGGACGGATGGGATATCACTCGGGGCACTCGGACCTTTATCGCATTATTTTGCTGACGCTTCTTTTTTCCTTGTTCAGGAGTACTTCCAGACAGCTGTTGCGGGAGTCAAGAAGGCCGAGCTCGTCTACGGACCTGGAGGAAGCAGCCGTGGTATCGCCAACGTTGTGTTCCATCACTCCGATGGTGCCAGCAAGGCTTACCAGAAGTTGAATGGTCTTCTCATTGACAACCGGCCTATCCGGGTGAGTCCACAAGTTCTAGTGCTCTATGTCTTCCCTCCTGCTAATATAAGATCTAGGTCGAGGTCGTCGTTACCGGTGAACTGGTTCCTGCGCCTCCTACCCTGAGCCAGCGTGTGAGCCAGCCAAAGGCCACGCCCAAGTCTGCGGCTGCGGACAAGGCATCCGGAGCCGGAAAGGGTGCAAAGCCTGCTGCTGGTGGCAGAGGTGGTGCCGCCGGCAAGCGCGGTCGTGGTGGTCGCGCGAAGAGCGCCCGTCCCACCAAGAAGACGGCCGACGAGCTTGATGCCGAGATGGCGGACTACTTCGACAGCGCCAAGAGCGGCGGCGAGGCCGCTGCAACAGGTGCCACCAACGGCGGCGACGCTGCCATGGAGGATGAGGTCCTATAAACAAAGACAACAAGCAGTCGGACGGATGGACCGACTGATGAACGGATGGAGCGCGACAGCCGCAACGCCCAGCAAGATGACTCGAGGACACTTGACCTTTCGGAAATGGCTTGACAGGCGGGGCGCGTTCCGGCGGACGTAATTTGAGGATGGGACTTGGTCTGTCTAACGACTTTTGGGGGGCACGGATTAGGTCCGGGCTTTTCACAATTAAAAGGATCATCGATACGGACCGGAATGGAATTGGGCATCGCAACGGCAACCAGATTGGACTCTTTCACCGCGCCAGGACGCTTCGATATCTGAACCCTGACTCGCTTTCTTTTCTGTGCGATTACCAACAACTATCGACAACCTCTGTCGCCTTCATAGAGTGTGTTATTAACGCGGCGCTGTTTACCACTCTCAACGGTCCTCCGTATCTTGTCGTCTTGCCATTCCTATTGCTATGTGCTTCATTTTCGCCCGAGTCCCGAGGCCTTAGCGCGCACATTCTCTTCCGTCACAACTGGACGGGGTCTAGAATCGATGTTGCAGGCACCTCACCCATCCACATACCTCTTCGGTACCAACGTCCCGCCCAGACTCAGAGGGATTGATCACAAAGCGGGCCGCTGGCCTAATCCCGTGTCAATGCCAAGGCCAGAGCCCACCTGGTCTTTGTAATCACCCACTTTGTATCTTTTCTTTCTTCATAGAGAGACGGACATCGATGAGGCATCCCATCTTTTCGCCGGCGGGCATGGCAGTGACGCAGGCACCGTTGCGCGAGTCCTGCGCTGCCTGGGCTGCGCGGTATCCCCCTGACGCATTGGTGGTTCTTTTTATACCATCGCTGTCACGCCGGGCGTTGATGCCCTCTGGCCGTAATGCCACCAAGTTGCAACTTCCGGACCCTATGGGATCGTGCCATGGCTGTGACCTAGGCCAGGCGGACAGATATTCGCCGGCATTGCCCATTATATTGGTCTTGCCTATCGCAGTGGTTATTAAGCGTCTTTGGCAATTACACGAAACCGCGAAGCCTTTTTGCTGCTAGACGGGCAGGTTAGCCCGTAAAATGCACGCCGGCCTCAGGACAGTTGCGGCGGCTCCAAAAGCTCGACGAAAGACTGATTCAAAAAGAACTGGCAGCATTAACTCTCGTCTCCTGGGAGGGACAAGTGTTGACGACCCAAAATGCTCATATACAATCCTTCGGTGTCATTACCAGTTGATCGAAGCCGCTCGCATCGTGCAAACCAGGAGATGTGACCCGTAGTGATGATCATGACAGAACGAGGCCGCGTCAGGTGGCCCACAACGAATCATGGCACCACCGGTTGGGTTTCCAAGTAGCGAGCGACAAGACCACGCTTGACAAAAGGCAAAAAGCTGTAGTTCCTCGCGACAAATATTCCACGTTCCAACTATGGGATTGTGTAGCGGCCAGAACTAGTCAAGTACGGCTCGAAAGTTTATTCTGCTTACCTGGTTCAGGGAGAAGAGATGCGGGATAGTGGTTGCTTTGCCGCTTATTCGCGAAGCATCTGACGAGACTTGTTGTCGTGAAGATAGTTCTACATCTCGCGCGCATGAGAAGACAGGGTTCCTCAGGCCGAGGTAATTGGCAAGACTGCTTTGTCGCTGCTAATGGTGCTGGATTTCGGAGGCTAGTGTGGATGGGCGAGAGGCACGTTGCGTTGGCGTCTGATGGACGAGAGGGCATGACGAGAGCCCTTTGTCGAGCAGCAGGCAGAGGTATTTGTGGAACCTATACCGGAAACAGTATGAAAGACGCTGTTGGCCAGTGACAAGAAAATCCTGCCCTTCCTTCGTCGTTGGCCCTGGCCCCAACAGTCCAATGCCCTTCAATAAGCCAGACCAAGAGGGAAAAGAGGCACAGTCACGGCGGCCTGCCTCGCTACGCCCACCAACTTCCGAGGCTTACGGTGTAAGCCAACCAACCGTTCTTTCACACACCGGCTCCAAAGACGTAGCTATTTTTAAATCAGGCCAAACAGCGCGATTCGATAGCTGATGGATGCAGCAGGTATGGATCTGGTTAGTGTCGCTGATTGAAAATCTCCCCGGGTTCCTTGCAGCTTTGAGTCTTGCGTAACGATGGGGTCGAATACAACAGACATTCTCGGAAGAACACGACACACGGGTGTTTTTCTAGAAGGGGAGGATAGGCAAGATCTCGCGCTGAACCATAGCTGGCCGGGACTAACTGCCGCAAATAATCGCTACATTTTACACAGTAAAAGAAGTGGTCAACTGCTCTAGGAATGAAGACAGAAACAAATCCAGAGGGACATATGGGTTGAACACTGGGTCAAAGCCCTCATGGCCATCCACCCCTGGAATTCGCAAGGCTCATCTTCATCTTGTATTATGCCGCGCCGGGTGTTGCGAGTTTCAACCCGCCAGATCCCGCATGAGTTTATGCCTTCGCCTCTGACCAATTCTGGCAGTCCCGAACTGAAGTGATTCTGCAGACATCCCGCGCGTAATCTTGATGTGAGGGAATCCATTACCTCCTCACGACGCCGCCATGGCTGACAGCCAGTTCTGGGCTGATGATGCTTGCCTGGGTGACGCATCAGGCAGCGGGCTTAGACTCCTCGGCGGGCTTTGCGTCGGTCTTCGCCTCGGTCTTGTCACCCTCCTCGCCCTCCAAAGCAGGCATGTCGTCGTCGTCCTCTTCGTCGTCCTCTTCGTCCTCATCCTCGCCGCCGAGACCGGCACCGCCTCCAAGCTTAGAGAAGTCGATGCCGCCAAAGTCACCGCCTGGGCCTAGGGGTTGGTTAGCTTCTTATCATCTTCAATTCGAGAGGGCACGCCTGGTGTGGAAAGCGGCCGAGGAGCCACTGGACCGTATCGATCAAGTGGTTGGGAGCAGACATGACTTACCACCCATGCCGGGCAAGCCGCCTGCGAATGAGATGCAGTGTTAGCCCTGTGGACTTCAAACAGACGGAGGGGCGGGTGTCAACACCCGAGACTGCTTACCCATACCGCCGCCAAACTGCGACAGGTCCTCCTCGGCGGCCTCGTTCTGCTCGTCCTCATCAACCCACTTGTCGAAGTCGGTTCGCAGGAAGTGGACCTTCTTGGCCTCCTTGAGCAGGCGGGGCCAGTAGGCCTCGTTGAGCTCCTTCTTCTGCAGCTTCAGCTCGACATTCTTGCCCGTGTGGTTGACCTTGGTGGCCGCCTCGTCGATCTCGGCGTAGAACTCGAGCTCCAAGTGGTAGGTCTTCTTGAGGGTGTCGGAGTGGCCGGTGAAGGTCAGGCCGGTGGGCTTCAGGTCGAGCTTGAAGCTCTCCTTGGGCACGTCGGGCACGGTGATGGTGAGGTAGACAAAGTTCTTGTCGGCATCGGTGCTGGACGAGCGCTGTGCCCAGAGAACTGCAAGGATTTGCGCGAGCGCGTGTCAGCAGGGGCCATGAGCTGCGACGAGATCACTCAACAGAGGACGTGGCGACGCAGGGCCAGGGCGCGTTGCGCAATGCGGGAGTGCTGCCTGGAGGCGAGGCGGAACAAGGGGGCTGGAACTGCTGCAGCAGCCGCCGCTGGTGCAGAGGAGATGGATGGACTAGGGCTGGACTTACCCTCGGGAGTTGCAGTGGTGGCCATGGTGTGGTTTGTGGTGATTTGTTGTGGAAATTACAGCAAGAGTTCGCAGAGTGAATATGTGGGAATTAAGGGTCAGGAGTAGGAAGCCGGGGGAAGTTTTGTGTGAGCTGCTCGAGTGGCCCGGCGTTTGTCGTCTGGCTTGTGGTTTGGTTTGTCCAGGATTTTGACGGGGAGTGGGGACTGATGTCGTTAGGCTGGTGGGCCGGGGGGAGGGGAGGGGAGCTCTGATGAGGCAAACGCGGGGTATGGCTCGGACTCAAAGGGGTTGAATTGAGCAGACGGGGCTCCTGATGGCAAGATTCTTGGGGATGTTGTGTGTAAGAGCACACGAGTTGATGTGTGGTTACGGGCTGCTTGCTTGAGAGGGAGGGACGGAGGGAGAGGAATGGACCGAGAGAGCAGATGTTGTCGAAGAAGATGTTTGCATTCAGGACCCCAAGCTGTTAGGAGCAGGGAGGGGGAGCTTGGGTGAGGCTGGGGTGCACACCCAGTGACACAATCAGGTCAAGCTCATGGAATTTCTCAGAACCACAGAGATCTGGGCCCCCTGGAGCCACCCACACTCCAGGCACCCTCATTGTTCCTAATTACACACCAGGACCCTGCCCCCAGCGTCCCCGGTCCCCACACCGCCTGTAAAGGAAAGCAGGTCAACGGTTGAATCACCGTGCCATAAGGCTGTCCCAGCAGCAGGCTGGGTTCGATACCGGCACGCCTCACTCATCCAGGCTGCCAGGGGCGATACGGTGAGGACTCACAGGCCACTGTTGCTTGGAAATGATGTCTTGTTACTCTGCCAATCTGCCTGGCAAGCCTGTAGTACAAGTCCCACGAAAAGATACGGCATGCATCGCAACCGGGACCATCATACCAAATCCTCCCTGCATGCTAATAAGCCCAGGCCTCGTCACCTCCCAAGCCTTCCAAGGCCAAGACTACTCCGTACTTGGGGATCAATCAACGCCAGGCTGCCAGATCGCTGGCCGCCCTTAGCCCTGCCAGCACGCGGGCGCTAACAGAGCCGCAACCGAACGGCCATGAGTCCATGCCCGTCTGCCCTGGCTGCTCACGTAATTCCCCTGTCCGCCAAAAGTTGACCCACCCGCCGGGCACTACGTCAACTCTCCCCCGTCGACCGCCGTCTAACAAACGTGCGGCTGCACCGTTATCCCAAGCCTGACAACCGCCATCCCTAGAATATTGCTGCCGCAGCACGCCCCCTGTACCCCCTTTGCCGACCAGTCTCCAGACATGGACACGTTAAGAGGCCTCTTCGCTAAGCCAGATCCCTCGGCACAAGTCAGTACAGTCCGATCAGCCCTGAGACGGCCCAACCCAGGTTGCAGCCGCGACCTGTCGACGCCATGCTACCTTGGCACTGTTCTGACCACCGTCTTGCTGACCTGGCCACGTCCTGCTCCAGGTACGGAAATGTAACATGCTCCTCCGCCAGAACATGCGCAAGCTCGACCGCGACATCGCCCAGTCCAAGCAGCTCGAGGTCAAGGCCAAGAACCTCATCGTGCAGGCCGACAAGCGCGCCCAGAAGGACCCATCGCGCAGGAAACAAGCCGAGAAGGATGCGCGCGACTTTGCCCGCGAGCTCATCCGTGCCCGCAAGTCGTCTGCCCGCCTGGTCACCTCCAAGGCCCAGCTCAATTCTGTACAGATGCAGGTAAACGAGGCCTTTGCCGTGCGCAAGATTGAGGGGTCAATCCGCGCGTCGGTTGGTATTATGAAGGACGTCAACACCCTCATCAGGCTGCCCGAGCTGGCCGGAACCATGCGGGACCTGAGCGTCGAGCTGATGAAGGCCGGCGTGATCGAGGAGATGGTCGAGGAGACCCTGCCCGAGGACGACACCCTGCTGGGCGAGGACGAGGAGGCAGAGGGCGAGGTCGACAAGGTCCTGGGCGAGATCCTGAAGGGCAAGATGGACAAGACGGGCCAGCTGCCCAGCGCCCCGCCGCAGAAGATCGAGGAGCCCGCCCAGCCCGCAGCCGCCGTCGAGGAGGATGACGAGGAGGACATGGAGGCCACCATGGACCAGATGAGGAACAGGCTAGAGGCCTTGAGGAGCTAGACAGCATGGTCCGCTTCTTTCAGCGCTGGCGCGAGAGCGCACACGGTTTGACAAGGTCATCTGCACGGAGTACGGAGTTTGGGCTGCGGGTTTTGGTCTGCCATACAGACCAAAACTCATTGGATCGGGTTCACTGCCACGGCTGGAATGATCGGCGGCGTGGTCGGGGGTAGCCAGTGCTTTTCAAGACTTTATTCGTCCACATCAAACCATCTGAACTGAACATGTTTGCTGTGGCTCTCGTGAGCTGAAGACACCACAAGGCAGTAGATAGGGTACAGGCTCGACTGCGGCTGACTTTTCCCGAGGGGTTTGGATATAATCAACATCAAATGCGCGGGAGGTACGTCTCCTAAAGAGTGATTGAGTATGGTGTTCAGCATTCATGATTTGTCAGAGGGCGTCACGACTATAACAGCGGAACTGAAAGGCAACGAACCAGCTTCTGTCGCCGGTGGATATCAGCAATGGCAACAGGAGATGTTCTGCCAGGCACAAGCAGCGCGATCTTGATTACCAGCCTACAATTGGCCCATCATCAATCCCCGGTAGACCGCGGTTGCCTTGATCGCAGTCTCAAGAACGTAAAGGCTCAGCCAGCTGTATGCTGCCTTATGCGGCGCAAGGCAATTCCCCCGTTGAGACGTAACAAGTAAGTTCCGCTGATAGTTCCTATTAGCCCAAGGCCGATGTGTTCAAGTGGTGAGGACCAGTTCGGTGAGCGTCTTCGTCCATGCCTTGCTTCCCACCGAGAAGTAAGAGTAAACGTCGACCATATTCTTCGCTCCTGTGTGACAGGTTCTCTCCGACATTGCAGACGTGTGACGATTGACACTGCGGTAATCGTGAAGGTTTTGATGTTCATCTATCACCCATTTTTGACGGCGCTTGGCAGGTCTGCGCAGTCACTTCGTAGGCTGCAGCCAGTCCGGCATTCAACGGCATTCAAGCATGTTTGTCATCTTCTTGTGCTTGCTTCATTCACCGTGGGTGGATTCAGTGATGTCATAAGATGCAAAGACGGTGGCACGGGCAGGGTTCGAAGCCGATTATAAGAAAGTCTGCCTCAAGACTTCGCCTCGAGTGAGGCGCTTCAGAACATGTCACAGGAAACTCCAGACCCGACCTGCCCGGTTGCCTTTTCCCGCGCAACAGGCACGCGTAAGAAGCAAGCATGAGACCAAGAAGGGCATGGTCTATTGTCAACCGACGGTCGCGGTCTCATCTGGATGCTGCTTACACAGGCAGGGTTCATATGAGGGATTCCTGTGAATATGAAGGACGCCCGTGTCAGTGAGCAGATTCCCTGGCTCTCCACGGCCCATACGGCACTGTTGGTGCGCCATATACGGTCAGGAGAGGCTTTTGGGTGCCCAGGTGCGAGGCATGCCCGGGCCTGGGCAATATCTCTCTAGGCTGATAAGTCGAGAACAACAGGCACGCGTGTGAGCCCAGACTACACAGCCCGGTGCCGATACGACATCTACGCTGGCCGCCGAGATAGTTGGCTGTCCGTCTCTGGCTTCCAGCTGGCGCCTGCCCGCGGGAGAGACAGGTACGAATGCTTCAGGCTAATACAGCATACAAGGTATGGTCTCGACAGTGAGGCGACTTCCTAGGCTGGCTGGCGAGGCGGTAGACTGCCGGGCCAGACGATATTTCCACGAATCACTACATGGTCCAGGGTGGCCCAGGCGAGGTTGTGTTGGGGACAGCGGAGTGTGCCAGACACGGAAATCCTGAGTCACAGACATAGTCTTGGGTCGGCCTGATGGGGTTTTCACAGTCTCGATGAGTGGGCTGCATTATTTGACGAGATATTGGCACCTCGTGGCCGAGTACGCGCCTCAGGCTTGGGGTATGGGGAAGCAGTCCGGCGTGTGATGCGCTTTTGCTGGAAGAAAGCCTGCAAAACACTGAGACATCTGTCTCTCGTGGTCGTGGCCGTGGGAAAGGTCAAGATAGGCGGTTCAAGTCACAGGACAGAGGTCCCGAGACGACCTCGAGGACAGGCCGTGGGGGTCAGTCAGGTGAAGCACAGGAGCACAGCCACGCGAGGCCGCCGCGCCACGACAGCCAGCCACCTATTCCTGCCCGATACTGTGTATTTCAGGCTCACTGGCCTGCTTGCTGGTCCTTCTCACCGCCCCGCGAGGACCGCCCTACGAACATTCCCGGCATGTGAAGCATGCGCTTGCCTGCCTCAGCGAGACAAGACAGGGCAGCAGAGCTCCTATCATACACGCCGCAGTCCTCGGGTCTTTGACGCCCTGAAACATGGGAGCGAGATGGACGGGAAGAGGGTTGAAACAGATGTGATCTCCATCCCCGTGCATCAGTGGCTATCCGAGATCCAACGTCTGCCAGGGTCCGAACGTCGGCTGCTATGACGCTGCGGGACGAAAATTTAACGCAATATGGTTTTCCATACTACTATATAGTATATATAGGATTCACCCCTAAACTTTATTACTAGGCGACTTCCCTACCTATATAATATAACACTATTCCTATTAATTAAACCCTTTTAAAAGTCCTCCTCTAATTAAATATATAATATTAAAAACTTTAAATATTTAATATTATATATATTTAATAATTTACTTAATAATTTACTTAAATAGATAGTAAAAACCTTAATAACCCTTAAATCCCCTAATCTCTCTTAAAAACCCTTATTTAAAAGGTTAAAGTTTATAAACTAACTTAATTTATTAATTTAATTAATTATTAATATTAAACTCTTAATTTATTAATTATTATATTTAATTAAATATTAATTTTATTATTATTTTAAATATTTATAATTTAATATAATAAATATATTAATTAACTTTAATTTACTCTATTTATACCCTCTTTTATTAATTATAATTATTAATATAAATTATTAATAAATATAATATTTTTAACTATTTTTTATATTTTATTATTCCTACTATTTTATAAGTTTATAACCCTTAAAACTTATTTTTAAAAATTAAAGTTTATAACTTTAAACTACCTAACTTAACTTATTAACTTATTTACTTATAATACTTAATTTATTAATTTATTAATTATAACTCTTAATCCTTTTTAATACTATTATATTAATAATTTTATATTATTTAATTAAATAATTATATTATTTACCTTTAAATTACTTTATTTATATTTTTAATTTAAAAACTATTAATTAAAAAATAAATAATATTAAATATCTTTTTTATTAATTTTAAATATTAATTAACTATTTATTAAATTATTTTAATAATTTATTATTATTTATTTATTATTAACTCTAATTATAAAGTTTTTAATTTATTAAACTATATAGTAATTATTTTTATTTATTAAAGGTTATTATTTATAAATAAATAATATACTTATATTAATATAAGTTATAATAGTAAGTATTATAAAACCTTATAAAAAAGTTAAAAAAATAAAAAAGAATAAAAGTATTTTTTTAATATTTTATAATTACTTTAAATTAATAATATTTTAATCTTACTATTATTAAGCTTAATTTTTTATTAAAGGATTTTAATATAATAATATTATATTAATAAATTTAATTTTATTACTCTTATAATAATTAAAATTTCTTAAAATTTTAATTAAATATTTTTAACTTTTATTTAAAATTAATTATTTAATTTAAATATTTAAATTAATAATACCTTTTTAATATATTTTTATTTATAAAAGATAATAAATTTATAATATTAATAAGTTATATTTTCTACTTTAATTAAATATTTATAATACTTTAAACTCTTTAAACTTTTAAACTTTAATTTATTATTTTTAATACTTTTACTTTAATTTACTAAACTAACCTTTATAATATATATTTTATTTTAACTTATTAATATTAACTTTTATTTATAAATATACTTTATTATAAATTTATTATTTTTCTATTTAATTTAATTTTAATTTTAATTTTAATTATATTAATAAAAGAATAAAAATATTAATAAGTAATTTAATTTTAAGGATTTTAAGGATTTTAATATTATTAAATTAATATTATAGCTATAATATATAGTGTTCTAATATTCTTATATATAATGTGGTTAGTTAGTATATTATAATTAGATTAGGGTCTTTATTTATCTTAATTATTTAATTTAAGCTTTACTATACTATATAGTATTTACTCTTAATTAACTATTATTTATTATTAGCTTCTATCCTATATATATAGTCTATAATGTAACCCACTATATACCTATTTCTATCTTAGCGCTAATATCCTGCACTAATTATTATATTACTATTATTTACTTAACTATATTTATAAATAATGCATCTCTCTATATTTATATTAATTTTTATACTTTCCTCTTTTTATATAAAGCTAGTAGTTTAAAGGTTTTTATATTTTATTTTAATCTTTATTATATACCTTAAATATTACTCTTTTAATTACTACCCTTATATTATATATTATTATTTATATTATTATTATTCTTATACTTAATTAATATTTAGGTATAATTAAATAAGCTATAATTTAATTTGTTTTATTAATTTTTTTACTATTAGTCTTATTAATATTTTTAAATTATAGTATTTAAATATTATAATAGCTATTATTATTATTTTTATAATAGCTAGCTATATTATTAGTTTATATTAATAATTAACTAAGTTAGTTAAAAAAGAATAAAAGTATTAAGTTAGTTAATCCTTAAGTGGTCTTTATATATTATAAGATATATACTAGCAATTTAAATTCTAGTTTTATACTTTTAGCTATAAAGATATATTATTCTAATAATTAGTTAAATAAATAAAAGGTATATCTTTAAGATATAAAGTTGTTTTTTAAGATTTATATATCTTAATTATATAGTATGCAAGTCTTAGTTGTATTTATTAATATAAATTGGAATTAATTTAATATTATTAGTAATATAGCTAACATATAATATATAGAGAATAATAAGTTTAGTCCTTTAATTAATACTAGGCCTAATATTAGTGATTTTTTAAATTTATTAAATAATATTTTTTCTAAAGAGAACCTTTAGCCTTTCTTTTTTTAGTTAATTTTAAGGTATATAAAGGGGTATATATTATTAAATTAAATTTAATATTTCATTATAAAGAATCACTTTTAGTTTTAATTTATCTTTATATAGTTAAACTTATATAATAAGGTAATATATTATATAAATAAAGATAGTATATATTAAAATAGTTTTACTATATATAGTATTAATAAAAAGTTATATAATATTTATTTTATTATTTTAATTTATATTCCTTCTTTTTTTATAAAATAGGTTATATAGTAGAGTATAGAGCTACTAGATATATCCTAGATAGATGTAAATAATTCCTAGATTTTAAAGTATAAGTAAGGGATCCCTACCTATAGATTTTAACCTTTAACTACAAAGTTTGAGGCCTTTATTATTATTTTAAATTAAAAGGGTATTATTATTTCTATAATAAAAATAAGGAATATTAATTTAATGTTATATTAATAAGAATAAAAATCTTTTTAAAAACTATTATTTTACTTTACTTTTTATAAAAATTAAAATAAGTGTTTCTATTTAAAGTTTAAGGTATTTAAACTGGATAAAGCTATAAATAGAAGTTTTTCTACTTTTATAAAAATATA